TTTGATGGTCATTTTGGAGTTTATTGAAAGTAGCAAATCGATTCAAATATAGATCATACAGCCAAACATGATTGTCTCACATTCAAACTCGATATTGTGTGAAGAATGTATTCAAATTCACATGCTCTGAATATTATCAAATTAAGCATTCTTGTGTGAAATCACAGTCAAATTAAGCATTTGTCATGTATTCACATGTATTAGTGACTAGTCAAGTGTCAATACTATCATTCAATTGACTACACTATAGTAGTATATCGACCAACGAGACCAGTTTTGCTGACTGATATTCACTGATACTCACTGATAACTTGATGAAAATGTGTCAAACTATGACTTTTATGACAACACTGTACAAACTGTACGAGTTTAAAAGATTATTGATGGATATTGTCCAATTTGATTGGCGACTGCGCTTATTTTGTTGGTTCGAGTTTCATTTTCTTTCCTTCCAAAAAACAACATCAAATGAATATCGAAACAACAAAGACAGCAACAACACAACTGTTGAATGAATACTACCAAATCAGCACTCAAGCCATACCAACACAGAGAGCCAAGTCTGAATGGCAGGATGACAACAAACGAGGTTTCTTCTTGGGCATCATCCAAGAGGGAGAAACCTCGCACACCACTCAGTTGCACGACCTGCTGGCTGCCAACCAATTTGCAGAGCAGCAAGAGTTCTCAACCAAGGTCCAGTTGGCAGACTCAGAGCATCCTCGTACATTCATTGACGAGATGTTTGAGTACTACATACTGCCATTCCACAAAAATTACAACAGCTCATCCAGCTGCCACACTCCAGCTTCTTCAAGGGCACCATCAAGAACCAACTCTGCTGGAAATATAAGCAATGTCCCAAAAGAGAGTGAGCTGTCTCACAGGGACTTGAAGAATGCTGTCGAGGAAAGAGACGTTGCCTGCTTGTTTTGCTGGGAAGGCAATAAGCGAAAACTTCAAGGAGCACACATCATCGCCCAAAAAAACATTGGAGTAGCGTACAACGAATCCCCAATCCTGTTACGAGCTGGTCTAGCGCAGAAACATCAAGTCCAAAACGGACTGCTCCTTTGCTCTGGATGCCATATCGAATTTGATTCCCTAAAGCAATACGTGGATGTAGTGGATAACAAACTGGTGGTCAAGGTAGTCAATGAGACGAATGATCCAACAAGCGAGAAGCACATGAATTGGGAACGAGCTGTTCGAAATTTACGAGCATTGCGCATTGCTAACGAAGAAGACTGGGCTCGGATTGATAATCGACAAGCAGTCGAATCTAATGGCGAGATGGCATTATACTTTGTTCTTGGCGATCCAACTCTGCAGCCAAACAGAGATGCACTAGAGTTCCACAAGACAGCGTGTCTTATTTGGCGTATGGCTGGTGGTGCAGAATCCGATGATGAGTATTGTCCATATGATGACGATGGCTGTACTCCTGTAGATTACCGGAGTAAGAGCATCGAAAAATGGATGGACTCAAGTGCTACTTTGATTATTGAAAATGTTCAATAAAATTGTGTATTCATTACAAGAGACTGGTTTCTGTTACAGCAATAGTTGTCATTGTAGTGAGTGTGAATACCAACAGTTGATGTTGACACTTGAATTCAAGCAATAATGAAAGCAACTCAAATGTCTCTTTCCATTGCAGTGAGACAGTTTGTCAACCAACAATCTCTCATCAATTGATGACACATTCAGATTCCAGTGATGATATTGTTGCTACCAATGATCGTGGAACTGATAGTGCAGTCTTTTTACACTGTGGTGGAACAACTCGGTATCATGTCAATCATGTCCATCGTTGTGGAAATCACTTGTTAATCTACTCTGAATGAACAACTTTATTTTCCGTGTTTAATCAATGTATCTTTATATCTGCTTGAATAAAGCACTTGTGATTGTTTCTATTTATTGTTCTGGAATTGTGTTTTTGCTTTCTTTACCCTTTTTTACTCTCCTTCTCCTTCTCAAGATCGGAATTCAATGAATAGTACTATCTGTATGTTTTCTGGTCTTTATCCTTGTTTCTTTGATAATAATCTCGATGTCATTGTCACAATTGCTCATTTTCATTTGGGTTGCAATGATTCCAATTCCGTATGCGTTCAAGATATTCATTGTGGGTATTGATTTCGAAATTCATTGTATAATATTACCCAACACAATAATTTCATGTAAATACATTAGTCTTTTCATGTAGCGGTTCAAGAGTATATTCCACTAACTCGACAATTTCACGCTTGTTACGATCTCCATTTGAAATATTTAAATGGATTATATTCGAACTCAGATTAAAGCCGGGAATATATTTCTTGGGATAGATACATGACTGAAAATAAAATGACAATCAGCCATCCATTTACAAAAAAATATTTGCAATGTGCAATCTGCTACATTGGCATATTCTCACATCTAATTCAGTGCTTCCAATGCTTTTATATTTTGATATGTCAGAAATGTGCTGTCAAAATGAATTGAGATATCCAGCTTGTAGAACTAGCTTACTCTTCAACAAGCAACTTGAAAATCAGATTCTTTTTGGGAAATGCAAACATTCTTGTCCAATGAACAGTTTGAAGTGGGATATTGATTCCCACTCGGAAATCTGCGCTTACGCTCCACAGCAATCAAAACATTTGATATTGGTTTGGTGTTCAATTCGGGTATATACTGCAAAATGTAGCGACCAAAGAAACAATTCAGTTTAATCCATCTGGTAGTACTTCATTTTTCAATGCAAACTGCCATTGATTAATACATCAGTTGATAGTATTCTGGAACAACTAACTGGCGACGATATCATTGACCGACTGAAACGTCGAATTCAAAGTGGAGCGTTGAGAGCATATATGAGTACGTTCTTTTGTCGACTCCACTACGTGAAATGTCTGCTGGTTCACCATTAGTATTGCCAGATTTCATCAAAAACACCAAATATTGTGTCATTTGAAGATGCACCCAATAATCTTTGGTTCTGGTATTGTCTTGCTCATGATAGAAATGCCAGAAAAAGATGACATAGATTGTCAAGAAATGCCAGAGTTGTTTCACGATTACTACGGCATCAAGATAAATAAAGATTATTCTGGGATTGACGTTAAACACCCGAATGATATCGAAAAACATTATTCTGTAAGCATCAATGTGTACAGATTCAACAGCAACAAACCAATGATGAAAAGACATTCAGATAAACACTACAAACAAATATGGATCACAGACATATATACCAATTTAAAACTCATACCCATCACTTGTATTGTATCAAAAACATCAACCAATTGACCAAAGTCTTTGAATGTGCTGAATGCCATGCATTTGAGTGAGTTCAAGAAAATCAACCGACACTTGTTAATGTGTAATCAGGGCAAACCAAAGATACTATTCGATAATGGAAACTATCAACCCAAGACTGGTGTTTTTGACATGTTTGAAGCAAATACGGTGTGTGCTGCTCAAGATCTGAGACACTGTCCTTGTTTCATTTCATTTCCTATGATTTCCTATGATTTCCTATGATTTCAATGATTTCAAGACTTGGTTAAAGCATTGTCAATTGGATACAGATTCAAAGTTGCAGTATCTTGTAATACACGAGTTGTCAAGCATCAGTTTTATGGGCAGTGAGAAAACAACCCCAGAGCTTATTCATGTAGATGGAACGACTGAAAAAGCATTGGATGTAATGATGATCAAGATGATCAAGATGAATAACATACAAATGAAATATCTACATGATCTGTATCCAAGTACACAGAGTTGTTTATATATATTGATAGGTTTGAAGTTGTCAAGGCATGAAAGTCGTTGCGCAACAAATTGCTGGAATGGCTGGATGTGTTGTCAGTATACGACTTCAACTCGGGTTCGTATGATATTAATGCCATCAAGAAATATCTCACGCAAGTCCTGATAAAGCACACAAAGGCATGACAACGTTTCCAAATACGAACAGTTGTGGATTCGTAGCATTGAGCAAGAATTGGGTCGGGACATTGAACAGAACAAAACGATTGCAAAGTACAATGTAGACGGCTATGATGACAAAACGAATACTGTTCGAGTTCAACGGATGCTTTTTTCACGGTTGTAATAGGTGATACAAGTCTGATGATATTACCCATTGACGGGTGATTGATGAATATCTTGTATCAAACTACCATGCAAATCAAGCACATCTCACAAGCAAATGGGTTACAAAGTTGAATGTTTGGGGATGCGAATTTCAACTTTCGGAAACACTGAAATGGGCAGCATCATCAAATGTAACAATAATTACCAAATGATTTCAAACAGGTCGTTTACATCCAAAGACACTCTGTCATACTTGTCACCCAATACCTCACAGTACCTCACAGTACATCCATAGATCAGTTCTTGACAGTATTCAATGCTGAAATGCAAATGGGTGGATTTACCCAGAGTAACCCAGAATATATACAAGAACGCGACGGAAAACTAGCTGATATGCTTCGATATTGTTTTAAAATCAAGCAAACGATTTGATCAGACATTACAATTGAAAGTCCAGTTGGATTTGGAAATTACAATATTGGATGGTACACATGAATTGGAACCATTATCCTGTAATGGCTTTTGTTTGATGGAACTAGTTCTTTGATAACTTTATAAATCAACGGAAAATAAAAGTTTATCGAGGTAAATTCGTACTAGAGACATTTGGAGTGATTTGTGGGTTATTGCAAAACGATTAAACTAATCGCAACACATTCCAAAGCGTCGATGCTTGCGACGTCTTTTTTGCCAATCAATCGAGACTCGGAAGATCAATACTCTGCTTGGATCAACCTTCAATCTTGATACGCTACAAACATTCAGCAAAAGTCCATTGATTGTCATAATTGTGATTACAAGATGACTTTCAAAGTTGGTTCAAGAGATAGTCGAGACTCACAAGATGAGCAAACCAGTACTCTGCCAAATGGCATAAACAGCATGATCATATCTGGACACTTTCCAATAATACTCATAAATTAACCCACAGATCAAGGACATTTCAAAACACAGAATCACTGAACCGACAGTGTGCTCATTCCGAATAATCACCATGATTTCATGAATCAATCTGGATACCATCAGTTGTCCCAACACGATCGATTGACTAAAAGGATGGATTACGAACAAAAGAACCTGGATCATTTGCAAAATGAACAGCGCAACAATACTATTTTACAGGAATATCAACGTATTGATCAAACCCGCAATGCACATATTCAAGCCATGGAGCAGTTGAATCATGTCTCTGGGATGGTTTTTTGCCAGATTGTCAGATTTGCTTCGGAATTACCGAACAATAAGGAGTAATGTTGAATCTATGTAGGCCGAGCATTACTTTTTGACACCAGGATTTAATGGTGCCAAAACCAACAAAATGGACTGTTGTCGATAATGGTTTCCGGTTCCGAGTGTAAACATGGTTACTTTTATCATGATGTCCATTGAAACTATCCGCGATAATCAAATATTGCTGGATCAGATCAATTGGGCAGTAAATCTAAGTTGATTCACTCCAAGACAAGCATTATTATAGATCTGGCACAAAATATTCGACATGATTCCTAACAAAATGGATTTTGTTTGCTGCCTACCAGCAATCTACTCAACTGTCTACCACGAGAAAAAGTAATTTTGAGCAAGTTGTAGTACATTCTAAAGTAAACAACGATCAAGAAAACTGGTATCATTTGGTGCCTTGTACATACACTTGTACTTGTCAAATCCATTCTTTCCCATCATCCACCATCCATCTCGTTCACTTTTAAATCTCAACAATGATCAAAACTATCCAGGCTCACTGAATATTACCATCACATATACCTTACAGGCTACGGATCTAGTAGTTCAAATCGAGGCAATAATGGATACAGATCAGCCCGACAGTTTACAGACATATGTGAATCTTACCACGCATCCATACTTTAATCTCGACGGGATGGTAAACCCAACTGTACTGGATCACACAATTGACATGGCTGGCGTAAAAGGTGTTCTTGAACTAGACGATACTCAGATTCCTACAGGAAAAGTGTTGGACTGCACGGATTTTGCTGATCAAGATATTGGGTTTGCCCAGATCCATACAAAACCCGATTACTTTTACCAATCACACATCCACAGACTATTGCAAATGGATTGGAATGTATTGTGCGATTTGGCGGTGTGGATCACTTTTATTTGAAATCCCATTCTACCAAAACAAAATCCGATCATGGGTTGGATTCAAAATTGAAATATTGCGACCTAGGTCCGCCTGTAATGCGGCTAGCCTCTCATGCATCTGGAATCGCGTTGGAGATGTATACCGATGCACTAGGCATTCAAGTCTATACCTCGAATTGGTTAGATGTATCACTTTCTGCAAAAAAATCCAGCCAGCCAAGCAATGCTCAGTATGGACGATTTTCTGCTGTATGTTTTGAGCCTTCTGCACCACCCAATTCCATCAACAATCCAGCCTATCGCCATTTGGTTGTCATGGATAAACATAATCCCTGGACACAAACAAGTATATACCGTGTTATGTTGATATAATAGTGCTGAAATAATACTTTGTGATCTACTGTGTTTCATTTCAGAATAAACCCATTATATCAAGCAAATACAAGTTTTATGAACGAGCATGTGTAGCCCAAAGTCGCCGTCCAATCAACGCAGATATAATAATTACAAAAATAACTCTCCAAGGCGGTTTAACAATTTTGTGCAACCATGAAACTATTCCAGCAGGAGGTGGAGAAGAAGGATGCTCCGACTCTGGTTCAAAAGATGACGTAAGACTGGATTGGGAAGTTGAAGGTGAAAGGACCATAGATTTTGAAGCAATAGCGTTTTGAAACCGAGGTTTTCTTGCAAAAAAATGAGTACGAGAGCGATGACCAAAAATACGGGTATATAAATAGGGGATCCAACTAGTACTTTGGGAAGGTAAAGTACTGGAAGATGTAGTCGTGGTTTGTGAATTGTGTTTCAACAGAGTTGTGCTTGATCTAGTAATTGGTCGAAAGTGTCGTTCTTGTGAAGTAGTGTCTGACAACTGAATAGGAGTAGATGGGCGTGATAAATGGTCAAAATAAGGATTTGAGCGATTAATCGATGCGTCAGGCGTAGCTGAGAGTTTAAAATTGGTCAGAGAGGTGAGCGATCGTGAACTTGGTGTCCGTGGCAACCCAGATCCAGAGCGGTATTCCTGAACCCGCAATAGCAATTGTAGATCTGCAGCAGATCTCACTGATATAGGAGGAAACGTCGGGGTTCGTGAATGGTGTGGCTCTGACATGTCTGTGCCATACGCTGAAGAAGATGACAAGGAAAATGCACTTTGTGCATCAAACCAGGTTTCATGGACTGTAGAAACAGGTGACATGAAAGAAGCAGGCATTGGGGATTGAAGCATGCCCGCTCTCTGTGTTTCAAAATCAAAATCATCAATCTCTTCGTCTTTGCAAGCCAGACGATCCATCATACATTCATGTGCTCGTGTTTGCTGTATAGGTGGAACAGACGATCCAAAAGAAGTAATGATTGGACATATGTAAGGAGACAATGGTAAAGCACAATCCAATCCGCCAACCGCTGCAAATTGAAAATAAATGTGATTGGAGTTTAGTATTCAAACTTGTAAAGATACACCAACATATGGCCAGAATAATCTGAATATCTAGCTAGATAGCCAAAATTAAACACGATACAGCTTACATATGGGTATGCATTCAGGTGGAATATAATCAATCAGTTCGGGTGTCGATATAAATCGGAGTTTCTCTGTTGCATCTGCACTCAATCCAGTTCGCAACACGCTCCATATGCCGGCATGAATCCATCCATAATTGAGTACCAAGACCTGTCCGATAAATTGCGGAAAATGCTTTTGAAAAATCTCCAAAAAGAGTGGCAAAAGCTCGTAATTCTAATTTTGGTTTAGGTTTAATTAGCCAAAACCCTATATTGTCAAGTGTTGGTATCGACGCAATCGATAAATAAAACCAAAGCAATATCAATAGGCTTACAATATTGGACATTCCAAATCCAGAGAGATCGACTACGACTGTACATTGAAAGAATATTGGGACTGGTTCATTGCTACACGTAGATGCTTTTAGTGATGAAAGATCTGACAACGCACTAGCGGGAGCAATACTGGGATCGTTTTGATTGAGGCTTTGAATCCACCGTCGTCCGACCTCAAGAATGAAGATGACACACAAGCGCAAATCTTCCAACTCTGTTCCATCGCTGGAAGGGATAAAATGCCGAGGTGTGATATGTAGCACCGGCAGTCCTTTGAGATCTGTTTTCCAAAATTGAAATAATCCTTTCTGAAGATATTCCACAGTGCGAGGACTAAGCATTTCAAAACAAAGTTGCGATAGATTATGTGTCAGTCGCCAGTCAATATGTGCTATCAATGCTGCCTGTGTATTGGCCATACTAAATTTGTGTTTTTTGAAGAACCGTAGTAGTAAGGCTACAAATAGTGTACGCATTAGCTTTAGCATGAGTTTACCGATTGAGATATAGGAGCAAATATCAAAATTGAATAAACAAGACTAGGCCATGCTAGGATATTTTTATAGACGCAGTAAATGCTAGAGGTTTTAACCCAGAGAATGGATATTGAATGCCGAGACATCAAACTTGGATAATAGAATTCCAACGGACATGTGGAGCCAAATCACACAAGATTGCGGGATTCAACTAAAGCAGCTTGCACAACTCTGCAAGAATTGATTGTATGTTGAGTCTAGTCACTAGTGTAACCCAATCCAAATAAATTGATCAAGACCATGTCATATATTTATGAGCTCACCCTTGTCGAGAATGAGCTCTGCAAAATGCACGAGTTCGTGAGCAGACAAACTCAAAGAAGTCCTATTCTGAGTAATGCTCTCTTCCAGAAAACATTGCAACTCGGCAATATGTGCAGCATGTTTATCATATAAAATCTGATACTCTTCTAATTGATGTTGAGTAGCAGCAGATTTCTGGACCATTGATGTTGATGCACTGATATGAATGGCGACAGCAGAATTTTTATTGGCGAATTCAAAAATGGTTGAAATTTGGCGTTTTCTAGCCTTTTCATGCCCACTGGCACCAGCTGTAAATTGGATTCCCAAACAAGTGAATAATTTTGTACATTGTATCTGAAATAATATGACAAGCTTTGGACTGAAATCAGTCATAAGAAAAAGATTCAAATGATACTCCGCTTTGAGAGAGCTGCTTATCAAGTAATCCAGTACCATTTTCCGACAGAAAAGACGACGACAGATATTCTGAAAAGGCGGCTTCGTCATTGCCTGCAAACATGACGCCATTGTCCAGATTCGCAATCTCATCCAGTCCAATAGGTTTCATTGGCATCATGGAAAATCGTTTGAACATGGCTTTTGCTTCCCCAGCTCGATCGACAGCAGGCTTTGGTAATTCACTTTGCGTATCAACAGTTTTTGAAATTACATTGTCCTCTTTTATAGTATCACGCAATGGAAAGGGTATCGTGGCTACAGGTTGAACGATCGAGCCACTGGCATTCAAAACTTCCGCTGATGCTGTAGTCTTTTGAGCAAGTTTGGCTGCCTCTCTTTCGGCCTTGATAATTGCTCTACGTTGCTTCTCCAGCGCAGCCTTCTTTTCCCTTGAAATTCGCTTGCGTTCCATTTCTCTTCTATTACGCAAATCTATCACAGAGCTTTTGAATCCTTGCATGAATAGATCCAAGGTAGTATAAAAGTACCCAGGCACCTTGCAACTGTCAGACGGTTTTTTTGGACGTTTCGTTGGGTCTAGACAAGGCGTGATATACTCGTCCTGGTCTTCGCCAAAGTATTGCAAAGCATCACTCCACGCATTAACAAAACAATTAAACTGAGTCACGACAGTATGAATATATCGATCTGCCTCGTTTAGTACGCTGGTCAGAAGCTGCTTGAACTGTGCGTCAATACCAAACCTACTTCTATCGTCAATACACAACTCGCGTAGATTCGTAGCAGTAACCTGCATGGCAGTGACTTGCGCCACTAATGCAAGAATATCAAATTGCCGAACAGTGGTCAAGTCTGCAAACTCGTCCGAAATATCCAGCACTGAAGAAAACTCGGAATCTTGCACCATTTCTACCAAAAAAGTCATGAGACTCCATTTTCCATCAGCACTCTTCACATCCTTCAATCTTGCTAGTCCTTCAATTTTGAACCCAATCGCTCGAGCTTCTTTTCCCATCCATGGACGATAGCTTGATGCATTGTTCCCGCTTCCATACTCGTAATTCGTCAGATTGCCCAATTGAAGCACTGTGCGCAACAAGATCTTGAAATTTTCCGACAAGCAAAACTGTCGCGATACTTCTGCAAGAGCATGAAACTTTGAATGAACTTCCTCAGCTTCTAAAGGAAGCTGGATTTTGAATAGAAATGCTAAAATTTGATGTGTGATGTGTTTGAATTTACTTGCTGCAACGGCAAATGCTTCTGCGGGAGCAAGAGGTAGCTGAGGTTCAGTAGGCTCTTCAATACGCTTTTTTGCCACAGATGAAAGGTATTGTCTTACAAGTATCAACTCATCTGTTGTAGGCAAGAGTCCTTGAATAGTGATCAAGTCATCAAAAGACAGCTTTGATTCATTCATCGCTCGAATAGCTGTAAAAAGGTCATCTGTGTTTAATCCTCTTCGCGTAAATCTTGATAATCCAATAGCAATATTGTTTGCACGGCGAATATCGAGAAAAGTAGAGAATCGAGCCTTTTGCACCATCTTGGATTTGCTAGAAGTTTGATTTTTGTCTTGGCCTGGAATGATACAAAAAAGCTCTTCAAAGCGTTTTACATCAAGTTGAACAGATCTCTCGGTGAGAGTCGACGAAGTGGAAGTCGAGTTCAAGGCTAATTCGGACCAAACAGTGTTTTTTCCATTACGAATCTCATTCCAATGAAGTTTGGCTCGTGCACGAATTTTCGGTGCGGTATTAGATGGTGTAGATGTTGAAACTCCTGTTTTAAATGATGGTGGTGGAGGAGGAGGAGGAGCAAGTGGTGGTGGAGGTGGTGGAGGTGGAGGTGGAGGAGCTTCTATCTGTACAGTAGCATCCTTGACTGTGTCTAGTTCATCAAATACAGGTGGTAACGGAGGAGCAAAAGGTGGTGCAGGTGGTGAACCAGGTGGAGTAGTCGTGGATGGAAGATCTCCAAGCTCAAATAGTTTAGCATCAACAAGATTAATCTTCAAATCAATTACTTTTGTTGCAGCGCGACCAGACTTATCAACCGCTTGCCCAGTAGTTGCGTCGTATGACTCGACTACACGCACAGTAGAGCTTGTTAAATCTTCCGATTTGCGTTGTACACTTGCCTTCTTGTTGTCAATCAAAGGGTTAGCATCAGCATCAAAAGTGGTGCAAGAAGCTATAGACTCATTCACTTCGATAGCCTCAATCTTGGCATCGTTTTTCAATTGAATCTTTTCTTGAATTTCAGACTCGGTATGTGTATCAGCATTTTGAGAGAGATCATTGCTGGTTTGAGAACGATCAGATCTAGTATCGCTTATTGTGTCGTCATCAGATCCCTCATTATACTTTTTTACGGGAGGTGTAGGCCAAGCCATAGGCTTTGCTTTTTCATCTCCGTTGAGCCCTTTCAAAAGTGGTAAAGGCCATGCATTTGGTCCCTTGGACATTCCAAGAACTTTTCTCCTTGTAGCTGCGTCATCACTTTGTTTATATACCCCACCAGATATAGTACTGCTGCTTCTTTCGCGAAGTGTTGGCTGCGGAGTCCGAAATTGAGTTGCAGCCACCATTGATTTTCCTTTGCGCATCATATTGATTTCGTGTAAATGATTGGCATTGACATCAAACGTGTCAATCTCAAGTGATTCAGAGGTTGCCTGTGACGGTAGCTGTTCCTGTTCTTTGATACATGACAAAGAGTGTGCGGAAGCATTTTCCAAAGGATCAGTACTCGGCACATCAATTCCAGAAGTCGGTGAAGGCTGTACATCTGACTTTTCCTTTGTAGAAAGGTGCGGTTCATCATTTTTACAATTTTCAGTGTGTGGAGCGTGGTAATTCAACACCAAATCCGTTGCATCTCCATCGCTTATAGTGGGCGTTTCCACTATAATAATATCAGTTGCAGAAGAACTGCAACCTGATAGGGGAGAGTTTGGAGCAATTGGTGTGGTTTGATCACTTTTAGAACAGTCCAAAAATATGGTGACCTCATCCGCGTCAGACGTAGCAGAGTTTATGCTTCGTGATGCTCCTAATAAGCTGTTTAGTCTAACACTAGATGATGGCGTACGAATCGTGGTATGATTCAAAGGAAGCATACGTTTTGACATATTGCTCTGTACCAAGTCAGTATCTGATGATGTATTGTCGTGACTAAAGTTTGACCGCGAATCTGTAACCAAAGCATGTCCCACTCGTTTTTCAGAAGTTCCTTGCATTGATTGTGGCAAAGATATATTACTTGTTCGTTGAACCAGCTCATTTAAATCATTAACAGGGGAAAATGTACGTGTTGTGCTGGATGTTCCTGATTCATTACTGTGGTTGGTATGGCGCGAGTGAAAAGAATCACCACTAGTTCGTATTGTAGTCTGTAACTCATCATTAGTGACAACTGATGAAGATCTAGCTCGTTCTGATATACGACTAGATTGGTTTAAAAGAAGTTCAAGGCGTCTTGCACTGTTAGCAGCTCGTTGTAGTGACAAATGCGAATTGCTGATATGTGACATGACTGAGTTTACTGATTGGACAGGATCGTGATTAGACGAAATCGTGGATGACCGAGATACAAAAGAATCAGCCGAGCGATCAGATGCTTGGTCAAGAGAAGGATTAGCATTTGCATTCAATACCAACTGAGAGCCAAGAAATTCTGAACTAGTATCAATAGTAAAAGAGTTTTTTTGAAGAGTATCGGAAGCTGGTGCAGGTGTGTCTACCATATTGCGTTGCTGAACAGCCTGTGAAGATAGTGAAGATAGCGAAGATGAATGGCCATCCAAAGAGCCAGTGTTTCTTGGCATTGAGCTTATCTGCCGAAGCCGAGTATGAGGAAGTGAAGCACCACTGCGTGCGCTACTATAAGAACTGGTGTTACTGCGTCGTGAACTAGATAAAGCGGTTGCTTTCAGCAAAGGATGTTCATTACACAAAAATTTAGCAAGTGTCTCGGCACGAGCAACATTATTTTCAGTTTGTTGAAGAGCATAGCACGCAAGAACGTAATGATATCCTTTAGCTTCAAGTGCTTCCATATTCGCCTGATCAACCTTGAGCAAGTGATAGCAAACGAATCTAGACAGACATTTAATCAACGAGGTACCTAGCGATCTTTCATACGACAAATTTGGTGTACCATCAATCGAGATATTATTAGGTATATGCCGCTGTGATCGTGCCTGACTTTGAGGACTGTCAGTAATCACTATATCAATTGTGAAATTGGCAGGAAAGCGACGTTCAGCAATATCATGAGGTGATAAATCCAAGTCTGCAGCTCCAATACGAATAATTCCACTTGTAGGCATAAATCCTGAATTAAACGAAAAACTGACCATAGTTATCACGGGAGATTTTGTATTGGATGAGAGTTTTGAAGAAGTAACCAGTGATGCTTCTGGAGTGTGAAATATCCGTAGTTGAATATCTCTTTGAAGTAACAAGACGGTATTCAATGGAACTTGAAACACGACTGAATTCAAGGTGCGTTGAATATGTGATGTGATGCTTGCTGATGAGCGTGAAGAGGCTCTATGAGTACAAAATACCAATTTACCACTTTCATAAATTTCAATACCAGGATTGCTAGACTCTTTTCCGTCAAAATTGGGAATGCCGTTCATGACAATGTGATGAAGTCGAATTGGATCTGGGTTAGGGACAACCCCATTGGTATTCATGACATGATCCATGTAATTGATATATCGGTCCATACTAACTGTTACCCAGCTACGATCCTTCTTTGATCTTCGATAAACAAAGTAATCGAATGCTTCTTTTACATCTGGAATAATGTCAGCAAATCGAAGATATGTTGCAATTGCAAGACCTGTTCGAGCAAGTCCGTTTGTACAATGCACTATAGCCACATTATCGGGATCAAGATTAAGCCATGCATGAATAGAGCGACTAAAATCCAGCAGAGTCTTGATGTTTAAATGAAATGCTTTTGAAAGTGGAAAAGCAAGTACTCGATGATGAAACGAATCTGAAGAATAAGTCCCCTGTGCTGTATCTCCTATATTTCAATAAAAAAATAGATATATTGCCGAGTCAGCATCTCAACAACTGCTCAATATGCAGCATATTTTGACAAAACTGATAATACGAACCAGCAAGATTCCAAATCATGTATTTTTGGGGATATCTGGTATCTAAAAAACGACACAAATCGGCAATGTGATTCCTGTGGTTTGTAATACTAGATGAAAGCTTGCATGGCAAACCACACGCGATAATCCTATTGGTGATTCGGCAGACATCAATACGTTTAATTAACTGCAAAAACAAAGAATCTTGAGGAAGGTCGGGCAGTTTCTGACCAGAGAAAAGTGTGGTATTTAATGATGCATGTGTTGATTTTAGTGCACCATGTTCAGTATTGCTTGCATTGGATGGAAGAAATAGGCCCGATGAGTTTCTAGTGGAATGGCGACTGGCAGAAACAAAGTGCGACTCTTTGTAGAAATCGTCCTGTTGAATAAATCGACGCTCGTATTCCTTTGACTTGAGCGAGCCTTCCCACATGGTATTTTCCAATGCATCAAGTATGCGTGCATTAGCAGTATGATTAGAATGAGATGAGTCTTGATTCGCTGTTGGTGTTGCTTGATGACGCTTATTGGAGTCTGAAGCTGCTGGTGTGAGTGAGCTGTCTTTAGCTGCTGATTGATTCTGTGGATAAGGAGATGCATTTGTATTGCTTTTAGTAGATCTATTATTACTACCAATGGTTTCATCCTTGGAGGAGATAGTTGCATGTGTAGAAGCCACTATTTCAGGATTCAAACGATGACGATCAGAGTGCTTGATAGCATCAACAGAGTAATGCAAGTCCGGGAATGTGTTTTCATTAAAAGCAACTCCGATACTATCATCGTTTCTGCTGTAGTGGCTGTTCTCCTGTTTAATACCATTCGAGGCTTCAAGACTGGCCGTCTGAATGCCTTCAAGACTGTTTTTGGAAAGAATTCGAGCGCATATGGCCTTGATATTGATATGATTAGTAACCTCAGCAAAAGCCAGTTTCCATCAATGGTAGTAGTGCTTACCTGTATAACAGACATTTGTTAATAAGAGTGGCAATAGTAGAAGCTTTGGATTTTATTGTTGGTGTGGATCGCATTCGCTCAACATTTGTTCCTGCTTTGAATTCACTCCATCATGTATTCTATCAGCATTCGAACTATATCTACATGAAGACTGTTGCCAATCAATTTAAATCGCTGAATTTGTGTAGTTGACTCGGGAAACTTTAGCTGCTCTTTTGGGAATCCATGCAGTCGACCCATCTCGCTTGAACTAAAATATCGCAACTTCAGCTCTACTAATGGGCACGGTCGGGTTTTGGATAGTTCATCCCACCACTTGCTTTTACCTTCTCTTGCTGCTTCCATGGATGGTTTCTTCTTGGTCACTCGCTTTTTTTTACCCCATTGATTTAATGGCACAATTGGCTCCTGTTTACTGTCGATGGCCAAGGCACGTAGTCCTGCTGCGATCGTGTTTGAATCTATTTCTACAGTTGGTTTCTGTACCTGCAAGAGCTCTACTTTCAATTTATGCTCTTCAAATAACTCATTGTATGCTTTAAATGCTGCCTCCTCTCGCTCTTTATATCCAGGCTTAGAATCGGTTCGTACAACTGATCCACCACCTCGTGCATAACTACCATATGCCTTGGTGAAACAACACGATCGAGTGCTCTCCGGTCCAACAACGTCAAAATGTCTTGCTGCTGCCCACAAATCCTGCTCCGTCACCAGCATATATGGATTCGTATCTTCACTGTTAGGATTGTCCAGAAATCCTGCAAGTATCTGTGGTGTTGTGTCCCTGCCTTGAAAAAAACGATCTGCCATGGCGGCATGTGCCTGTTCCTGTTTAATGACCTTGTGATTAAACTCTTGGATCGAAAATCCTTTAAATACTGAATCCTGACACTCGCTACATTTTTCATGATCTCCTTGATGCGAATCAGTATCTAGTCGATAGTCTTGCTTGCATTGATTGCACACCCTCAACTTGGCTAGAATAAAGATTCTGGGTCTGGAATATGGGATTCCAAAATGCCATGGATTGAGCTCAAAGCTTTGAATATCATACTCGCCAACCAGTTTTTCCTTTAGTATTGTAAATGTATCCGAGGTTTCAAATCCATACACATTTTCTACCAGCATCCATTTCGGTTTTTGCTGCATCTTTTTGATACTATCTAGTAACTGAACAAATGAATCTGCTCGACTGTCATTGATGCCCTTACGTGATCCTTTGCGAGAATATGGTTGACATGGAGGAGATAAAAGAAACATGTCGGCTTGAAATGCATCTAGATCAATGGGAGAAAGAAAGCCAATATTGCGGACGGAAACTGGCACTGTTGGATGGGTTGTTTGATAAACTAAGTTGGCATTGATGTTCATGTCAAATGCTTGAAGAACTTGAAAAGCTATATGAGTTTTTGATAATGCAGCATGAAATCCTCCAATGCCACTATAAAACTCTAGTACTTTTATTGGGGGTTTGCTATTGGACATGCCAAGTATTGTCTGCTGATATAGTTTGGTAAAAAAGAATTTGGTCGAATTTACAAATTTTCGAATTGGAATTTGAAACTGTCACTATTCATCGTATTGATTTCAATTGCAATCCAGATTCAGAGCCCATCAGTCACCATATACAGCCGTATTCACGTAAAATGGAACACTAAAAATATATGATAAACAGTTTTATGTTTGATTGGTGCCAATCTTACTGAGAAGCATTGTTTTATAAACTCATTAGTTGACCTGTATTTGTGTTTATTCTTGTACAAAAATGCTGAGCAAATGTTCACATCACATTTGATACCTTTGGCATCTATTCAACCTTTAACCTTTTTGTTTTGAAATCGAACATTTGAAGCAAACATTGCGCGACCGGCGTGGAAACAGCTGTTGCATTTTTAAGATATGTTGAACTAGATCGCTAACGTATCTGATATTAGGATACAACAGAGTTTCAATAAAAGAAATATTGAATAACAATGAGTGTTTATTCCAAGACAATCTCTGCAAGATAGATACCAAAGTCTTTCATTTTACGTGAACACGACTGTAAATCGGAAATATAAAACCCAAAACCAAATAATCAATCTACTAGTAGATTCAAAGCACAAAATAGATCAAGTTCATTTAGATTTGAAATTGGCTTGAACACGGCTCCACGCACCGACTAGCACACCACGAGCATTGTAAATGCTCTCAAATGTTTCTGGCTGAGAGTTGTAGCTTGAATCAATCGCCTTGCATACAAATGTAACCTTTCCTTCTTGAGCACGCTCAGATACCCATTCTGCTGGAAGCTTTGCTTCCCATTGTGTCCACGCCCATTGCCTGCCATAAGGCTTTTTGTCCATTTGAACCAGTTCTGCATCTCGCCACGTCTTACCATCATCAGCTGAAACATCTACTCGATAAATATGTCTACCTCCTCCACTGAGCGCATATCCCTTGACAATCACCTCATCATCATCGTTTGCACATATCTCGTCTCCAGCTCTAGGATACAGAATTGCAGATTGAATAGGGAGTTCCTGGATCGAGTTTGATTTAGAGTAATCGCTGGTTTCTAAAGTAGAAGATGGAGAAAACCCTTTGTAATCATGCTGCTGCCAATGAGATTGGGATTCTTCATCGCTTAAAGTGATTTTACCAACCCATTTGACGCTTCTTGCTGCCACATGACCAGGAACAACTGCTCGTAGGGGAAATCCATGATCTCTTGGAATAGGCTCACCATTCATTTCAAAAGCCAAAAGAACATCTCCACGTGGATCAACTGCTTTTTCAATTGGAATGGATGCACCATATCCTTCAACTCCGTCAAACTGAACATGTGTTATATCTTCAGCGTAATTTGGCAATGTAAAATCTGGAAGCTGATAGCCTGCATCTGCCAAAACATCCCGAAGACGAACGCCTGTCCAGACTGTGTTGCTGATGGCACCTCCTTGCCATTGCAAACCCTTGACTGGTCGGACATCGTGCATCTCTTTACGTCGATTGCCTGCACATTGAAGTGTTACAGTTTCGCTTACGTGTGTAAATTTGGTTTTTAGTTCATCAATACTGAGTGAATAGTCATCGGGAATACCGGGACCTTCAATTTGCAGACGAAATAGCTCAGGGTCAACATTGGGCACTGGGAGGTGATTACGAACAAAAAACAATTCGTTGGGAGTAACAAAAGTGGCAAGTGAATCTGGATGGGCTTCCGCGTTGCAAGGACGAGCAGATCTTACTTGCAAAGAGGGATGTCGCTCAGGCTCATTGATAAACAATAGCTCGATGCCTTTGCTATGTGACTCTATATCTTGTGCTGTAGAATCTTCGGCACGAGGCATGAGATCACCAATGCGGTAGTTTTCAAGAAGTTCGCGAGTTTCGGGTGTAGCATGAACAGAAAAGACTGCCCAAAAGGGATCAATAGCATGTCCTGCAGCAAGAAGAATACGTTCACCACCTGGATGAATCGTTACAAACTTAGAAATGTCGTACACGCCATCGACATAGGTTACCCAAATTCCAGTTTCAAGAGAATTATGCTGGGCCACCTCGCCACGAGAATAAATGGGCCGACCAGATGCAGATATGGCGCGCTCAGTAGTAGAAGGCTGGGGAGTAAGATCAGTCAGGGTTGATTTAGAGCTAGTGTCTGGAGCAGCAGCAACATGTTGTGAAGTCTTGGTGCTAGACTTGGATAAGATGGGGTACTTTTTTTCAAAGTAACTGTCGACCCAAGAAACTCCCATGGTTCCTACAGCAAGTGCCAACACACCAAGCCCAAGCCAGAGGTTTAATTGATTGGTGTTTTTAAGGGGTTTTTTGGTGGAACTGAGGCTATCCGCTTCAACAGCAGGCGCTGAAGAGTAGGCACGACTATTTTTATGACGACTGTAAACGGCATCAATGAGTTTCTGACGATCAAGCGCGGTGGTGGAAGAAGACTGCCAATTGGGAAGAGTTTTGCCGGGTGTTGAAGAGGTACTCAATGTAGCCTTCTGGATTGAGCAAGCTAGAGATGTATTCATCAGCTGTGATTGGCTGGCGGCATTCTTTTTATAGTCATGAAGCAGTTGGTATATTAAAATGTCAGTGCCATTTTTTGGTCAAATAAATTTGTATTATAATGGAATGATTTGGCGACTATGAACTAGCAACATGATGGCTACTTGAACAATTATAAGGAGCTGAACCACAATTCCCTCTTACCGGAAGTGGTGAGAGCAGTGAAAAAACTTTATGAGAGGCAAAGGAGGCTCTGATAACGGTATCAGCTGTAGCTTTAGTGCAAGTCCTTGCCAGTAGCGACAACACTACAGGTTTCACCATGTTACCGATTGGGCTTGAAGCACTCCCGCATTCAACTTGCGGGCTAGAAAAGGCGCGTTTGTAAGATTCCCTCAGGTAAAATTTATTTCAATGACCAATTTATTTTGATATCTGATTCAAACTTGGCTCATAAAAGCCTTAGTTTGTCTGCTAGCTCCCTCTTTTGTATTGAGGCCTTGATTAAAAATTTACGGCTGTCTTGTAGCCTCCCAATAGTTTCAGTTACACACCCCAGTAAATCCTATACAGTATAAACTCGGTTCAGAAATAATAGCCACAATACTCGATTAAATATAGACTCACCTCGACATCATCTTGCAATTCAGTCGCCACACTTTCTGATAAACCTTCCAATATATTCATGTCTTGAGTATCAGGATCATCCCCTTGAAGCATTTCTGTGAATTGGCAAAGAGTACGATACAGCCGCGCTTCTTCTTCAACCATGGCCATTGCCTTGCGTGCCAATATTTGTAGATCGTGACTCTTTAATGTGTGTTTTACTGGTGGCATTTTCTGCAAGTCGCTGGGAGATTCGGGAAGACACCATATCTCTGTAAAACGCATGTTGATTAAAAGACATATCAGCTGAAAATGAATGATGCACTATAGCATTCGAATGTCGATTAGCACATATATGTCCATTGAACCCACCGTCCATATCAATGTCCTTATAAGGATCATCCTCAAACAGTTGGCAAGTAGCTCCTACTCGGCGCTGTCCTTTGCGCATAATCATCCTACGACCATTCGTCTGAACATACTATTTGCACAAGCACGAGTGACAGGTAAGTTAAATGCATCTAGCTTCCACGATTGGCAGGGATCATACTGCCATTTTTGTAAGAATGCGTGACATACCTCGAGGTCTTCGTCAATTTGATAAACGGGCCACAAGGTTGGCTTGCTTGGAAGTAAATGTGGCTGTTCTAAAAGTCTCTTGAGTAATAATAGAATCATTCAAACTAGTCAAGAAAGCAACTGATTCAAAGTTTCAACTATACAAGGTAAAAATAAAAGTTTAAAAGGATATGTTTGTTGCCTCGATTATATGGTCGATAGTTACTAGATCCAAAATCCTCGCCTTCACTATCTTCACCTAGATTGGAATATATAGTTGAAAATTCACTCGAGTTGATAACTGTACGTTGCTGTTGAACTGGAGAAAGAAGATGTACAAGTATAATAATGGGGAAAATGAGCCGACAGATCCACACTCTTATACCTAATGCTTGAACCAGTGGGATGGATACACTACTATAACAGATATTGCCATACTCAATCTTAGCTTACGAGTTTTGCATTTACAAGGCAGTAAAACATATAGTATTACAAAGCAGTTTGTTTGAAGAAATAGGATCTACTCAGCAGACCTTTCAATGGAGCCACAATCCTACCTATCTGTCATATGTGCAGTCTTGTTTGTTGGCCAAGTTACCTGTTGCGATAGTGCAAAAAGTGAAAATAGTCAACCATGAATCACGTGATGATATCATTACAATAACGAATCATGACTTTCCAGATCAAGCTGCTGCAATATATTTTACAGCCGTATTCATGTAAAATAGATGACTAAATACGGGTGAAAGCATATAATAAACAACCAGTCTCATGAAATGATGAATGAAAATTGGCTGTACAATATTGTTTTTCAAGTCTTAAATTTACTGATCTTTGTGATTGGCATGGAAACAACAGTTGTATACCTGCAATCCTTGTTTTCTTAAACTAGAGCGCGAATCTACAAGTTTGTACAGACCCAAGAACAATCAAATCCAATATTTGAATTTCAATGAATATTTAATCCTTGTGTATTACAAATAATAAAGGCTCTAACTTTAAAACACAAATGTATTTTACTACATAGATATGAATATGAATGATATATAATTATATAAATTTTTTCAAAAAGAAGGACAACGTGGCCGAGTGGTTAAGGCGACGCCCTGCTAAGGCGCTATGTTCTGCATGCGTAGGTTCGAATCCTGCCGTTGTCGCTTTTTTTTTCTTATAATTATATTGTATCTAGCTAAACCATTGCTATTACTAACAGCGAGTGTATTAGATAGTATATGTTGAGCAATCGAGTATCTTGCGGACAAACGAGAATATATTCAATGTGATGGAAACAGTCAAAAACAGATCATTTCTGTTTGCCCACAAATTCTTTGACCAACTAACCTCACATTATGGCTGAACCTGTTGATGAGCTCTTGGACTATGCTGATGAAGACGAAGATCAAACCGAGGTTTTGACTAGCCATGCTGGTGTTCCTAACATTTCTGCCGTTGGAGGTCTTGCTGCTCCTGCTGACGACAAAGAAACCAAAAAGGGTTCATATGTGGGCATCCACGCTACTGGCTTCCGAGACTTTTTGTTGAAGCCAGAACTGCTGCGAGCCATTGGTGATTGCGGTTTTGAGCATCCTTCCGAAGGTGATTACTAGTGCTACTCTAACCCTCACTATCCTACTTGTGGACTTGCAAGAGAAACCTCTGCCATGATTTCTGACTCCCTGGCGGAAGTCGAAAATGACGGTTATTCTGGCTAGGAGAGATAACAAGAGTCTAGCGACAGAAAAAGATCTACTCATGTATTGAGTTCATTTCTCATATATAGGATACTTTCAGACATTCTTTCTATATTCTTATCGTTACTAGTTGGATTATTCGTTCAACTCTTGTTTCTGCCCATCAAGCTGCGTTTTTGCTCTTGTCCAACACCCTCTAGGTTTTCCTATTCTTCACCCATACTGTCCTTGATCTGCCTCCTTTCTAAGCAAAGTCGCTTAATGATGAGATGCTTTGACTGTATGCTCGGCTACATCCAAGTGATTCATTTTGGAGGACCTGTGCCATTGCGTTTTGATCTTTCCACTGGTTGGAAGATCATTTGGTCAAGTAAACTAGACTAGGAATTTTAGATCCTGTTTCGTTTGTGCTACTAGCCTGCAAGAGCTTGGGTGTCTCGCTCTCTATCGCAGTTGCTTTTTGGTCGGCTTGTTCAGCTTGATCTGTCCTGCTGAAGACGAAAGTGAACTGAACAGTCACGTGGAAATATGCCTGTTTTTTGGTTTTTTTTATTTTCGAGGTTTTATCAGATCAAGGCCAATGTTTCCATCACCATCCATCCCCACCATACTCTTGCTTGTTCTGGAGCTTCGATCTACTGTATTTGAAACCTTTGGCTTGGCTACATTTTGCTCACCTTGTCTCTGTTTTTACCACTGTTTTTAAATTTGTTGGATGTCTTGATCTGTCTTGGCGACGCTGGGTTTTTTATTTTTTTTGTTGCAACTTGATCCAGTCCAACAAGAATGCATTCCACAGGCCATTCTTGGCATGGATGTGCTTTGCCAAGCCAAGTCTGGTATGGGAAAGACTGCTGTGTTTGTTCTGGCAACCTTGCAACAACTTGATACCAGTGCTGCTGCCGGTGCTCCCTCTGACCCATCTGTCATTGTTATTTGCCACACTCGCGAGCTTGCTTACCAGATCAAGAATGAGTACGCTCGTTTTTCAAAGTATCTTCCTGATGTCAAGACTGCCGTGCTCTATGGTGGTACATCCATTCGCCAAAACATTGATACACTCAAGAATGACAAGCCCCAAATCATTGTTGCTACCCCAGGTCGCTTGTTGGCTCTTATTCGTGACAAGGCGATCAACCTTGCTACTGTCAAGCACTTTGTTCTTGATGAATGTGACAAAATTCTTGATGCTCTTGGTAAGACGTTTTTTGTATTGTTTAATGACTTGCAAATGCCTCGTGTGACTTGGATGATGAGCTTGCAGCTATTATTTAAACCCAGCTCTTCGAATTCGTTTTATAATGAGAAGGATGCACATCTCTGACAATGATCACAATATTGCTGCTTTTGGGGTTTTCCAACTGCCACTATGTTCTAATTCTGTGTCTTGATTTATTCGTGTATAGATATGCGCAAAGATGTTCAAGATATCTTTCGCTCAACACCACACCATAAGCAGGTGATGATGTACAGTGCTACTCTCAGCAAGGAAATTCGTCCTGTTTGCAAAAAATTTATGCAGAACGTAGGTGTTTTACTGGTCATTTTATGTACGCACGCTCTGATTTAACATTTGTCAAACCTGTCGTCCTTATTAATAGCCGCTCGAGATATTTGTGGATGACCAGACCAAGCTCACTTTGCACGGTCTGCAGCAGTACTATTTGAAGTTGTCTGAAAATGCCAAAACCCGCAAGCTCAATGATCTTTTGGACTCTCTCGAGTTTAATCAGGTTTGTATTTTTGTCAAGAGTGTTCAGCGTGCTGTTGAGCTTGACAGACTGTTGGTCAAGTGTGGGTTCCCTTCAATATGCATTCACTCTCAACTTCAACAAGAAGAGCGTATTGCCAGATACAAGTCATTTAAAGATTTTGAAAAGCGTATTATGGTTGCAACGGATATTTTTGGCCGTGGCATTGATGTTGAGCGTGTCAATATTGTCATCAACTATGATATGTCTGATTCACCCGATGCGTATCTGCACAGAGTAAGTCGTAATGATCGAGTTTTGCGAGGGGCATTGCCGAATATATTCCTTTTGATAGGCTGACACTTGCCATTGAAATAGGTTGGTCGTGCAGGTCGTTTTGGTACCAAGGGTCTTGCAATTACGTTTGTATCGTCTGATGAGGACACTGAGGTGTTGAATCAAGTCCAAGGCAGATTTGAAGTCAACATCACCGAGCTCCCTGAAACTATTGATGTCTCGACTTATATGGCCTCTTGAATGTGTATCAATATGAAATTGGCAAGGCAATAGCTTCATTTTTAGTTAATGTTTTTGAGATTGGACTCGTTGATTATTGATTTACTTTTGCGGGAGGTTTATCTTTGCCCGTAGCATCCATTTTTTAAATAAATTAATGGATTGGTTTTTTCCCAGTCATTTTTAATGATTTCAAATGATTTGGATCTGCTATTGATTGTGTATTTGGTTTAAATGTATGCAGACGTTGTTAAAAATGAAATGCATCCACTACATTCTGCACGTAATATGAGCTATCCATTATTTAGAATTAATTGAATGGGATTGGCATTCCTTTTTTGTAGCTTCATCAGCCCTAAAGCAAAACCCAACTTGGCTTGATACTGTTGTATTCATGTAGATGAAACACTAAACGAGTGTCAGTGCATAGATAGACAAAAGAGCTGAAAATGTCTATTGAAAGAACAGTATTTTGTTTGAATATGGTTGTCAAATGTAGGCAAAAGATTCAGTGAGAATAATTAAAAAAGTTTAGCACTGGAAGGTTTCGATCCTTCGACTTCTGGGTTATGAGCCCAGCGGACTTCCTCTGTCCCACAGTGCTTTTTTACAAATCTAAAATGTTAATTTTTAAATACTTTTTGTTCTGCTAAACATTCCTAATTCTTTTAAACGACTGGATTCACACTATAATTTTAAACAGAGATTGTACAATTGCCGAGTTTTAAACCATATATTACATTCGATTATTTTGATATGCTTAATAAAATTATACAATCACCCAAATTCCTAGATTTAAATGGATGGCATCAAGGTTCTGGTACACCAAGTACTCAGACTGACCCATCTATTTATAAACATCGACTTTCAGTCTACTTGAACTCGGCTTGGTTTTTAACCAACAGATATTGCAAATGGATCAACAAGGCTTTGGTACTTTTTAACCGATTCGATATTCAAACCAAGCACGAACCAACACTCGGAATGTTTGACGAGTTTAAAAAGTGTCTCGTACATATCGGCGAAGCTTTTCAAGCGGAGCGACGCAAAATATATGATGTGGTTACAGCTTTACAAGACGATCCAGTTGCACTACAAACCTCGATTCAGTTGGTTATGAATGCAATGGATGAAACTCGACATGCACAGCATATTCTAAAAGACTCACTTTTGGCATTAGCTGTAAGCTATTTTAAACATGACTTGCACAGTGAGTCACTAATTCAGTGGCTATATGATGTGTGGTTCTATGCTCATTACAAAATAACGGATATGGCGACAGAATTGCAAAATCAATAAATCCACTACTTTGGTAACAATTTCTAATCAAATGTATTTAAAAATATTAAAAAATACTAAAAACAGCAGTAAAATATCAGTCACTTTTACATTGCCACCAATTCAAAACTATTAAAAAGTATAGCAAAGCAAATGTTTATTAAGAGGTTTGAAAAACAATGATGAAATGTAATTGCTTGTTAAGAGATTTAAAGAAGAGCAGCAATGGCAGCAACAATGGCAGCACCGGAAAGCATGGTAGCAGAAGCACCGGATGCGATAACCTCATCTTCCTCTGAATACTGGGGCTTACTGGGGGAGGGTTTCTTGGGTGCAGGTGGAGTCTGCTTCTTGGGTGCAGGTGGGGTCTCCTTCTTAGGTGCAGGTGGGGTCTGCTGCTTTGGTGCAGGTGGTTGAGGAGTCTGCTGTTGTGGTGCAGGTGGTTGAGGAGTCTGCTGCTTTGGTGCAGGTGGTGCGGGATCCTTGTATGTTGGCTCAGATGGAGTCTGCTTCTTTGGTGCAGGTGGTTGAGGAGTATGCTTCTTTGCAGGTGGTGCGGGATCCTTGTACTCCTGATCCTCTTCAGCTGGGGTTTCCTCGGCAGTGGTGGACGTGCACGATTTTCCGGTAGACGAGCAAGTGCTCTTCTTTGCAGGTGGTGCGGGATCCTTGTACTCCTGATCTTCCTCAAGATCATCACCTTCAGCTGGTGCATCGGGATCTTCTTCATCACCTTCCTCCTCTTCTTCCTCATCTTCTTCTTCATCACCTTCCTCGGTCTGTTTAGCTGGTGCCTCGGGATCCTTGTACTCCTGATCCTCTTCAGCTGGAGTTTCCTCGGCAGCCTTGGATGGGCAAGAAGATCCGGCGCAAGCAGGGGCAGCCTCAGCTGGGGCAGCCTCAGCAGGGGCTTGCTCGGCAGCCTTGGATGGGCAAGAAGATCCGGTGCAGGCAGGGGCAGCCTCAACTGGAGCAGCCTCAACTGGGGAAGCTTCAGCAGCGGCTTGCTCGGTCTGAGCTGGGGCTTGAACAGATTCGAGATCGGCATCAGAAACTGTCTGTTCGGCAGCTGGTTGAGCAGTAGCAGTCTGAGCAGCGGCTTGCTCGGTCTGAGCTGGGGCTTGGACAGATTCGAGATCGGCATCAGAAACTGTCTGTTCAGGAGCCGATTGAGCGGTAGCAGTCTGAGCAGCAGTTTGGGCAGCAGCTTGCTGGGTAAGAGCACAGTCAGTTCCCTGGCATTGGGGGTACGCGACAGCGGAAGCTGCGAGAGTGGCAAGAGCAAGAGTAGTAAATTGCATTATGTTAAAATGTATTGGTATGATAATAATGAATATGGAAGATAAATCCTCTCGTTTTATAATAGTTGATGAGTGGCCGTTAAGGGCGACCAACTAATTAATCTGTATAGCACCATAGCATTAAGGACGATGTACCTTTAAAAGTGGTAAATTACGCTGCTGTATGCTAAAATCACACAGATATATTCGCGCTTTAAAATCGAGTAAATATTGTGATTAGCATGGAAACAACAGTTGCATTCCAGAGATTTACGATCTTGTAATGCTCGGTTTGGTTTGAAAACAGGAGCATTGCAGGATCTAGTGCCTATTTATTACCATGGCCAGATTACAGTTGTATTTACATGGAATGAGACTTTTGACAAAGTTTACAAGCTCTTTTCCGTGCTTATTTTTGCATAAAAATATTAAATGGATGTTCAAAGCAGCATTTACACCACAGCTTTAGTAAATTTCATACCTTTAACACTTGCTCAGCCGTCAATTCCCAAATATCAAGTTTAGTGTCTGCATAACTAGAAACGCAAGCTGATAGTCTGATAGTTGTAGATATTAAACTTTCAGACTGTAATGATTATCAATACCGTGTATTCCACTATATAATGACCGATGGGTTTTTGTTGATGCCTGTAAACTTATTGTTGCATTCCGTCAATTCAATAGCCATATGCTATTCAAGTAACATACATCACAATTATGTGCTAAATCAATGTATATATATAGTAATAGCAATGATTCGTATGTTGGTTAAACTACAAGCCAGTTCATGACTAGAATCACATACAATGTTGTGTATTGATTCAAGTCATACAGTGTTGATTAATGATTTGATACTAGTTTTTGTACCATGGTGACTACTACAATGATTTTTAACTGGTCTGGCTGATCATCACGTACGAGTATTGGATAGTGTGCCAAGATACTCTGAGCTTGCTGATAATATCAGTTGTATTATCATCAAGCTCAAAGATGCTTAAATCATTGAATGCAGTATTGAATGTCAATATATCAGATGTTTCATGCCATGTTTGTATACTGTGCAGGGCTGACTCGTAACCCCAGAAACTTGGTGATCCATTGTTATAATAGCAGTAATTCATTTGAAGCTATCAAATGTTGATATTACTGCAATACAGTACGCACGAGTGCTTATTTTGATTAGATCGAGTTCAATATAGTACATGACAACTATACATTGAATGAACCAAGAATACAGTCAGGTCAACATGAACCTCGGATTCACGACACGGTCAGTTAAACTGAATAGTAGCAAATGTGAAACTGGTGGTGCTGATCTCGTATTCAGACAACAGTGGTTGAGTGGTGTAGTTACCAAGAAAATACAAGCAGGACTGTTGACACAGGATCAGTGTAATCGCTTAGTCTGAGTTGATTCACTACATGATGTTGCCCACCAACTCGCTCTCGACACCAGCTGCCATTTGATCACCCTATTCAACAACCCTAATCGTTGTACGCCTCTACTGTTTTTGGCTAGCATACAATGCAATGTTTGTGTTGATATCAGTCAGCCCCTATATATTCAGTACAATAGTACTGTTTGCCTTGACCCCGCAAATATTCTGCTTTAGTTTCATCAGCTATAAAGCGGGTTACCAACTATTTTGACTATCCGTTCACGATTCTACTCGTCCAAATGAGATACACAGGTGTTTCAATCCTTGCTGCTTTTACTTTGACTAGCAGAGTTTATGCTATACTTCCAGAACACCTGCATGATTCTTTATCTAGTACCACATCCGCCGCCAGCTCTCAGTATACTTTACAAGCAGTGGGCAATCAGCCCAGTGATGAACCAGATTTTCAGAATGTTTTAGAAACAGATGATGAGTTGGAAGACGATTCGGATTTTTTGGGTATATCACAAAAGGATGCTCTTACACCAAGCTATCCATCTGCTTTGCTAATTTTAAGAAAAGTAGTTCCTCACTTTGAATCGGATAGCTCTGAACGTCGCAATATTGTTGGATTGTTCGACATGGCGATGGCTTCAGTAAGCAAAATGGTTTCCAGTGAAGCAAAAAGTGTAATTGATGACATAAAATACAGGTTTGATTCTTTTACAGTCAGTACAATTAATCGGAATGGTCCTTATAGGGTAAAGGAGTATTGGGACAGGTATGAGGCTTTCGGGTTGCTGTTGGCCTCTATTCCAGAATCACCCAAATTCCTAGATTTAAATGGATGGCATCAAGGTTCTGGTACACCAAGTACTCAGACTGACCCATCTATTTATAAACATCGACTTTCAGTCTACTTGAACTCGGCTTGGTTTTTAACCAACAGATATTGCAAATGGATCAACAAGGCTTTGGCACTTTTTAACCGATTCGATATTCAAACCAAGCACGAACCAACACTCGGAATGTTTGACGAGTTTAAAAAGTGTCTCGTACATATCGGCGAAGCTTTTCAAGCGGAGCGACGCAAAATATATGGTGTGGTTACAGCTTTACAAGACGATCCAGTTGCACTACAAACCTCGATTCAGTTGGTTATGAATGCAATGGATGAAACTCGACATGCACAGCATATTCTAAAAGACTCGCTTTTGGCATTAGCTGTAAGCTATTTTAAACATGACTTGCACAGTGAGTCACTAATTCAGTGGCTATATGATGTGTGGTTCTATGCTCATTACAAAATAACGGATATGGCGACAGAATTGCAAAATCAATAAATCCACTACTTTGGTAACAATTTATGATCAAATGTATTTAAAAAATATTAAAAAATACTAAAAACAGCAGTAAAATATCAGTCACTTTTACATTGCCACCAATTCAAAACTATTAAAAAGTATAGCAAAGCAAATGTTTATTAAGAGGTTTGAAAAACAATGATGAAATGTAATTGCTTGTTAAGAGATTTAAAGAAGAGCAGCAATGGCAACAACAATGGCAGCACCGGAAAGCATGGTAGCAGAAGCACCGGATGCGATAACCTCATCTTCCTCTGAATACTGGGGCTTACTGGGGGAGGGTTTCTTGGGTGCAGGTGGAGTCTCCTTCTTAGGTGCAGGTGGAGTCTGCTGCTTTTGTGTGCAAGACTTCTTGGGTGCAGGTGGTTGAGAAGTCTGCTGTTGTGGTGCAGGTGGTTGAGGAGCCTGCTGCTTTGGTGCAGGTGGTTGAGTCTGCTGTTGTGGTGCAGGTGGTTGAGGAGCCTGCTGCTTTGGTGCAGGTGGTGCGGGATCCTGATATGTTGGCTCAGATGGAGTCTGCTGCTGTGGTGCAGGTGGTTGAGGAGTATGCTTCTTTGCAGGTGGTGCGGGATCCTTGTACTTCTGATCCTCAGAAGCAGGTGGTGCAGGAGCCTCAACAGTGGTGGACGTGCACGACTTTCCGGTAGACGAGCAAGTGCTCTTCTTTGCAGGTGGTGCGGGATCCTTGTACTCCTGATCTTCCTCAAGATCATCACCTTCAGCTGGTGCATCGGGATCTTCATCACCTTCCTCCTCTTCTTCCTCATCTTCTTCTTCATCACCTTCCTCGGTCTGTTTAGCTGGTGCCTCGGGATCCTTGTACTCCTGATCCTCTTCAGCTGGAGTTTCCTCGGCAGCCTTGGATGGGCAAGAAGATCCGGCGCAAGCAGGGGCAGCCTCAGCTGGGGCAGCCTCAGCAGGGGCTTGCTCGGCAGCCTTGGATGGGCAAGAAGATCCGGTGCAAGCAGGGGCAGCCTCAACTGGAGCAGCCTCAGCAGGGGCTTGCTCGGCAGCCTTGGATGGGCAAGAAGATCCGGTGCAAGCAGAGGCAGTCTCAACTGGAGCAGCCTCGGTCTGAGCTGGGGTCTCGGGAGCAGTTGGGGTTTGCTCGGTCTGAGCCAAAGCTTCGGTCTTGGCTGGGGCTTGGACAGATTCGAGATCGGCATCAGAAATTGTCTGTTCGGCAGCAGATTGAGCAGCAGTTTGGGCAACGGCTTGCTCGGTCTGAGCAGCAACTTGCTCAGTCTGGGCTGGAGTCTCGGAAGCAACAGCGACTTGCTCGACTGGAGATGGAACCTCAATGATAGTTGGGGCTTGCTCAGTCTGGGCTGGGGTCTCGGAAGCAGCAGCAACTTGCTCAACAGGAGATGGAACCTCAATGATAATTGGGGCTTGCTCAGATACGAGATCTTCATCAGAAACTGTCTGTTCAGGAGCAGATTGAGCGGTAGCAGTCTGAGCAGCAGTTTGGGCAGCAGCTTGCTGGGTAAGAGCACAGTCAGTTCCCTGGCATTGGGGGTACGCGACAGCGGAAGCTGTGAGAGTAGCAAGAACAAGAGCGGTAAATTTCATTACTTTAAGATGTATTGGTATGATAATGATAGTAAAGATGAAGGATGAATTCCCTCATTTTATAACGGTCGATAGATGGCCGTTAAGGGAGATGAGTAAATCAATTTGTCTAGCGCCATAGCATTAAGGACGGTATGCCTTAAAAATTAATATGGAGAGATTGATAGGGATGTTGGTTAATAAAGCTGTATGATTAAAATTTATTCGAATCCTCCCTAATCATTATAGCTGGAGACAATGGGGATGAGAACGGAAAGAAATTCCTAAAATCACTTAATTTTGAATTCATCCCTCTAATAAGCCACCCATATCGCCCTATCCAAGCAACATGGCCAAAAGGGCTGTAATGATGCCTCATTAAGTTTAGCGCTGATATAACAAATGCATAGGCTGAGTATCCACTACATGACCATTTTTTGATAAACAACAATGCTTTCATTTGGATATATGCTTATCAAAGCCGGCCATTTCAAGCAAATGTTGCCGCAATCTTGATTATAAGCCCATTTCAAACTTTGCAAAACCATTCAGCCAGGTTTAGTACGGTCGGTAATTACAGCTGTATTCACGCAAAATAGAAAATTAAACAAGGGCTTCTAAATACATAATATGCAGCAAGTCTTTGAAATGACAATTTCTACCAAAATTGCTAGACAACCTAGTGGCCTCTACTCTCATTGACAAAGCTTACTGATCTTTATGTCAATGAGAGTAAAGCAACTGAATCAATGTTTAAAGCAGCGTTCTCACTTGTTTAATCGAATTCTTTTATTTTAACCAAAGCTACAATATTGGATGATCAACATGGAAACAACTGCTGCACTACCGAAATTGTAGTCTGAATTAGAACGCGAGCGTATTCGAGTTTTTAGAAACAAAAATGGGTTTGTAGTTTTATTGAGCACATCAAAATGGTTGAATCCAATATGTGGTTTCAAACTCAACAATCGTACAATGTATGATTATCAAGAGGACGACATCTGTCCAAAATTAGGGTGTGAATCATACGACGGTCGTTTAAAAAATTGAGAATGCCTATTGAATAAGCAGTCAATTTGTATTAGCGGAGCAAAAGTTTAACCATTGTATATTTCAAAGCAAAAGAGGCAGTCGCCGCAAACAAGTGTTTTGTGAGTACGGCTAAACTGAAAATATTCTTGCACAGATCTGATATCTCTGATCAACGGTTACTTTACAATCCAAGTTTCTGCCGAGTCTATTCAAAAAGGCCATTCAACTTGGTGATGATACAACTCGGCTCAGGAGTGAGATTTCAATGCACATTCTAGTAAAGCTTTTCGTTACCCAACAAACCCGGCCATTTCCAAAATGACGCAGGATGCCGTCGTGATTCAATAGCGGCGTTGGGTTGCTGTTCTATCCAAAGCCTTGATATAGTTCATCACAAACGGAATGAGCGCTGTGCTTTTTGCCAACCTTTCAATCAAACTACTATTGATTTTTTATCAAAGCGTTGCATTCATATTCCAAAGAACGGAATGCTTTATTGCTTATTTTTATATACAATCAACAAAAATGAATTGGTATCAAAGATGTCGCAATTTACAGCCATATTCATGTAAATTGCAACATGTTGTTCATTTTGTATTGATCGGCCCTTGCTGTGAAATAAATAGCATTTACAGCTGTATTCATGTAAAATGAAACAAGTGCATAAATGACCAGTTTTATTTGGTGCCAATCTTACTGCAAGAGTTTTTTGAAGTCTTTAGTTGGCTGGCCTGTATAAACAATTGAATGAGTGGTCACATTAGTCAATTCCACATTTGCTCAGCCGCCAACCCTTTCCCCCAAACATTATGACATTGACCGACCATCATGGAAACAACAGTTGCATTCCCGAGATTGTTTTCTTGAATTAGAGCACAAATATATCTGATTAGAATACATGACTTGTTCAATGATATGATTGTGCCAGATACTCTTTGGTTGTATGTAAAACCAACGCTTCCAACAACAGGAATAGAGTCAATCCAAGATAAATACAAGTACTGCATTTTACGTGAATACGGCTGTAAATGTCTGTTCGGCTTCCTGCTAAATATTGTATGCACTGCTTATTCAATAGATAGCATCCATCGTATGGTGCCCATACAAACTATCCCTTTCTGTTTTCGCTGTCGTGCATTGCACGATCGACAAGTTTGAAACCAGATACTGGGTTTGACTGTTTCGATGTTGTCCATAAACTCTTAGGCTCGCCCTTGTTGTACTGTAAACTGTCTTGATTCTCCAAGATTAGCTTATTACACTCTTGATGCTCCATTTTACGCGAATACAGCCGTGATTGTTCACCTTGAGCTCGCCATAATCAGATATATTTATTTGAAAATCAAGACAAGCAAGAAAATTCCAGAGGCACAAAAACACTTTGCCGACCATCAGACTGTCTTGGTGAGCTGCGTAGGGTATTTCCATTGGTTTCTGTTGTCACAATGCAACGTTGATCATTGAGTGAAAGCATAAACTCGATCGTAGTGTACTCTGGAATATATGCACATTCAAGTACCTCGAGATGGATATGCACCTCTTCATTGACGGTATTCTCTGCCCGCATTCGATATCTGAACACAGCTGCATCCATCGACACCCCATCGTCGTCAATTACCTCGATAAAGTCACTTGACGCTCTAGATTGAGGATCCATGTAAATCTCGACCGTTCTAACGGATTGGGATTGCGTATTTATTTTATGCATTGAGTTGTCCATCGGAATCAGTGCGCCAGATGGTGCAAACAGTGCTCCGTGCTGATCCAGCGGAACTGGAACAACAACAGTCTGTCCTCCATTCATCCACTCACCAGTCCAAACATTGCACCATCTGCCTTGGTCCTTTGAAAGAAAAGGTAAATATACTTCACGTTCAGTTGCACCATAAACAAATACAGATGCCACAAGAAGACTGGGACCAAGCATAAATTCAAACGATGCTTGATGAACATTGGAGTCATTTTGAAAATGATACACAAGAGGACGAATCACTGGAACTCCAGTGGTGCTAGCCTTGTAATGAAGAGAGTATAAATACGGAATAAGCCGGTATCTAAATTGAATGGCATCTCGAATGATGTGTGTTACCTACAATATTCAACATATTAGTTCGAGGCAGATACTACGGTATAAAGTATATAGCAAATAAAATTAGCCTAGACACGACTTTTCAAAAACTACTTGCATCTGGATACATCCATGGCTCAGTAATTCCTTGTTCTTTCCAAGAATGAATACAGAATCGTGGGTGAAAAATGCCATTTTGAACCCATCGTACAAACAGTTCCTTTTCAGGACGTGGACCAACGAATCCGCCAACATCGTGCCCGTATCCAGCCATCAAACACAGTCCTGCATTTAAGCCCATTGGGATATTATGCTTCAATGTTTGCCAAGAAGAGTAGTTATCTCCAGACCAGGTTTGACACGCAAAGCGATGTGCACCAGGACCACTGGATCGAGTAATCAAAAATGGTCGTTTTGTAGGTTGAAACTCTCTCATTGCTTCATATGACGCGAGTCCCATCAGCATAGTTTGCAGTGCTCGACCCCCAGTTCCAACAGTAACATTGGCTTTGCCCATCATGCTGTATGTGTGTTGATCATCATGCAGTTCAAACTCGTTATTGTCATTCCAAATACCCTCCACCCCAACTTGAAGTAATGCTTTAACACCAGCTTTCCAGTAGTCACGACCAGATTTGCTTGAAAAATCAAGATAACTACCAGTTGCTGTCGATCCAGCCCCTGCACTCCATAGTCGAGTCATACTCGGACTGTTTTTCTGTCATGATAGTCGGACAATCATTACAGAATCAGATTTTGTGTACCATGTCAAAAACTCGAGTAGTGAGCAACGCCAAAAGCATCGTCTTACCTCTGGATCCCAAACAAATCCCAAAAGCTTATGCACCTGGTCATAGTGCGGGTGACCTGCAAGAAGCCACGGCTTAACATTTGCGACAGTCCGAATACCAGACTCGCGAAGAACTCGAAACATTCGGTCAGGATCCGGAAATCTTTCACTAAAATGTGCAACAATTAAACAGTCAGCAATCAACAAGAGTCGGTTAAGATATGCATTTTATACCAACAGTCCCACGACATTGTGATCACCTGTTCCAAGTGAATACATTCCGAGCATGGGTGAGTTGATTGACAGTGTATCCAGACGACAAGTGTAACACATCACAGGGAATATCCCATTTACGACACAGTTTAGGAAAAGCTTCAATCAACTCTTGAGCATTCTCGGCTTCAGCGTATCCCATGGAGCTAGCCAAGTACCCCAAAGCATATCTTGGAATCAAAGCGGGCAGTCCAACAATCGAGGCAAATGTTTGAACACACTGATCCAATGTTGGACCAAAAAAGACATAGTAGTCGAGTGTTGGATTGCATGTACGATAGCTCGTGAATGAACCCCAAATAGCATCAATCTCGCAGCCAAAATCCAGTGAGCCAGTGCCCAACGAGTCGTAATAAACGCCATATGCAGTGCTGGTGGTAGAATCCAAACCATAATAAACTGGAAAGTGTTTGTAGAGTGGATCTGATAGCTCAGGATTGTATCCAAGAGCATCTGTTGCGGCAATACGGATATGCTTTCCAGTTAGAGAAAGCGGACTGGAGTGTTCACCAGCACCATAGTAATGCATTGTTGAAGAGTGTCGTACATAGTGATGCACTGATCCGTCGAGATCGTACTCGTATGCTCTGAATGGTAAATCCTGCAAGAATGGCTTGCAAGTCTCGGTGGATTTTCCGGTCTGTGCTGCCCAAGACAGCGCCAAGTCTCCATCAGTAAGATCTACACTAATCTGCAGTTGGTTGGTAGTTAGCAGCAGACCAGGACTGCTGGGTTTGGTAGTGACTGATGGGACCGGACAACGGAATCTACACTGAACACTGCTACGCTCCAGTCCATGAATGGAATCCATGCCATTGGCAGTAGCATTGAATCCGGGATAGACTGCATGTGTTGTTTCTAATGGATTCTTGTTGGGAGGAATGTGCTGCACCCTCACCAAGTTGTCTTCCAAGACATGCACCACAACGAGACTGCCATCCCCACTGCTTAGGCGCAGAGGCTGCAGTCCATTGTCTACCACTTGAAAGTTTTGGGGAATCCGGAGTCGCATTACTATATATTATGTGCTTATCAGTCGCTGAGCACCAACTGGTAGTGGATCCAACCATTGCAAACTTTTGCTTTTTATTCCATCTGGTCGGCTTTCTTCTATATCAACGGCATCACGATAAATCAAATCCTGCTCCATACTGAATGGCATACAATAGTTTCTTGTAAAGTGTACTCTTTTTGCTGTATGATGGCAACTTTAACAGGTTGAAGCATGTGCGGGCAGTGGGCAGTCGATCCTTGTCCTTGCCTAATCCCAAGAAATTTCCAATTGCTGTAAACGATGATGTTGCTGTATCAGGTCCTGCATCCAAAAAACATATAGTGAATGGTGGGTCCAGATGTTGAAATCCTCCTACTGGCGACTGCATTCCAAAATGTAGATTTAATCATCTTGGTCTCGGAAATTCCTTCTATAAAAAATCTTACCTTGGAGCAGCTTGTAACATATTTTAGAAATGCTGATTGGTCTTTTGGCGTAAACTCGCCTAATACAGCCCAGAAGTTTCGAATGGTCCGATGGAGATCAAAATATCCTCCTTCGTATCGGGTATGCATACGAAGATCCTTGATATCAAGTTTGGAATTCTCTCCCGACATGAGCCATTGCAATTCCATGGGTGAAAATATATGTAGCCATTGGTCTTGGATAATAGATCGAAACCCACAAATAAATGCTTGAAACTGATCCTTGCATTCTTGATTGAGACGAAAGTCGGCCATCAAGTGGATATACTCAAATACGTTGTCGTTTGTCAATGGAATATGCGCTCCTCCAGGTTTGATTTCTACATTGGTAACATGTCCAAAAATGTCTTGCGAAATTGTAAAGTCCAGTCCAAGATCGCTACAATCACCCTCGTAATCTTTAATAAATGTAAGGCTTCGATACAGCTCTGGGTCAAGTGATGGAAGGTCATCCATATAGTTGTATCGACCAAGAAGCTTGGCGTAAATATACAGCGCAAAGGGAATGTCGATTACAATTCCCTCATACAGTGCTTTGCCCATCATCCGACCAATAAATTCAAACAGCTGTAGGTGCTCATCATGGACAACGGAGTTCAAAAACGGGGTTACATTTCCATCCAAAGTCGTTTTAAAAAGTCCAAATTCTGTAGAAAATGCCTGCTTGCAAATATCCTCCATAAACTCCTTGAATATACCATTCTGATCAATTCCTATTTCTTCTGATCCAAACTGATCGACAAATTTTACTCGTACAGTTTGCTTGAGTTGTGAACAAGTAAACTTTCTAAGCTGGCTAAATCCATCTTCCAACAGGCGCTGTCGAAAAACCTTGATGGAAATCCCTCGCGACTCGTCGCAGTACTGGGATCGATCAATTCGGATAAAATTACGAAATAGTTGAACACGATTTTCAAATGGAATGCACTGAGGTGTGTTGGAAAGAATGGACATGGCCTGTGGATCCCCTTGCTGTATTTGGTTGAGAAAGTCTGGCTTTGCGCACCGCTTGATGACCCACGTTGTTTTGGAAGGCTGTCCTTGCAAAGGCCGCCGTGAATTCATATCCATGATGGTGCCCAATAACGATTTGCATATGTTTCTAATCTGAACCAACTGTGCGGATACCTTGGGTCGTGAATGGCCATACCAATAAAGATTAAAGCACAAGGTGTTGAGGAACACTGCAAACTCGTGCAATCGGTCAAGTGAGAATGGGTACTGTTTTACATATATATCCTCTTCTCTCAGCGTGCTACAAAAATAGCATGGATCAGATTAGTGTGCATTTAAATATTTCCTCATTCAACAGCTTCAAAACTTTTCAGATATTCAAAAGCAGCCTACACAAATGAAATCATTGTCATTTGACAAAATACGTGTAGAATAGCCAGATACGGCTCCAATTCAAAAGCACGAGTCTCTGCTGCAGAAACAAACAATGAAAAACCTCGTCTTTTTGGACCAAGTGTCTCTACCACGCCTAGCATTTTGTGAATCAGATGCGGCGTATAGCTTAATTTGTTCCAGATAACCAATGCTTGTGTCGACAGGGTATTTGCTAAATCAATGTAGAGTTGACAAATAGAACACAGTGACACTGAGATATGTGTAATTTCACTAGTAGATAAACTAGAGACCGACTCAATGGCTAAAGTGCTTTCAAAAAGTTTTTGAATTACTTTGGCCGACCACAGTATAGAAAGTTGGTCAATCACAAGATTGTATACTACATGCTGGTGTTGCTTGCACGAGCCCGTATACCACTGGAAAAATAGACAGTACGCACGATTAGTTTTATATTACTGATAAAACATGGCTAAAAGGTATATATACCATGAATATGGGATGATACATGACATTCCCAGATGCAGCGTGCTCAATAAACTTGCAACAGTGTTGCAGTAGTACAATAAGAATATCGACAAGATTGACATAATTAACTTGAATCAACGAGATGTGTGGTTTTATAACAGTCTTTGGTCGAGGTAATGAATCTTCCAATTGGCGTGCTGCTGAATCGCTGCGCATAAATAGTCGAACAAGGTTTCCAACCAAAAAAAGAGCATCGTCGCCTTCAATCAAAGACAAAATAGATATAGACATATCTGCAGAGCGAAAGGTTTTAAAAATCATACTCACGAGTGAATCTATAGATAATATTTGCAAAGCCTGCGCATTAATATGGTCAACCAACAATGGACAGGTCATGACAAAAATAATAAATTTTGAAAATGACAGCGATTGCACATCTACTTGGTGAGATCTGCACAATTGCATTGAGATTTGTAAGGCTGCATTGATCCAAAGATGGAGCTGCCGATTTTCCGAGGAATGGGATTGACAAAGTGATTTGTTGGCAATAATTAGTGGCAGGAGTCGAATATGCATCGCTTTTCCAATCATTTTGAACATGCCACATTGCAATAATGAATTGCAAATCAGATTAGCTAGATCGACATGCTGGTTCATGTTTTTGGGATTTGTGAAATAAAGCAAAAGTCGCATTTCCGGGCCAGTCATATAAAACCGCTTCTCTTCCAAATCTGTCACAGAATCCGTCTCTCCGCATGCACGATCTAATGCAAGTCGGAGCACATTACAAATAACTGATTTTTGAGAAACTGGATGCAATGACTGGCGAGCAAACACTTGAAGAATTGAAGACTGTGCATGCGCTGATTGTGGAAGCAACCACTGTGATAGCTGTTCAAGTTTTTTACCATCTTTAGCTGGAGAATAGAATTTGACAAGTAATGTTGCAAGTGCTAATAATTGCGTTGGAGTAGGTACAATGGGTTGTGCTAAACTATCGATAGTAGCAGATTCTGAGATGCCTGAAGCCCCAGTCTCGTGGAGAATCAATCCAGATCCAACTGGCGAAGCAGAATGTTTTTTATTATAAATAAGCCATGGTTTAGAAGAAATACGATCCCAGTCAAGTCTTAGTTGAAGAGTTGCTCTCTGTCTATCAACAGTCACGCATATGAATCTGCAAATAATGATGGCAGCTGCCACCTCTTTCTCATGCTGTTCCTTCAATTTTTGAGCTAGCAGTCGAGCAGCTCTCTCTGCTCTGGAAGTTTCTGCAACAGTTGGTTTTTTTCTATCATTCAAACTGCTGATAAATGACATGAGTCGATGGCTTGGAAACAATTGCATGCTTGCTGGCAACCAAATTAAATGGACTCATCACGTGATTTACTGTTAGTCTTTCAACTACCAAACCACGTTCATTGGCTGCATGCTTGAATCTCGACTTTATCAAATGTCCAGCTTGAAGGATGCGTGCCATCATCAAATGGTGCATTTTAGCATCAATCGGGTTTGCATAGAAAATACGCTTTATACTTGTTCAGGAACATCAAATACTGATAGGCGATTGCCCGAATCTGAAAAAACACCATTGCCAGTCCAGTATTGAATTCAATTATTTAGACAAATTTCTAAATGTATATCAACTCCCATCTTTATTTCACATTAAAATCAAACCAAACCAAAGTACGATTTAGCATCTAGCTACAGAATAGGACATTGCTTTATTGCTATCATGAGCTTCAACTGTGATGACCATACAAAAGGCTATATTTGGATGCTACCCACAAAGCTGACAGTAATCACAGTCATATGCCAACATCTATTCTCAGTACTACCTCATTTTGAAACAAATCAAATTAATATTGAAGCTTCAATACTTCAACGCTATAGTCGCCAGTTCCACTTTGAACTTGCTCCAAAAGCTGTCGCCATCGTCTGCCATGAGCACGTTCTGATCCCTCATCTACATTACCATCATCCAGCATCGATATGGCCTTTTCCTGAGAAATCATGCTTTCTGTCTGTATAGGTACAGATCGCTCTTGAGCAAGCCCAGCAAGTGGTCCACGGAGCTTGGACTCATATAGCTGTAGCAGTCGCAAATCTCTTTTTACTGCAACTTGCAGACGCTCAATTTGATCAGAAAGATCATTAGATAAAATAGTCGAGGACAAATGTGCATCCAAAATTAACGCAAGTGCATCTACAGCCTGTATATGAATAAATGTAAGTAATAAAAACTGTACATTGGCCTAAACTACACGGAATATCAAACATACCATTAACCATTCGTCATATGCTTTTTGATCGCGCTCAGATCCAACTGACCAAAGCCACCAAAGCGGAAATCGATCGGTCTCTGAAGCATCCAGCTCAGTAGAAAACTCTGGACATAATATATGTGACAGAAATGTAATAACAACCCCTAGTTCACGAATACCAAGCAAGCGCAACGCTTGGGCCATTTTCAAATCGTTTCTAGTAGCTAAAAATATACCTTTGAAAAAATATCTCTGTCCTTTGGAAATTGTCTGAACTGAAGTCTCGGTGGATAAAGTCGTATCAGTAGTGTCACAGTCAAGTTCCATCGATAAACCATTGGCCTTGATCTCCGTGTTTGTCTGCATGGGTGTTTTTGGATCAAGATCTGACTTACTACGCTTTTTCATACTCTTTCGTTGTTCGCAAAACAAGTCCATTGCATCTCGGCATTGAACTGATGTGGCTGGATCAACTGCACATACATGGCGAAGAAGATGGACATACTCGTGCTCCTTGATATCACACACATGTCTTAATGCATGGTCAATCAGCTCATAATCGGCTTTAGCAACAAGAACTGGAATAAGTCCTTCTCCACCAACAGATTGTGACGTAAGTGCTCCTGAAACAATTATACTCTCAATCACAGTACGTGGCCAAAACTTGGAGGGATCTTCAAAACAACGACGAGCAATGGTATGAACAGTGGCATGTGAAAGTCCACCAGCAGGCAAAAGCAAGGGCTTATCAGACGAGTCCAGAGTGCTAGATCCATTTGTAGTTGATACCCATTGAGCAAACACATCATTAAACACGCTTGCAGTTGGAGTTTGTTTCTCGTCGGCTAGTTTCGACAAGAATTCAACACTGCCAGCTTCCTTGAGCTTGATTTGGTCAACCCAATTCTTGAGTTTGACGTCAGCAATTTTTTTGGTATTGGAGCCAATGCCTGTAAATGTTGCTGGTGGAAGACTAGAAACAATTGTGGCAAGTGGAACAGCTAATTGTGTGTGATCATGGTTTTTAAACGTATGGGTCGATTGTCGTTTACCAATAGCGCTGAGTAAAGTAACTGGTGCACAATAGTAAGGCACGATAGACGCAGTTGTAAAGACAGTGCTAGAGTTGGAGTGTGACTCGAGAGCAATCATCGCTTTACCGACAGATGAAGTTTCACACAATGCAAGAGCAAGAATCCTAGTGCCTCGTGAAACTGTTTCTGCATCAACATCGTTTAGCCTTAGTTCTGCTTGAAGCGATCCGTATTTCGTTTCCCAGATGCTCAAAATATCCACGTTTTTTTTTTGAGAAAGCACTGCAACATGGTTTTCTGAAAGAACTGCAACATCAAACTTTCTAATTGCATCCTTTGATGATTTCTGGTTACCAGCACAAATTTTATGAAAAATTGAAAAATAATGAGTATAAAATACAGTCAAAATTCAAAACATTGGTAGAATCACAATTTCATACTTTTGGTTGATCCATATAAGCAGAGAGGTCGAGCGACAGTTTTGAATGCTTTGACTGTCGCTCAAGTTCAAATATGAATACACTTCCAGGCGATGCTAAAAGAATATAAATGCAGTAAACAGTAAATATAACAAGAATTTCCACTACTTCTGAAAAATATCACTAAATCAAACATAGTATACAACTAAGCTTACCAACAACAGCCAATAAAGCTGACGAAGCATTAAAAGCAAACTCTGTGTTTTTGACAGTAGGAAGATCCAGAATAAACTCAGTTGTGAGTGTCACTGTATGCTTTCCCTTTAATTCTGACAATATTAAAACACGACAAGTATAGGTGGGCTGCGCATCTTTGGACACTGTATGTTTTGTTACTTGCAAAATAGAGACATGTCCAAGTTCATGATCTGGTACTACCGATGCAGAATATACCGTCTCTGATAAAGTCAAAGATGTTTTTGGTGGCGGAGGAGTCCAGGTGGATAATACACGATCAAGCTCCATAGACAATACGTTGATCTGACCAGAAACAAGAACGACAACAATTTCTTTTGGTAATCCCATAGTTGCTTTTATAACAGAAAATCCTTGAATTTTTGCAGATAGTTTTTTTGTAAACTTTGGTTCACCAAATGCAGTAAAAGTAGAATCAATCTTCCAAATTTGAACAGTGGCTTCTGATGCAGCAACTAGTTGACCCACAACTGGTGTATCGTCCACGGTTTCAGAGTGTTGCTTGGATTGATTGGTTTCCATTACAAATTCAGCAGGAGAAGTAAACAAACTACCGGATAATGCAGGGATAGATGCTATGCATCGCTGATTCAATACCTACATTTGTGAATTTCAATAAATTAATTTTTGGATTTAAACCAATCTGTGAATTAATCCAGACAAGTAGTGTACAAGTATTTTTCCAAATCATTCACAATATACATACATTATGTACCAGAATGGCAGAAGGAGTAGTTGTAGTGACAAATGAGCCAAATGTAGTAACTGCATGAGTTCCAGCAAGTGAAGCAGTACTAGCAACAGGCTGAGAATACAAAGAAGAAGGGTTTTGTAGCAGAGTTTCTAGCGTAACCATGGTTAAAATCAACTCCAAATATATAGATTGATCGGTTTAATTGATGAATGATTCAATCTAAAGTCGAACAAATTTGAAACTTGGAATCGATTTTCACAAGAATTTTCAAAAGAAAAATGAAAAACTTGCCATGAATAAAAAGTAAAGTTTAATGTCAGGTGACGTCACGTTACAGTTGCTGTCTTGCAGTTTGAGACTTGTAAAATTTCAATTGCAGAATAATTTCAAATGGAATCAAGAATCAGTCAAGCAGTCGGATCTATAGAGCTATGCAATAAACTAGATGTAAATACTCATGAAAAAAGTATATGGCTGATGGTCGAATCTTTACATTTTAGAGAGGCACGCTCAGTTGCTTCTCAAGCACTTACTGCATCACATCAATTACTTGAACATACAAATACCTCCATCTTGAGCTGCAAGAATCAAATCACAAATTTACACTGGATACTTGGCTGCATAGATGCCTCATTTGATCAGTTTGATTCTGCAGCTCGGCATTTCAAAGATGCATATGGTATGCTCATGTAGATTCCATTCACTGACCAAAATATTTGACATCTAATATCTGCTGTTTCTACCAACTAGTATCAAGTCCTCATTTAACCCATCTTAAAAGCAATCATGCCATTGCGTCACTCATGGTAAAATAAATATTTAATGCAATCAAACTACAGGATAGTCAGCATTCAGAATTAACTATTTCACAAAAATTAATCTAGCATAATGCCGATCCCAAATTCATTCTAGATTTGGTTCAAGACATGACTAGTATGTATAATATTAAAGCATGTTGCATTTTAAGAGGTATACGCTAACAAGAAATCATCCATTGTATAGAAACTGGTGTAGATTCAACAAATATATCTGCAACGCATCTAATGGGAGTATGTTTGCTTTTCGGATCAGCTCCAAAGCTTGCTTCTTTTTCAAACAACATTTGCCAGAAGCTATTGGACACATGTTTGGAGCTGGTTTATTTGATGAGATTTTCATTGCATACATCAAATACTGAGACGCCATTTAGATTGGATTCTAATCCGACATGTACCAAAGATCGTACCATCAATGTCGCACGACAGGTCATGTATTTAATGAGGGGTCAGATTCCTCAAAAAATAGATACTTTTGCAGTTTCTTATAAAACAGCTATACGTGTGTCCTTGGCTGTAAAATGTTGTTGGATATGCTCGCAGATTCTTGGTCGTGATGACCAAGAGTTGGTCATCTCACTATTTGACCGCATATACAGAATGGCTCAATCAATCATCTCTTCAAACTCAACAGATTGCAATTCAGCGCCTTTTCCCCACAAAATACTCTTTGCAAAATTAAACAAGTCTCGTATTTTATCAACGACTGCCACGTTTTGGACTCTATATTTGAACAAAATTGAGTCTACTGTCGATCTCGGCCTGACGAGCAGTTTTACAGAATCAGAGACCAGCATGCTTATTGCTGGTTAGTTTTGTTTGTTTCACCTATGTACTTTTTAAACTCAGCAAAACTCAACTTTTTATTACTGCAGGATACAATTGCTATCTTGGCTCAAAATTTAACACTGCAGTTGACCTGTTTACTCGAGCACTTAAAACAACTACCCGTCCCGGTAAAACACTCCAAATGATTGGATGTTGTCTTTTTAAAATGGCAAGCATTTTTGTATTTTGTTTTATTATATTGATTTGAATAGTATCCAAGATGTGTCGTAATATAACGTGTGTACTGCAATTTCATTTTTAAACAAAACTATAGGGAAAATTTCAGACTTCACTTTTTGCGTTTCGAAAATCAATTGTTCTTGATCAGAGCGACATTGATGCACTAATTAATCTTGCCGTTGTTGCACAAAAACTACATAATACCCAGCTAGAAATGCATTTGTTGGAGCGAATTCTGGGAATGTTTGAGTTGAATGATAGCATTTGGCTCATATCTGCCACACACCTATTGTCTTTGCTCCAGGCAGAAAACCAGTTTGAGCGAACAATCGAGCTTTATAGTCTTTGGAAAAATCAGCATAGATCAATATCGCATCGACTACAACAAGATTATGCGTTTGCATTGCTACGATCTGGTCGATTCAGTGAAACTATTCAAACATGCCAAGAGATTCTGTTGATGCATAAAGCCGATTGGCAAGTGTGTATGTATCTCGGAGAAGCGGCTATACGTGCCATTGGTGTAGAGGATAGAGACTGTGATGCATTATCAAGAAATTTACCCGAGATAGCTATTAATGCTTTTCGCAAAAGTTTCAAAATTCTATCTGCCACAAAAAATATTGTTCAAAATAAGGCTACTGCAGCTGATGACAGCACACAACAAGTGCATAGTCGACAAAATGAAGACTACAAACGAGCTCAATTGGTGTTTGATTCAAACAGTCTTGAGACTATTAGCATCGAAAAACTACAGTATTCCATGGTAACTACTTTTTAGACATACTTTTCCTGTCAACTATAAAATTCAAATCTACACTACTGACTGATGGTTTAACGTTTGAAAATATATAGGCGCGTGCAAAGTCTAATCTTGGCGTTGCTTTCTCACATGCGGGATGTTTCTTGGCAGCAATCGGTGCTTTCGAGGACGCGATTGAGCTCGACCCAGATGATATAGAAACACGAGTGAATCTGGCACTATCATTTCTGCGTTTGGGTAAACGACACATGGCAATCAAAGGATGGCAAGCATATTGCAAATATCATCCATGGAATGGATTGTCAATGGTGGACACTTGTTCAAAACATTATGGTTCAGATTTGTCGTCATGCAGTCTTGTAGAGGCAGTGAAGCTATTGGATCAACTTTCTAATGTGTAGCCCTGACTTGAAAATCAATACAATGACTTTAATCACATCCAGTCCAAATATACAGTACACTAAAGTAGTTGGTTCTCTAATACCATGGCCGTATTCACATAAAGTAAAACACTTGTATTTATCTGCAGTGAATGCGTTTATTTGCTCTGGAATAAGCCATGGCTAGATATTCGTTGTACTTTCCTATTGGAAATTGACTATACTGCTGCCTCAATAAGCATTCTCAATTTTTTACAGTCGTATTTACTTTATCTTTAGTCCAAGTGAACAGTCAACGATCACCCAAGACTATCAGCATAATCACACATTGTATGGTAAAAATGAAGCTCAAAGATTTTCTTCAGTCTTTGTAATGATTGGATGGAACTCATAACTGCCATGTAAATCAGTTGACCAGCCTGCTGCTGTTGAAACACCTCAATCGCTGATACTGAGCTGCCTTTTCTGGCATCGTCACTTGTAAATAGCACCAATCCGACTTTCACTGGCCGACTCATTTACTCGACTTCAGCATCAGTACTGTCGGACAGCAACATTTTCAATTTACGGACTAGCCACCATGATGATTGGTAGCGTTTGTGATCTTTTGGTATCCACCTTAGACCAACATGGATTACATTTCCAAAATGAATCGCCGTACAACACTGGCGTAGACGCATTCAACGCGCTAGACTCATCCTACTTGAACAAGCACTTGAGGAAACTGACGGAAATGTGTATACATGGCTCTGCAGTGAAGCAGATACTTGGGGAGTGGGTGACTGATTGCAGATGCTGCCAAGCAATTGGTCGAGTTTCTGTAGATAGCGTACCGGCGGTACCAGATACAGCTTTAGCACCCTCACCGGGACCGCCATACAGGAACTGGCTAAAAAACTTGTAGCACTGTCAGTCTATACTCGCATGGGTACGGTTTGCTTGTATGAGATCATCTCGTGCCTCAGCACTCGTATATTTTAAAATTCATTCAAAAAAAGAGCCATGCAATTGGGAATTCATTCGGCTAAAACTAATCACTAAGCTGAAGGCTCTAGCACATTAGCATAAATCATACGTGACGAATATGATAGCCAGCACCGCCAGCCTATACATATTTCATAAACAGTTAGTCAAAGGCTTACAGATTGATGAGCAGACACACATTCGCAAAAGCCAATCAACGTCAGATCATCCGAGCCTTATATTAAAAGCACATCAAGGCTACTTACATCAATCGCTTGCAGTTCGGCATCAGAGAATGGTAGTGGTTGGTAGCGACCAGGTAGCTGTGATAGCCATTCGTATGAAATAACTCGACCGGTTTTGTTCATCGAGACTGTTGGTAAGACGGGATTTGAAGAGATAGTAGAGGCATTTGGAGTATGAGTGATATTCTTTCGAGAACCTAGAAATCGAATGAGGGGGATATGTCTGTGGGCAGCCATGAGGTTAGTAGCTTCTGGTGTATAAATTGTAGCAATCCAGTCGGCTATTCAAATGGCTTTGCTCGCTGCCAATTTATGCGTGCAGCTGATCGGCTTCGTTCTTTCAATTGTCACGTGGTTTATAAGCTGTAATGTGAAGTTTAAGCCAACTTGCTGGCATTTATCAGAACTTTGTTGGTGCTGCATGAAATGGATTATCACGGAGAAGATCTAAAGATTCATCTTTGTTCTGGTTTGCGAATTTGTGGAAAACACTGGGGATACAAAAATGGGTTCCCCGTTCTCGCCTTGCATGGAGTAAGCGCACAATAGTCTTGTATTTAACCTGTTGCTATATCTTCCCCTGGTCATAGCATTGCATCTATCAAATTATTCAACACTAGCATATTTGTAGTGGCTTGATAACTGTGCCACGTGGGACGTTTTGATTCCAACACTGGTATCTAAATATCCCAATCTACGGTTTAATATCCTTGCAATAGATTTTGCTGGCCATGGAAAATCGGACCATCGTAGTCTTCAAACACCATATGCCAAAATATTTGAGTTGCAGGATTGCATTAATGTTGCAAATGCTTTTGGTACGAGTATACGATTTCTCCAAAAACGTGCAGATTTAAAGCTAAATATGGCAATCCAAACAATCATAGTGTATTCACTTATTTTAAACTCATTCACAACCAACATATACAGGATGGGATACATTTTCATTACTTGGTCATTCCATGGGTGCGCTTGTATCTACTTATATTGCTGGCTTTTTCCCTACAAGAATAGTATCTGTAATAGCCATTGAAGTGGTTGCTCCACTCTACATGCAAAATGCCCACCGTGTCGAAAAGATTGCCTCGGGAATTCTAGAAACCAACAAATTTCTATCCAGAAAAAATCCTGAGCTTACTAAGCGGATATTTGTATCGGTTGACAAGGCGGTGTCAGCCAGAATGCACGGCAGACATAAGGTTTCTGAGCCAGCTGCTCGGCTACTTGTTACAAGAGGGATCAAACCTGTTGAATCAATCAATGATTTTGGTGTCGAATCTTTAGCCGGATGGGTATGGTCGTCCGATCAGCGAATGGTGATTCAAACTCCATTTCCCCTTTCTCGTCAAACTGCTATTGAAATGCTGGAGCGTATCAAATGTCCATTATTGTGTATTATGGCTAATCACGATATGAAGCAAACATTTGATACACCCGAGTACAAGCAAGTATTGGATACTCGCTTGGAGATTGTCCGATTCAATGATGTGGCATCGCATCATTTGCATATGGAGTTAGAGTTTGTCGATCGTGTCGCTAGTGCGATTGCCTTGTTTTGGGACAAACATATGAAATTATTGAATTTACAAATAAATTGTAAGTTGTAAATGTATTTTTAACCAACTCTAAATTATTCCAATTAAAGCTCACAAGACAGACACTCGAGTCAAAAGAAAGAATTAGTGTCAAAACAAGCCAACCAGTGTATGAAATTCATTTAAAAACGTATTCCAGTCTCGTGTAATCAATAATCCACTACACCAAAATCTGCATCAAACAAGCCATCTCAAAAAATTTGTTTACAAACTGTAAACTGATTGGCTTATAGCAGATTCTTTAGGCGATTGAAAGCGTCAATTTTTCCATTTCAGCCCGTAAAGATTCCTCAGATTCAATCTTTTGAATCTGAGTTAATTCAAGTGTCACACCAGTGTCTTTCTTTTGCTTCAAATCTTCAATCTGCTTCAGTTTTTTACTAATTAGTTTGATCCTCTTTTCGGCCTCTACATTGCTACCTGGAATTACCCCGCTAGTAATCGGAGCAGGCGAATCAGTGGTTCCGTTTTGGACCGTCTTATTTTTTCTTTCTATTATAGTATTGTGAGTTTTGAATAGTAACACCGTTTAGAATATCAAATGGTTGTATGAGCTTCACCGGCATGCTATGCATTCAGTGCAGCTACTAGTGATGGAGTAATAAAGGGTCAATCAATATCATCTTACCGTGCTCTGGGGTCGCTCCAGGAATATAAGCTCCAGGAACACGTTTTCCTCGAGTACTTACGACACCCCTATCAATAGCATCACGATCATAAAAGTTGGTAGACGACGCGGTGTTGCGTGCTCCAGGAGGGCGATATTTTCCTTCAGAAACAGCTAGTATTCGTTTAAAAGGTTACATGTCAGTGCATTGTACAGAGTCGAGTTTCTACATTGGCCAAACTCAAACCTCTCAACATACCTGGAGCACATGATGCAATACTAGGAGGAGGAGGAGACAACGAAGCTCTGTCTGGCCACAGATCGCGAGAAGCAGGCATCCACGAAGTTTGGTGCATCTCCTTGACTTGAACTTGGTGTACAAGCGCACCAGTATAATGCCAGATCTTGATACCGTTATCAACCTTTAAGCGCTTATAAAGTGTCGAAGTCATGATGTGTTTTCCATCTGGAGCCCAATCACAGCTCGACGAATTACTAGCCTTGATAGTACACATTTTTTTGAAAGATCTACGATCCCAAATATCCTGTTGCAATCGTTAATTTTAAATCCAATGATTAGAATAAACTTGGCAACACCGTAAAGTGTTAGGCATCACTAAAATACACCATACCATATCACCAGCCAAGTTGCCAAAACCGCCGATAAAAAGAAAACGACCATGAGAATTGAATTTAACTTGGTTGCGGGCAGCATTTCCAAACTCGTACATTGGATTTGCGCGATGGTCAAAAAGTGTTGCTTTAGCAGGCATGGTTCCGTATACAACGACAAACTCCTTGGCGTTAGGAGCCCAGCAAACATCATGAACAGGACCAGGTTTATCTACACATGCATTGGACATTTTAAATTATGATTTTGATCACAACCAACATAATGCAATTGAATAGTCGCTGTGCAGCACGAATTACACTTACCTAGAGTCACTTTGCAGTCAAAGTTTCCAGTAATGGAAAGATAGTACAGACTGGTTTCGCCATAGTACGATTTACCAGTAACATCCACATCAGTATGAGTGAATACCAAAACATTGGTTCCTGCATTACCAAAAAGCGACATGATTAGTATCGCATTAAAATATTATCCAGCAGCGCTGTATTATAAAACCAAAATGTTACCAAGAGAGTTCCAGTAAAAGTTGACAGAATCGGCTCTAAAAAAAGATTTTGAAGAAAGTGGAGTTTGAAGATTGGTTATATCGTACAGCTTAACAGATCCGGGACTTCCCTATACGAGTTGAAGCAAATATCAAGGTATAAAATAAGTTTTTTGCACCAATAAATCAGACAATTAAAAAGTCTACCAACATTTTTTTCTGGATAAAAAATAGCAACAGTAGGACGCCGTCCAGGGGACATGGAAAACAATTTGATGCAATCCAGCTTTAAACGACTTGCAATTCCTAATAACCACCCATTCGATATTTAGCAAGTTTGTAAATTAAATCTTGTTCAATAGTAACAAATGGAACCCATTTGCAAATCAAGTCATTGCAACACATTAAAATACAATACCATTCGAAAAAGATTTTGATTCGTAAAACTGAACCTCGTTCCCAACTAATATGCCACAATATGATTCGTCTTCTGTCCACTTGACATTCCTATTCAAACACAAAAATAAAGAGTTGGCATAGAAATCAACAAACTAATTCGATATAGAACGTACCAATCCGATGCATTTTTTTGGGTATAAGCAAAAACCTCTTTTCCGGTTTCGACATTCCAAACAGATACATTACGATGCGCTGGGGTAGCAGAGTTGGCAGATGGATCTACAAGTATCAATTCAGAATAAAGATCATTTGCAATAAGCACAACCGGGTTTTTAGTTGAGCACGAATGATGGCCAAAATGGTGTCAGATCTGAGCATTGTAGGCAAACAAGATTCACATACTGTAGCGAATAAATGTCGAGATATAGGTTTCCTTGGGAGAGAATTCAATTTCAAGAGCATTGGTAATGGGCAATTCATGAACAACAGTGACAGCTTCTATAGTGACTTTGGAAAGAACCAAACTAGCAACCCAAACAAGTCAGTGTCAAGCCTTGGTATTCCAACACAAGACTGCAATCCAGTTACCGATCAGCAAAAACCAGCACCAAGTATTTTCCTAGCGGGCTGTAGAGAAACGAGCGAGGACTGGCTCCACTATAAATGAAGAGTATCATGTCAGCCAGTCGTATTGATAAGCACTCAAGTCATACAATTCATCCAATAGTATTGAAGTGATGCTCCTCCATACTGAACTGGTAATCAGTCGAGATATTCATGTCGTTCCAGTAACAGTTCAACTTGAAACAACTCACAGGTTGGCAGGTGTAGCAATGGGTGCATAGGAAGGAGATCCAGAAAGCACACTGATGCCAGTACTGTCTCTGTCTGTAAAATTTCACGAGCAGCAGCCAGCCAGTTCATTGATGATCATCGCCATCATTGGAATTCATTCAGATTTCATCATCAAGTGTCAGCTACACAGGCTTTTACAAATGCATTCAAGAAGAATAAATATAATGCATTAAACAATAGTAAGAACACCACTTGCATGCAAGAATGGTAGGAGCGGCCTGCTGGCTTGCCATGTTTTGATAAAGTCGAATGTTGAAAAAACAGACAAACAGAAACCAGTTTGCTATCAACTCGGAATATTTAGCAGATCCAATAGTCACATCATGTGTATGCTTGAAATACTTTTTATTCTTGATGGTTCAACTTGTTGGACGATTCCATATTCGTAACAATCCAGTCTTGTCAGAAGTAACAATACTGTCTTCTAGAAACAATATGTTGCACAAGGGATAATCATGCATTCCTTTCCGTTGCTAATATATCAATTTTAAACTCCAATGAGCATCTACTTTAAAATGACTATCCATTCAAATCAATAAGCTAAACTCCTTTCAAACCAAATGTATAGATTTTACCGCAAATGACTCTATGATTGGAACCTGTGCCTTTGGAAGAGCTTCGTGAACTGCAGAAATATCACTAGTAGAGCGACGATCTAATTCACTCCGCGATCGCACCCGCGACATGCTCCCATACTATTGCATTGGAAATATCAGTCAAATATAATGGTTGATTTGATCCACCCTCAACATATCCACTAAAGAGCATTGGTGCATACCACTGATCGAGGTCGATGCAATGATGAAATGGCAAAGTCCCATAAGCATAGTCTTGTATCATCTCCAATGCTCCCAAATCGGTAATTCCTCTCTGTGCAACGATACTGATCAAATGAAACTCCCGATACCTACAAAATCATCCAGTAGCATTTACAATGATCACCCACTTGATGTTCAGTTATAAACGCACCTACAAATATATCACATTAAACAAGTATACTTTCATACCCAAGATGTATGACCTTGACACCTTGCTACAATACGACCACGAAATGCCCACACTGACACAAGATCGTCCTGACCACCAGTAAGTATGAATTTACCATCTGGGGACCATGAGACACACAAAAAACCACCAAAAAAGGATTTATAGACATCAAGCAATCTACCCAAAATGCCGTTAAAATGTAAACTAGAATAAAACGCATTTCTATTGAACAGAACCAGTTTCAAAATGCTTCACCTTCCATTTACAAAATCTATAACAGCAAGTACGCCTTCCATCGATGTTATCGCAACATGCTGACAGTCGGGGGAAAATGAAATGGCTGTATAAATAAAATAATAAAAATTCAATCAAACAATAGTTACTGCAGTATCAACAACAGCCAACACTTAGCGCACCAGTAATGGCCTTTTTGGAAACTTTCCAATATTCAATCGGGTTGTGTTTTAATTGTTTAAATGACTTTGATACCATGAAACTATACGCAAATGCTTCCATTAGATACAATCCATCAGTTTTAAAGGCACTTGTCACAAACTTCATACTCTTCTGTAGTAGTAGGCGCAGTAAAGGACTGATCGTCTAGATCCTTGTCAAAAGTCAAAACGCTATAATACAAACACCTTAGTACGTTGCAAGCATTGCTCTAAAATATATACTCGAGTTGTGGCCTACCTTCCATCCTCAAATCCAGCCATAAAATGCGTGTCTGACCCCTAATGCAAGGGCAGTTTGAATAAGTACATTTCTTAAATATCACTACAATAAGATCCGTAAAACTATCATTCGTTGACATACAGGCATCCATTTGATACTCCGAACAGCATGCTTGTGGATTTGTCCCGATCTATTGAGACGCGCAAATTTACCAGATATTGGTGAGTACCACAAAATATCTCCCGATGCAAACCCTAAAGGTGAGCAAACTATTAGTTTTTAAACCATTACAGAATCAAAACATATTGATCACATACCCAATACGTTATCCATGGTTTCTCTTGTCAACAGATTTGCGTCGTGACAAGTTACTACTGAATCCTTGAATTGAATGATCGACAATGGGTTTTGCTAATAGAAACATGTACAATATGAACTTACAAAATCAAGTAGTCGCTAAAAATATAGTTCAATAGTAAATATATACTTGAGATCTACACATGGAATCGGCCCAAAAAAATGATTTTCCAGCATTAAAAAATAGATAGGTTGTTTTGTTTGATCTGAAACTAAGAATTTTAGCAAGATTCTCGTTGGCCAAAATTTTAGAAACAAACTGCGATGTTGCCTTGGTCATTGGAGGTTTTACTTTCTTGATGGTTGAGTTGACTCGCTTGAAAAACTGAAAATTGCCTAGAGTAAAAACCTGCATGTTAAATCTTGTTGAATATACAATAGCTAGTCCAGTTTAAAAATGCACCTTTACCTGCGCCGTCTCCATTAATTGGTATCTCAATGAATCTCGTTTGGCTGCTGGGATTAGCATCCATTGGAGGTGGTATGGGCTGTACTTGTGTGTCTGTTGATTTAACTGTGACAATCGATACGTGTGTTCCTATTAACCAATTGGAAATTTTAGTATCCATTACAGTAAACCGCAATAAAAATTAGGGCTCGCTGATTTCAAGTATAATGGCTTAAATGAGAGTCAGATTGTGAATCCAAAATTACAGATTACACAACCAAATAAAGTTTAGCGAGTGATTGGCTTGAAATCCGGGTATTAATTTGTGAAAATCCGCCAATAAGCCTAGTAAACTCTATCCCAACAACAAACTGAACAAAGCGTTGAGCTCGTACCATAGCGAGGATTGATACAAAGAGATCCTGACTGACACGATTCAGCCATAATCTGATCACGAAAATAATATACTCCTTCCGGCGCACTCAGACTAGGTTGTTTGCTAAAGACTTGGTTATGTTCAGAAGAGAATGTGCTGCTGGCGATGCTTGGAGATGGCCTATGTGACATCCCTTGTCTATCTACAAGCTTTGCTGTGGTATTAAGATTAGCCTGTTGCTCAGGAAGAGAGGTTGAATTGGAATTACTATTAATGGTTCGAGTTGATATATCGCTAGATTCTGAATATCCAATGGGTTTTGTTTCAGCAATGGCTGCAGAAGCATGATTTGCTCCATTCCCATTACTCATGGTTATGCCGAGTTTTGGTGAAAGTTGCAAATTGGCTAATAGCTCACAGACCCTATTTTGGATTGCAGACCGTATATTTATGTATGTAAACACTTTTCATATAGCGAACATTCCTTTTATTTAGCTCAGCCGACTGCGGTCGATTTCCACCAATTTATATCAAATCGCAGCCTTGTAACAAAGCTCTTGTTGGCAATGAATTCAAATCAGGCCAAAAGTAAATTTCAGTTGCAGCGCACAGGAAAGAATGCTCACAGAAGTCATGCTGTGGAATTCCCTGTTTTTAATGTGACTTTCACTCCCTCTCCTACAGTACTGTTGCTCGGAGGAGGTGGTGGAGCTACAAAGGCTGGCATCAAAAATGCTGTGGTGAGTTGTTATCATTAGCGCATCGTTGATTACCATTTGTAACAGCACTTTAAATTTGGTGGATCTTAGTGTATAGACTGGTATAAGATCTAATTTAATTTGTGGCGATCTTGTTTACAGTCATAATCTGCTGTAAGCACTGAGATATTTAAAAAGCAATATCTTGGTCTACTGTTGAAATTTATTTAAAAAGATAGACTAATGCTAAATCTATCGATTGATATCTGGTACTTGTGTTTATGCAGATGCTAATGGAAGTCCAGCCAAAAGATCTAGGCCTGGTTACTATATCCGAACATCGTTTTCAAAAGGATGATGATGGGTGCATGAATATCTCTATCCATCCAAAGGTACTTGTGACAAACACTTAGAGGTTTTCAAGCGTTGCTTAATTAAATCCATTGTATGCTTGTATATCTAGGAAAAGGCATTTGTTGCAGCAGTAAATAGTCCAGAGGCTGATGTTATTTCTGGAAATAATCGTAACTGTCGATCGTTCTACATCACCAAATCTGGGTAACATTCAGCGTGATCTTTGCAAACTAGCCAACATGCGTGACTAGAACTAATAGAAGACTGTGTTTGAAATTATGGTACGACTAAACTACTAGACTAAAACCTGGAAAGAGAATCAAGACCAGTGATTCATTAGATGGATTTATTCATCAGAAATCTGCAAGATTTAGTCCAAATGGAAAGCAACTTTGCACAGGAACTACAGATGGAAAAGTAAGCATAAAGCATATATATCATGGACTATTTATTTCATGTGTTTATTCATGTATGAATTGTAGCTGTCATTTCTTTCATGGCCTACTTTAAAACCACTTATGCCAGTACAAGAACTATCAGGTGAAATTATCGATATCCATTTTGAACCGAGTGGTGGCATTATTGGTGTTGTCACTCCTGGAGCCATTCGATTTATCAATGCAGCAAAAGGAAATACAGTTTGGGAGCAGCCCAAGCCTACAATCGGAGCCGAGTTTTTTGAATTTCGTGCGTTGAGGTATGTTTTTGTTGTTAGTACTACTATGCTGTCTGAAATTGCTATTGTTTAGTAACATACATTCTCCAATATTATCACTTGCTATACTATTTCAATTGCTTAGATTTGGATGCAACCAAACTGCTGGCATTCTGTTTGTTATTTTGAATGCCAAATCTCGCAAAAGTGCATTGATTCAAAAGTATGACGTTGCAACCAAAAAACTGGTTTCCACAACACCTGTATCTATCAAGCCCATCACAACATTTGCAATGAGCATAGATGGGTCCATTTTGGCTTTTGGATCGTCCGACTTGAGCATCACTGTCATGAAAGCCAAATCCCTTCATGTCAGTAGTCGCGTACATTTGTAATCTAACATGATGCTCATTTTCACTTTGGATGATAGCTAACGTTTAGATATTATTTGCTTGATTCTCAATCATGTAATATTTAGAGAATTGCTCGGGTTCAAAATGCACATGGATTTCCACCCACATCCATCGATATTAATTCCAACAATACTCTTGTTGCAAGCGCATCGGCAGACGGTACATGCGTGCTAACTGAAATCTGTCAAAGATCACAACCAAAAAGCACTGGATGGTCCATGGTGCTTATGTTTATCGCCATAGCCTTGCTGGTATTAGGAGTGGCAGCACTATGGATAGATGGAAACTATGATCAAGATCTATAGTAGATGTATGCGCATGAGTTGGTGGCCTTGTTTTTATGATAGATAAAAACCAATGGTTACTGATAGCCTTGTATTTGTCCATGTAGTATGCTGTTTCCATTCTTTTAACCTAATGGAAACAAATGAGTAAGCATCTACTCCCCACTTTTTGATGTCGCAGTATTTGATGCTTTTCAACTCGTCCTCAGTTTAGCCAGACTGTATACTCATTCCCACCTTTAAACAGTTGCAGTTTCAAAGTCTAAAAAAGTGTAGTTTTTGAAAATAAAAGATTCAATTCTGTTCATTCAGCATTTTTGGTTGACTTGAATGGCCACCAATCGGGGATAGGCTCGATCCATTCCCGTCCTTCGATTGCAAGCTGCTCTTTCCAAAATGCAACAGATACCGGATCCTTTACATTAACATACCAATAAAACATGGTGTTGACTGTTAGTTCTAGATGTGCCAATTATAAAAGTGGCTTAAAATTACAGTATGCATCCGAGGCATCAAGACTTACATGGAATTCCTTTGCCCAAAGCATAGATGGGATCCAGACCTTGGGATATTTGTGACGAGTCTAATAGCAAAGTGTCAGTTTAGCAAAACCTGACGGCATCAATCGGTATTCAAAAAGATCCAAAGCAAGTATAGACTTGATTACGCTGAATAACAAGGTTCTTGGCACAAGTATTACGCTTTTTTCAAAATGTGTTTACCTCATGTTCGGCAGAAAACTTGAAAATACAAACGCACAGACCTAAAATAATGCCAGAATGTACCAAGGAGTTTCTAAAGGCGTGCTTTGGATGTGTCCACCAACCACCATAAGGTGTCCAGACCCATTTTGGATATGGAGCTCTTTCACCACCACCGCCCTGTCGTATCATTGACAAGAGATAGGTGACAGGATCGGTTGTTGAACAAGCAGTGCAGTTGCAGTGGTTGAAATCAGATTTAAAGTGCCATGGATTCATATAGAAACAATGTGATTAGTCGTGCTCAACCCATACAGTATGTACCCAGCATTACGATTAGCAGCACCAACCCAACGCATTTACCATTTTGTTGCTGTTGGTCAAGGCCAAACCAAGACTGGTCAAGTGAAAGTATTCATTTGGTCGTCACGTGTGCTGGCACATCAACTCCAGATCACAACTCTGCTTGGTTGATTACAATAATAGCAATGCATGTTTATTTATAGATTGTTATATCGTGTAGATTTTACTACGAAATCGTGTGGTGTTTCACTTGAGCTGCCATTGCACAGAGTGAGTGTAGCTGGATGCAGTTGTGGGGCGACTTGACCTTTTAAAACAAGGAGTCGAGGAAAGCCTTGCTTCGTCAGTACACTTTAAACCATAGTCACTTGTGCCTTCATGTCGTGTCGAGCCAGGTCGTGCGTCTTTCACACTGGCAGTGTCCTCGTTCAACAGCTCAATCGTCTCCAATTCATCTTCGCGAAAATACCTCTTGAGCTCAAGAGGTGGGTGGTGAGTATCATACAGTTGTGAGTTGACAATCGCTAGTTGTTCTTCAGTTTGATCCGATAGTCTTGTATACTTGGATGCAATGGCTGTTGACGCGCGCGATGACGATCGGGATAAATCATGATTGTTGCCGTGTGTTTTCAGAGTCCAGTGCTTGTTATCTATCGGTGTGATTGCTCTTGCTAATGAGCTTTTAGGACGAAGAAGTACCACTGACGAGGCACTCACTGGTCTAGTGGAATTTTGAGAGCCAATAATATACGTAGTGTTGCTTTTTGGTTGTGATGCTGTGCTTTGTGGCCGGCTTACTGATGCTCTGTCAAATAAAATTGAATCTAAGCTAGTTGGATGGTATATTTGCCAGCATTCCTCTCCTTGTGTACTGACTGTTTTACACAATATTTAGCCCGACATATTGGTTAGCTATGCACAAGAGCATATTGAATTTTGTACAATAGATCAAGACACAATAGTTTCATTATAATACCTTGCTTCAACTGTATTCTTCGATACTCTTCATTCTTCTTCTCCAAAAGCATAATGCGCAGATTGTTACTTTCAATCATATGTCGTAATAGCGAGTTTGTCTCGTTTGATAGCTCCAGCTCTATAAAACCACATAAAATGTCAGAATCAACCTTGGGCTTTTCAATATTAGATGACACGATTTTATCAAATTTACTTGCCTGAAAGTTTAAAATCAGGACCAATCATTGTTTCTGGAAATTGCATGAGGTTGGCAATGTGCTGCTCTAGTTGACTGTTTTGTTCCTGCACAATTTGCTTTTCCTGTACTGCCGATCTGAGCCCAGTCTACCAGTTAAAAATTGTACGTATTAGTTCAAATCCAAAAAACTCAAAATATTTCCATGGCTACGTACATTCATCTCGCTGTTTTTTTCTTCAAGCCTATATATCTTGGCTGAAAACTCACAATTCTTCAATTCCAACTCGGATATTTTAGCTCTTGATAGCTCCAAATCATTTTGTACTGCATCTTGTTCTATTCTAGCTACTCCTAGCTGTCCCTGAAAATCATGTATTTGGTTTTGAAACGCAGCAAACTGTGATTTGGCTTTCTCAGTCTCCATGCTCCATTTTTTCTCCAGCTCTTGAGCAATCTTGAGCTCGCTTTGAGCGCTCTTGACATTAAGTTTAAGCGATTCGTTGTCTTTTTGTAACGTAACTTGAATTTTGCCGAGATGTTCCACTAATCAAGTTTTAAATATACAGCAAGTTTAGTGTGCTGTAATAGCAAACGGATGAATTTAATTTAAACGATCATCTGGTGGTTTTAAAACCATTACATACATTCTTTTTTGTAGTGGGCTATTTGTAGCTTGAATTCATTTATCTCCGATTCGTTTTTGGATATATCAAACTGATAGTTTTTGTTTTCGGTATCCAGGCTTTCTACTCTCTCGGATAGTGCTATATTTGCTGCTTCTAACATTTGAGCCTTTGCCTATTTGATGTAAATTAATGCTTTAGTTATAATGGTTCAATTTCATAGTAAAAAACAGCGATATGAAATAGGCATGTTAGATGATTGTAATGTGACTTACTTCAAGTGTTTCCTGTATGGATGACAGTTTTTCTTGATAGCCTGCAGTGAGTTCAGCAATCGCGTGCTGAGAAGCTATTGCTGATAATTCCTTCTACTTGGCCAGTCAAATTCATGAAACAATGTTAGCATCATACTGAGCAGTGTACGACCGCTTTGATTAGTTTGAGATACTGTGCGTTTACCTGTTCTTTTAACACTGCGTAGTCATTGCTCAATTGCACATATTTTGCCTCGAATGGATGCGATAAATCAACCATGACGCCAGTCGTTCGAAATAAAGGAATAGGCTATTTAATAATAATCAATATATTCAAGTACCCTTTAGTATTTGAGAATCAAATGTAGATACTCTGATAGATTTGATACTGATTACTTACTCGATCAGTACCACATGCTTTATCAAATACATCAATATTGCCTGGCTTTGTGGAGGGCTTGCCAAGTAACAGGTTGTTAGATAATGATTCAGATTGGTCCAGCTTTTCATCAGCACTCTGAGCAACCTCGGGTTCTAAAATAGGTGATGGTATACAAGAAGTTTCCAGTAGATTTGGATTGGTGCTCAAAGGTTTTATTGAGGCTCGAGGTAGATTAAACGATTCTAGATTGCTTTGTGCTGATTCTTGAGGAGTCAATGAAACATGTGGTTCGCTGGTGAATGGTGGGAACACTTCTTCAGTGTTTGTATCTTTGTCCAGTACAGACGGCTAGATGTTTGGATTTATACTATTTAATCCTAGAAAATCAGTTGAAATATTGTTTAAATGCAAGAATTACCTTGATGGCAACAACTATTTGCTCGACTTTGATCTCCACATTATGATCAGGCGTATATCGTGAGTGCGAACCAACAAAGTTTTTAAACAGTAGGTTTTCTTCTTCAAGTTTCTCTAGTTGGTCGACTAATGCACTGATTGCACGATCCCGCTTTTTGTGTATTTCCTAATGTTATTAAAGTGATTTAAAATTGGGTTGATGCAAATAAACTACATATGTATAGATTGATATCCTCATGTAAGCTCACCATCATGGTCAATTGAGAGCTGCACCACATTTTTATAACAGAAAACAGTTCTAAATTGTCTTCAACTATATTGCAAAAACTGCATTTAATTTCTTTCATGTCATCCTCGTATATAGTCTATTTAATTTAAACGTATTCAAAAAAATCATATTATACTATTATACTCGTATATCATTTGTTGAAACAACCAGCCTTGTTTAAATATACCTTTTCAACCAACTCTACTGACGATCGCAAATGACCAACAAGAAATCTATACAGAGTCTTGGGCAAATCTGTCAAATACGTGCATGTAAAAACATGGTTAACCAACTGGTCTAATAAAATATATAAGATAGTAGCATACCCTTTAAACTATGTATTGAGTTGGCAAACTTTTCTAGATGTATAGAGAGATTGTTTGTATTGTTGAGTTGTAGCTTTTCCTGGTATACTCTACAAAACAGTATCCAAAGCATAAGTGAATCCACAATATATTGCTTTTCATTACAGCTATAACATAGTGTACCTTGTTATAGGCAAATTCTTGACGACACTATGAGTAGATAGTTTTTTCTCTGCCGGTGTACTCCATTTCCAAGCGATTTGTGGTGGAGATGGATGTATAGGCCGGGCATACATTGACAGAGCCGAAACCGCACGTTGAAGTTTGACTTCTGACTGCGCCTTTTTTTTACTTGGAGCTAATCCAGCAGCAGATACTCGTCGTTGATATGCCAAGCTAGCATGAGAAGGCAGCTCAACACTCTTGACACGGTAGACTCTGTTTCGTGTTTCCAAAGAAGTTGCATGAGTAGGTAGATTGAATGATACAGCACTAATCGTATTTCTACGCTCTAGATTTTGCAATGAGCCTGTGCGAGAAAAACTGATGGTATGTTTTGAAGACTGGCTTGTATTATCTGTATGCTTACTCATACTAAACACGATTTGTGGTAAAACTGACGTTTAGATATCAAACTTGTGTAAATTTCAATCCAGTGAAATAATGCGTTATAAACTGTATTGAGCTTACGATATAAATGTTTACTTTTAAATTTTAAACGTGATGAATTGTGGACATGTAGAATTGAGATTACAACAGTACCAATCCATCTTTTGTAGGTTCACAATTTGCATCAAATAAACCAAATGTTCCGAGAACGGATATGATTCTATACTATTACGGCCGTATTCACGTAAAATGAAGCACTAAATAAGAGTGTCGATGCGTAATAAAAATCCAGTATCATGTAATGATAATTCACACCAGATTTACTGAGCACTGTTTTTTAAACTCGTTGGTTTACTGGTTCTTCCTCAGTGATTACCATGGAAATAATAGCTGTATTCCTGAAACTGTAATATTTGTTTTTTAAAACTAAAACATATTGATGGAATTTCAGGATACAGTAAAGATGAGTTTGAGAATATCAAAACATTGGAAACAAGTCTTGGATTGCAATGGACGAATTTGGTTTTAAGCTTGGCGATCAACAATGCAGGACTGCGAAAACAGAAAGAGCGCGTTCAAAAAAGATAATCTCGGTTCAAAACTATAGTTTGATTATGTGCATCATATGATGACCGTTGTGTCTGAAGATTAATTAAAGGGGCTGTAGATGCTTTGATATTTCAAGATTTTCTGAACAATGGCATTGGAAGGACATTTTCTAATGCCTAATTGAATCTAGACGGCAATTCATTCCGCAAAGCTACAAATTCACTGATTAAACCATTTTTCAACTAATTGGCAGTGTTGCAAGGTATATATCTTGATATTTCGATTCTTAAGCCCTGCTGATAGTTAATAAAAATAGTTGTATATGGCGTGCGATGCCAGACACTGAGAAAGAATTTAGAATGCAGCCGAGGCAGTGCAGTCAATTTCTCAGGAAGATGCAGCAAATACTTGCTCATTGTTTATTCCGAAGCAAAATAAAGGCAGACTACAAGAAATACAAAAATGTTTCGTTTTTACGTGAATACGGTTATAAGAGTCGACAGTTATTCAAAGTCAATTTGCAGACAAGATCGATCCATAGAATATACATGCTACCATCAAGTTTTTAAAAGATATACAAAACAGTCAACATTTATCCTACATCAGCAGCATACCCGTATTTTACAGTACAACCACTAGGTATTGGCCTTATAATTGGTGCTTTCCATGCCCACACCTGCATCCCCAATGCATGCATCTGCGGAAAGCAAGACACTTCACATTCTTACATTGGGAAACAATGATGGCATATTGGGAGACCACAATTCGCTTATTCCAGTATCGTTAGAATCGCAAAGTAGACCATCTCAAACTCACGCAAATCGCAATGGATACATCGTCTCTCGTGCAAGCCGACCCAATTCACCATTTCGAAAACCACCAGCTACAACGTTTGGCTTGCAGTCGATTATTGACTCGACTAAAATAGGTGCAAATAACAGATCGTTACTAAATGGAGCAATGCCCCGCCCATCCAATATAGCAATCAATATCATCAAAGCAAAATATGTGAGCAAAAATAAACTAGCTCACACCTTTGGTCGCGCACATTTGACACAACCAGCGACTCGATCACAATTGTCCAGTCAAAGTATTTTACCCATGAGAATATCAAACTCTGTGGGTTTGGCAAAAACAAGTACGTCTTCTACTGCATGGACCGCTCATAATTCCAAGCAAGCTTCAAAATCAGATTGTCCGATCCTATCTTCACTAGCATCTGCTAAATTGAAATGCCCATTACGAACATTGACAGATATCCACGCAGTACACCGTTTCAATCAAAACAAAGAGATGCATAAAAAGAATGGATCTGAACGCATTGGCTTGTCTTTATCTAGCAAACATGTTCATGCGTATCCTGTCGGATCGCGGATTGTTAACTGCTATAGCAAATACAGATCCAACTATAGTAATGATACTAAAAGTGCCAGCAATGTTCAAACGGTTGCCGTTATGATTAAAGGTTTGGGGCTAACATCACGACCATCAACAGCCTTTAAATCAGTGCCGATTTTACAGTTATCGGCTGGTACCTTTCAATCTTTGCCTGATATTATCATTGAAATTGATGATGATAAAAACATAGCTAAACCTCCAACTTTAGATACCTGTGATGATGATCCTGCTTTGCCCAACCAAAATTCCAGAAAAAGCGTTACTCAATCATAACCGCATTTACGCAAAATGTAACACTTGCATTCGTCTTGCAGTGACCATCTATCTGTTTCAGAATGAACAATGGTTAAATATTCATTGCGCTTTCTTACTAGAAATTGACTGCTTTGACAGACATTCTCGATTCTTGAATAAGCACAATGTTTATTATATGTGCACAGTCACTATGGTTTTGAATTGAAACTGTTTCTTCATTAAAAGTCATACATTGTACGATCACCAGACTCATTCATTGTCATCTAGATATTGAGTTTGACTGTTTTGATGTCACTAGAAACTCGTATGTCGTGATCTAGTTTGAGAAACCAATGATTGCATGTCTTGGGAATGCAACTATGGTATCATGCCAATCACAAGATGCTTGATTTGTAGAAATTGAGAGTTGAAAAGTAAACAAGGTTTGGTTGAATTAAACAGAATCAAGATCATAGCGAGAGTTTATACTAAAACTGGCGATATACTTGTTACACACGAGATTGAATCGAGGGTTGCAGAGCAATTGATGTGTGCATGCTTAAACTATCAAGAATAAAAATGAAGCAAAGCTAAAGTTGATTGCTCAAACATGTCATGTTTCATGGATGATTGTACAACAGGCTACTGAAGACGACAGGTTGAAATGGCAATGAATTTTAAACTATTTGAGCAATGCAAACAAGTACACGAGATCCATTGTATCCTGAATGAACAGCAGTTATATTATTAAAAAGAAACGAATGGAATAAATATGCATTGCATGATTGAGTTTGGTGGATAGTATGAATGGTGTTCAACTGGTGTTTGAATTAATCTCTCAACAGGAGATTCAAATGTCAATACATCGATATGCAGTAATCAGATGCATGTATAACCACCAGTCATCAATTACCAATGTATTGCAAGCAAGAGAACCCAGCCCGTCTCAAAGTGCCGTGATCGGAGGGAGACTATCTCAAGTATGGCAACACTGTAATCGTCCAGCACTTTCATTGGTGGTAACCGAGCTGTCTCCCACAAATGAGCCAACCCACTCGCCGGATAGAATCCCCAACATGAAGCTGATTACTCAAGAGTCAGGAGTAGAAACATGTTTGGTAATCATCATATATCAATATTCATATGTTTCCAAGAGTATTCACTCGACAATAAAATAGGAACTGGTTGGACTATCTGCTCAACGCATTGCTAGTGCCAAGCTAGCTGTATGGCAGTCGATTGACCTACAGTTATGGATACGATACACCCGATCAGATGTAAGTATCAGCCATATGGTAGGAATTGTAGCACACATTCTCCAACATTCATTCACTTTAGGGAGTCATACGCAAGTTTAGACTATCAATCGATTCAGATACCACATTTCGATCGTGTCTGGCGGTACTCTCACGATTTATGGACATTAAAGCAACTCATGCAACCTCTGCATTGCTGCAACTATCTACTCCGCTTCCCTGTATTCATCAACCCTCTTCTTCATCAACTGTTATTTCAGATACTGGTCAAACAGTCCCGTTTGATGCCTATCTACCCATTTCGTCAACTCAATCCTCATCATCCTTGATGTACCCACTAGACCTACACCATGCTTTATACGATCTGCACAATATTCCTGAAAGTATACTCAAAGAGTGCTGGTCTAAACTGGCTGGTATGAGCAATCAGCAGTTACGCCAGATTCCATGGCTCAAAAATACTAATATGGATATGTGGGCTAAACGAGTAGAACATGAACTCAGACTGGCGACCCTTGATGAATAATATTGAACAAGTGGTAAATCGAACCAATGCATAATATATGCATGTTTTTTAAGATCAATTCTAGTCCAAGATAATGGATAAAGCTGAATGTGTTATGCTTGGCCGTTTATCATGTATTTTAGCACTCAGTATTCTATTCTACTGAATACGGCTGTAATAAAATCACATTTGACCTCTCCAAGATAAACTCTATTCAGCAAGATATTCCAAATCAAAAAATGATGACAGACCGCAAGGCAGCTCCAAAGCTGGCCATAGACATAGACATTAATAATAACTTGGGTCCATCAGAAAACTCGGCTGCCATATCCACTACAAATCAGCCTAGTCAAGCCCAAACTGATATTGAAACTCGCCATCACGATATCGTTACATTCACTGCTGACCTTAGCCGTCACATCTGTCGCATTCTCAACAAAAGTGATGCTCTTGATAGCAGTCAGTTCGACTGTATCCAATACGTAAATCAAATCTTTCCTGATGAGCAAAGTCTTGTACATGCAGACAAGGTGCTGGAAAAACTGCAGAAGCAGATTCATCATTTAGATAACGAGATGAAAGCTTTGGTGAGGTATCAAACCGACGCTAGTCAGCAATCCCGACAAGAGCTGGAGGAAGTTAAACTGGCTATACAGGTAATTTTAACTATTTGGGTATTTCATTGTGGGCTTACTTGAATATGTCTTGGAAAATATCGTTTTTGCATTTCATCTCAGTTCTAATTGACATGTATTTTCTATTAGCATCTGGTCGCAAGAATCAAGACTATAAAATCAAAGGCCACTGAGGCTGAAGATATGGTTCTTGAGATCACTCACGATATCAAATCACTGGACCAGGCTAAGCACAACTTGACTCGCACAATCACCGTATTCAAGCGACTCCAAATGCTTGGTAATGCCATCAATCTTTTTCCATGCCATATACATGCTACTTTACATTTCATGTCTGACAGATTAGAGTTTTTCATATACATGACAGTCAATGCATTGGACCAGCTCAAAGGAGTAGCAAATCGTAAACAGTATCGCGAAACTGCTCATCTTCTTCAGGTATCATTCAAATTTGGAGTCAATCTAAGGCTTGGATCTTGACCATCAACCCCTACAGAAAAATAACATATTTAAATGTAGATAACCAAACTTCTCATGGACAAGTTCAAGGCATACAAGAATGTTAAACAGGTCGCTTCAGTATGTGAAACTGGAATCTTGCTTGAAACGGACATTAAACGAACCATCTTTAACGAATTCGAATCTAGGTATATGTACAAGCATGTTTTGATTTGTAGAATCATTTTTTTAACATTGTTGGGATATTTTCATCAAGCTTTGCTGGTGGGACGTTTAAAATGCAAGTACAGGTTCTCAATGATGCATGTCTTGTCATTGATACTTTTGGTTCTGATTCTCGGTAAGATGTTTAATTGAATGGATTTATTTGATTTCATTCTGTGTATCTAACTTTGAATTTGATCAAGGACTCAACTTATTGACTGGTACTGTGAGGCTCAATTAAAAGATTACCGCGGTATATTTCGCTCAAACCCAGAGGTTAGTTTATTGGTACTGAAACCTATCATGCTGAACTCTGTGCATTGATCATTGTACATTTACCATCAAAAACTAAGCTGGTGTAATCTATTTAGGTGGCTGGATTGAATGATATATCACGCCGGTATGCGTGGTTGAAGCGTGCACTCAAAACACATGATGATCAGCATGCAAATCTATTTATACCAGAATGGGGAGTGGCTGAATGCTTTACAGTAAAGTTTTGCAGCGACACTTGCAAAGACTTGGCCGATGTGTTGGCCAAATCGGATAAAGATGACACTTTGGATACGGTGATGATGTTGCAGGCGCTACAAACCACAATGGAGTTTGAGAGTAAATTGGATAAGCGATTCACGCATAAAGTAAGCGGTTGATGGGTTTTGAGCCTGTATTACTATTGTATTGGTATTTTGTAGACATGAAGACTAAAAAGTAGATTTGATGGGTTAGAGCTATACCGAGGCGATTCGTAATGAAAATGAACTTGCGCCTTGTACATCCAAGTTTTACAAAATCATAGCAGTTTGTTTTGAACCGTATCTCTGGCATTATATTGACTTGGAAGACAAGTAAGTGCTTATGTTTTAATGGTTAAAGTATAGTTTTTATTTTTTGGGAGTTGCAGATATTACTTTTTGTTTACACAAGTGATTCTAAACAATGGTCAATGTTAATATCAGATTACTTTCAGAAAAGTTTGACGTGTTCAAGTCACAGCCCTTTATTGCAGACGACGAATTGGTCTTTACATCATCCACTGATTTGTTTTTGGTGTATCGTCAAACACTATTAAACGGAGCTCGTCTATCTACACGTAAACCATTTCTAGATCTATGCAAAATGTTTGGCAAGTGGCTAAATAATTACAATGATTTGCTAATGAGCAGACTTCCCAAGTAAGGACGCTTTGTTTCTGCATAGCCGTATGATTTTCAATTTTAACTATTTTGGGATACCCGGCCGTTTTTTAGAGATGATAGGCGAATTCCTATTGATGATGATTTGCGTAATACGTGTTTGGTGGTAAACACGGCCGATTACTGTGCTTCTACAACTGCTCAGGTGTGTTGGAAAGTGATAGATGTTGTACATATGGATGCAAATCAATATTGAAAATAGTGGACTACTTTTTGCATAGGTGTATCTAACAGTTTCGAGCACTATTTTGATTTTTTAGCTAGAGGAAAAACTTATTGAAAAAATTGATTCAGATATGAAAGGTTTGCTAAGCCTTTCTGCCGAAAAAGACTCTTTTTTTGGGTAAGTTTTACCAGCCTAGTTTTTGCATGGTTTTGCTTCTGAATCAGATTTTCCCCTAATTTATGGTTGCAAATATTGTTTGGTTTGATAATATCTCAGGTGCTCAGCAGCAGCAATTCAATGGTTAGTCAAACTAGTAGAAAATGCAAATGAATCTGCATTACAATCCATGACAAGACGCCAATGGAACACACTGTCTTCGGTTGGTGACCAATCTGAGCACATCACCCAGATTGCTGTAACGCTTTCTGCTGCTATTAAAATCATTCGCAAGACAATAACTAGTTCCAAGTATTTTCGATCGTTTTGTGACAAATTTGTGGAGTTGAGTAAACCTTTTGACTGCCTTGGAATGAACTGCTGTAGGATCAACTAACCTGCGTGGGTGGATTATTGTGTTGTTGATAGCTCGTTCACCAAAAAGTATCTGTCGACAATTTACAAGTGTCGACCACTGTCTGAAATTGGTGCAGAACAGATGCTGCTTGACACGCATTCATTGAAGAATATCATGATAGAGATGTCGACTCTGGGTGCAGATCCACCAGCACAGGCACCTGCAGCATATATAAAAATTCTTGGAAGAGGAATTGCAAGCATTGAACAGCTGCTAAAAGTTGTGCTTAGGCCTCAAGATCCACCCGATGCGATTGTCGATACGTATAATCTTTTGTATCAAGATTACAACGTGACGAATTTCCAGAAAATTTTGGAACTCAAGGTAAATTGGGATGAATTGGTTCACACATGCTATTCTTTGAATTGTATATTGACTATATGATTATTGTAATGATTTAAAAAACACGATTGTATAGGGTCTTCGGAGAGCAGAGATACAGCCAATAATCGAGATGTTTCAAATCAAGGTGCCCGCTAAAACAAATGCTATTTCATCACCTTTGCCAGAGCTTACCAAGGCTGCCGTGGGCAACTTTAAACCAGATTTCCGTAAGTTCATGAACAACATGAACCTGAAACGTATTTAATTGAATATAAACTGGAGCTGAGAAATGAAAGTTGCACAAGTTTGAATGAAACAATCAAAAATGCATATTGCTTTTTATTAATGCTATGATTGGTAAAGATCAATGTTGGAGTCAAGAGCAGCAACCCAAAGTTGCTAATAATGCATTAGGCGACCTTGGTACTCTATAATTCAAAAATAAAGTACAAGACATCCCAAATAGAACAGTAGGTGGTTAGCTATTGTAGTATACAAGTTTAATGAGACACCTTCCAAGTCAGCAGACTGAATACCTTGACTGCAGACTCCATAGCAGCAATAACCTTGTCTAGGTGTCCATTTTCAGGCTCGGTAGCAGACACGTTCATCTAAATACATTCAAAAAGTCCATGTTCATCATACATTACTATAAACAAGGTTTAAATATATGGCAACTTACGTGGCCGATACGGAAATACTTGGTATTGTAGTCAGGATGGAGACCACCAGCAACAACCACACCAGCAGCAGTGAAGCATTTGAGGAAATCAGCCGGAGCAACATTCTCAGGGTAATATACTGCCGAAAGCGTATTGGCGGCATATTCACGCTTGACAGGAACCTACAACCATCCAGTTAGCACGATTGGCAAGATCCAAAACAAAGATCTACAGTCAAGCAGCACTCACAAGCTTCAATCCCATGCGCTCAATAGCAGCCTTGACCTTGTCAGAGGCATCAATATGCTTTTTAAACCTTAGATCCATGCCTCTATCTACAAGCTGCTTCAAGCTAGTCTCGAGAGCAAGAATGAGTTGCACAGGAGGAGTAGCAAAATAAGAAGGTTGGCGGGCCTCATATTTTTGCATAATAGGAATCCATTTGGCAAACGAACCAAAGTAGGTTGTAGGTGCGGCCTTGCGAGATTTGAATGCAGTCAGAGCTCGTTGACTGACAACCATGAGAGCAAGTCCTGGAGGCACACCAATAGCCTTTTGGCTTGCAGTCATGACCACATCGAGTCCTATTATAATCATTCCATAAATAAACCAGATTTTCAAGACAGGATGCAAGCATAATGCAGATTACAATGAGCATGTCTTGATATCAGACACTGCAAAAGTCATGATCGTATGTATTCCTACCCCATTCATCCATGCGGATCTCCTCGGCAGCGACGGAACAAACCCCATCAACAGCAATGAGTGTATTGGGAGACACCTCCTTGACAGCCTGGGCGACCTTTTGAACATTGACCAGCACACCAGTAGATGTATCGACATGGGTGATGGTAATAAGCTTAAACTGGTCGTTTTTGAGTGCCTGTTTGATCGCATCAATTGAAGGTTGGTCGCCAAACGGAGCAGTCAGTTGGGTGACTTTGGCTCCATACACTTGTAGACACTCTGCAAACCAGTTGCCGAAAATGCCAGTGTTGATCACTAAAGCCTTTTCACCAGGCTCAATGAGATTCGAAGCCGTCATGTCCCATGTCAAAGTGCCAGATCCAGAAACAATAATAGGCTGTCCTGTCTGTATCAGCACAATGTTAGATGGTTGAGTGTAAGCTATTCAAATTCACTTCTGGTTGTATCAGACTTGTACTTACAGGTGACAGAAAGACCTGGCGAGTGAGCTCAATAGCAGATCCAAAAGCGTTGATAAAGGCAGGATCCACATGAGAGGTAGCAGGAGTGGCCATGGCATCCAGCACATGAGGATCAAACTCCACAGGACCTTTATATAGAACAGATACGATACAACCAGGAAGCAATGTCAGTTGGTAAATGCGGAATCTCAGGCATACAGTCATGCAATGAAAGGTCAGATAGGTTCCTACCAGGAATCATGCATAGTTTATGGGACATTGGAGGTAGATAAGATGATAAAGATGCAAGCGGGGGTAATAGAAGCAGTTGCTTGTAAGAATAAGTAGGTTTCTTGAAGAATTTGTGGTTGGATCGGATGCTAAAGTCGATGCAGTCGGAAACTGAAACTCTTGATTTAGACAGCAGCAATTGTAATGCTTTCCGTTTGTTAAAATACATTTGTAATATTACAGAGTATAGCTCATATATAGATAAATACTGTGCAGATCTGATTGTAGTAACTGAGTTTCAACAACTTTTTGTAAATGAAGTTTTGATCGTATTCATTGATATAGACCAAGAATGTAAAATACATTAGAAATTAGTCACATTGTCAGTTTATTACAGGCTTATTCACAAAATGGAGCATCAAAGTCCGAATATATAATAAACAATCTCATAAATACAAAGCGAATGCTCACATCTGTTTCGATGGATTACACACCTTTGACATTTTCAACCTCCAACCCAAATACTGGACGACCAGCATGTATAGTTGTATTATTGAGATATGCTGAACTAGATCGCGAACGTATCTGATATTAGAATAGAATCTCAATAAAAAATAATCCATTTCTAATAATGAATAGTTGACAATTGCTTATTCCAAGACAATCATTACAAGATTAATACAAAAGTGTTTCATTTACATCAATATGGCTGTAATATGATCGTCTACTTCAGGCAATACTTGATATAATGGACTCATGTTCGCTTCAAACAATTTTCCAAACGATTCTATTACAACTGGCATGACTGTATCCACTGTTACTATTTCTTTGCGTCCCCGAGACATCAGTTCCTGCGAAATGGATGTCATTTTTTTATCGGGAAGTCCGCACGGAACAATATGATCAAACCACTTTAGATCTGTGTTGCAATTCAACGCAAATCCATGTGTTGAAATATGATGCGATACATGGATGCCTATATCCGGTTGAAATGATCAAAATGAGGCATTCAATAATCTCGCTCGAATATACTCGATCAATCTCAAAATGGCAGGCATTCATTGTTACCTAATGCAGCGATCTTGCGGTTATCAACCCACACACCAGTGTCATGAGTCGTGCCTGCTTTAATGTTGTAGTGACTACATGCATCAATCAAAACCTTTTCTAATCTATCGACGTAGCATCTCACTCCAATCTAATCATATTAGATACTGCATTAGCCAAGCTACCTAAAACAGCCTTATCAAACAATCGTTTGTAAATTGCAATAAACTTACTTTCATGGTTTTCAAGTTCAAGATTGGGTATCCAACCAGCTGTCCAGGTCCATGAAAAGTAGTCTGTCCACCTCGTAGTGTCTGAAAATATTCAGCATTCAAGTTTCTTAATCGAGCACCTTCAGTATCATCTGTCCCTTTAATTCGTCTGCCAGCAGTGAATGTCGGCACATGCTCCAACAGCAGCAGGATATCAATATTGGCTGGATCAGATATGCATTTTTTGGTGCGCATCTGTAAAAGATACGATTGCACCTCCATGGCTTTTCTGTAAGAAACTGCATTTCCAAGAAACTTGACAGCTATGGATTTACTCATGTCAAGGCTTGAGTTGGATAATGAATCTGGTTGAAAAGAAACGGAAACTTTTTGATTCGACATTCGCTGCTCAACAAATTATCCATTAACATTCCCAGACTATCTAAAAGCTTGCAATGCCTGATCCTGTGAGTGATACCACAAAAACTTTGAAGCATTCATCAACCCTCAGCTAATCACTAGTCATGTATAGGAACAGGACCTTGTTAGTTTGCCTAGAAAATGGCAACTGGAGCCAGAACAGGAGTTTCGGTTTGAAGTCGCTCCTGGATCAAAGTTCAAAGGGACCGTAAAAGTAGGATATCTAGTCTGTACTCTACCAAACATCTTTTAGTTTATACATTATACCTATCTGACTAAGATCCCTCATCTCATGCTACTGAATTTCATACTGACGCTTGCTTTTATACAATGTAGCTTGTATCTGGTCGAGCAGAGATCTTTGGATCTGAACTCGCTGTGGGTATCGACTATGTTTTTACAGGAAGAAAGCTTGCTGTATTCACTTGGCATGGATGCGTTTTAGAGATATCCTTTTTATATACAATTCGACCATAATTCTTTCAGATACAACATTCTGGCTGTGTCTTGACTACTTGTTCCTTTTCAACGCATGTTATTTCTATTGATCTTGATTACACTGTAGGATTGTTTACTGTAGAATACATTGGATACGAAACGCCCATGCAAAGTTATTTGAATGTGCATTTGGCACTTGAAGGAATGCGTGATGCTGCTCAATTAAAAAATGAATCTGGTCCTAGAGTGATTATTGTTGGCCAGGCAGACTCGGGAAAAACTGCCTTGGCCAAGCTTTTAATCAACTTTGCTGCCAAGCAATCTCGTGCTCCTGTTTTTGTGGATCTCGATCCAAGTCAAGTAAGATATGATTGCTGGCATAAATGTCACAAATCTAATTCTGCACATGTTTGCTAATCTATGTTTTCAGGGCACGGTTTCGCTTCCAGGAACACTGAGCGCCATGGTTGTTGGTCGTCCGCTTGATTGCGAAGAAGAGTTTGGTGCACCATTGACAGTCGCTGGTACCACACCGCTTGTATACTATCATGGTCAAGCTACACCACTTGAAAAAATCTCACTCTACAATTCAATCGTCAAGAAACTGAGTTTGGTGGTAGACAAAAAACTCGAATCTTCAGAAAGTATGCGAATGCATTTTTATAGAAACACCGTTGATGTTCAGCATGCTATAAGCTATTTACTATATGCCAATAATATTGTTCAATTTAGACAAAGCTTCTGGGTTAATTGCAGATACACCAAGCCAGTTTGCCGATCCGAATGGGTTTGAGCACCTCAATCACACAATCGAGGCATTAAAAGGTAAAATTTGGTATTTTGTTTGGCTTGAATGCAGCACTAATATCTATATAAATCAACTTGTTTGCTACTAGCCAATGTGATTTTGGTTATTGGGCATGAGAGATTATATAGCGACCTGTTTAGAAAGTACAGTGACAAGCCCGGCATGAATGTAGTTAAACTCAACAAATCGGGCGGTGTAAGTTATATTTATCATTTGGTTTAGTCTATATCTAACCCTACAACTTGACACTTTTGCAACGTATCTAAACGCCATTCCATGTTAGGTTGTTACACGAGACAAGGAAATTCGACGCAAAATGCAAATGCAGCGAGTCAAGGAATACTTTTATGGAACGCATAAAACAGAAATGATGCCATTTTCACAAACTGTTCCCTTTTCTGAAGTCGTTGTGCGTCGAGTTGGTGAAGGTATCCAATTTGATCATCTAATGCCATAGATTCCACTATTTTTGATTTGCTTCCAATTGACTTTAATTTCAATATCAATGTTGTGAAATTGCATAGGTATCTTGGCACCATCTTCTGCTTTACCACTTGGTACGGAACGGAAACAACAGGATACCAAATACGTAAAAGTTGAGCCTGGAGACATTCTTCTTCATTCAATCCTTGCCCTATCTCAGGCCCCGCTTCCTGGTGTGGTTGGCCCAAGTGGTCTTCCTACCAAGATCTACACACCAGAGGAAGAATCTCAAACTCTGCTGGAATCGAATGTTGCAGGATTTATTTACATTTCAGAAGTGGAAGATGAGCGTCGGAAAATGACTGTTCTGGCTCCATCTCCAGGAAAGATTCCCAAGCAGTTTTTGATTATGGGTACATTAAAGTGGATGGATATTTAAGCTGTTTCAGGGCTCTACATTTTAATCTAGACCAGCAATAGTTCACATCATTCAAAGCAAATAAACTCAAAATTCAGATGTTTATTATCTCAATCTTGAAGTGGCAGTCGAGTGCTAACAACATGACCTTGAACAAACACAGTAACAATGTTTCGGTCATCACCAAGATAGATAAACTTTTCAAAAATGGACATGGCATCGTCATGGGCAAATATGTCCATCCCAGACTCTACCCCCGGAATGGGTGATGCTGTATCGATCAAAAGAGCATCAAAGCTTTTTCCGGGCATAAAGTTGCCGATCGTATGTTCCAGTGCCATCACTTTGGCACCTCCAAGCGTTGCCAGATAAAACGCTTCAGAAAAGGTTAGTGGCTCGTAGACTGTAGTGTCCACTTCTTTACCACCAGTAGAGTTGGATTTGACTCGAGCAGCAGCCTCTTCGCGACTATTGACATGAATGACTTTGCTTGCGATAATTGCCTGACGCATGGCATCCATCAGGCTTGAAGAGTATCCACCGGCAACATCTGTTCCCAGTCCGATTTTGGAATGACCCTCGTTCACCAACCGACGGAGATTAAACACTCCGCTATGAAGACAGAAGTTGGAACTTGGACAGTGGGAGATGCCTACTTCTCGAGCCTTGAGCAGATCTCTCTCGTGCTGATTAAGATGCACGCAATGAGCCATAATAGTTTTCGACGTAAACAGTCCGTGACGGTCGTAGACATCCGAGTATGTCTGACAGTCTGGATGCAGTTCCTTTACCCATTGAATCTCACCAGGAGTCTCGGATAGATGAGACTGGATTGGCAGGTTGTGTTTGGCAGCAAGAGATCCCAGTTTCTGCATCAAATCGGAAGTGCATGTGGGAACAAACCTTGGTGTAATGACTGGGGTGATCAGAGAGGACTTGATGGTATCCTGAATATAACCAACAATCTCCATAGTAGCTTGGAGACTCTCGTCCATGGTCTCGACATAGTAGTCGGGTGAGTTGCGATCCATATTAACCTTGCCAACAAATGCCCTCTGACCAGCAGTATGAATTACATTCGTAAGAGTTTTGGCTGCATCCAGATGGGTGGTTGCAAAGTAACAAGCGGTGGTCGTCCCATGTCTAAGTGTCTTGCGTACTACTTTCTGGTAACTGTCCAGTGCATATTCTGGCTGATTGAAGGCAGCTTCTCGAGGAAAAGTGTATTTCTCCAACCACTCGAGCAAAGTCAAATCATATCCTGTACCAGTAAACACATACTGTGGTGCATGAATGTGAGTATCGACAAACCCAGGAACTATAAACTGAGTGCTGCTTAAGCGAGTCACTACTGAACTGTCAAACTGCCATTGCTGCTGGAGGGTACTCAATAAAGCTTCAATGGCTGTTGGGCTATTGATCGTTGTAGATTCCACAAAAGCAATAGTGCCGATAGTCGAGACTCCGACTATTGCACAAGGAAGATACTGTAGATTGCTGATACTCAAAGAATGATATAATTGTCCTACAATAACCTTTCCAATAGTAATCGCTGGCTCAATTCCTTCAGCATCAATCATTATACTACTCGATGGCTAAGCTTTTTGTAATCCTTTGCAACTGCTTTGTTCACTGATGCCAGTCTGGGATTGCTGTGCTTACAATTCTGCGATTTGACAAGATTCTTGACATCAGCTAAAGGGATTGTCCGTAGATACAAGCATTCCTACTACTCATCAAGATGCAGACTTGAATATCTAACGGATTGACTAGTAGCTGCTTTGGTTCTATCGACTACATTGCCTATTGGTAGTATAAGCCATGATTTACATATATCTAATCGTACCATTAAAAACCTGTGCATACTCCAGCCATCAATAATACAACTATACAAATTCCAGTATATTATCAGTTCGCTTGTATGCGATTTAAACTTGCATCGGAGTTTCCTGTGCCACAATGCAAAGCCTTGAAAACTCCGACTTGTGCAATAGCTATTATTACTGTCGAGCGTTGTATAAAGATATCATTGTCATTAGTGGCGGAATAGTAAATTACGTAAAATTGCACTACAAGTATAGGGTGCCCGGCAAGTCGTCAAAAACGTGCATTGAAATATCTACTCATTAGGTTTTACCTCGACTTTCTCCTATTCAGCTAATCATCTGGATAAAGAGTTTAATCATCTTGTACTTTTTAAAAATTGGTTCAAGTAGTTTTAAATTATTCGGCTTAAAGGTGTGAATTGTCTGTTTACTCTTGAAGCAAATCTATTTAAAATTATCAAGTCTGAACCAGATATTGAATTTTTAAGCGTCGGAATTTAACCTTGCTACAAGTGTGCAATTCAGTTCTCAGGCTCGTTGGTAATGTTCACAGTGTTATTATCGACTATGTACTGCAATGGCAACTCATTCATGTTTTATTTCTCACAATCCTCTTGTTATAGCCAATTCGTGTGTATCTAGCTTTTAAAAAGTTCAACTCTAGTGAGAACACTCAAAAAGCATATTCAACTTTCAGTATCAACAAAAACCCGACTCAGTTATAAACTTCAAATCCCTGTACTAACAATAGTCCATCTAATCCATCCTTGCAGATATTTTTAATTACAATTTTATAAAATGTCGACTCGGCTTGTTCAAGATCTGACACATTTGAATTCAACAACTGCTGAAGAAATTGCCCAGTATCTACGAGACCAAGCTTCAGCCGGTCAACCGTTTGTTCAAATTGGATCTCGTGCACTGCTGGTATTGAATATCCCCCAGTCGCTCGTGTTTGATGAAAAAACATCTAATCTTTATGGTACTGCCGTTACCAATATCAACAAAAATGTCGAGTCTGTGTCAAATCCTCCACCACACATTTACGATTTGGCTACAAATGCCTTTGTTAATATGATGGGTAAACATACAGATCAAGCCATTGTTCTTTGGTATGTCACTATGTTGCTGCTGACTGTCTTGTATTGACCAAATGCTTAAAACAAGTTTATTTCACAAGCTTGAACCATTCAACACGTTTTAATCCAAATTCAATCACTTTTCTGTTTTAATAGTGGGATAGACGGAAATGGAAATTCACAGTGCGGTAAAATGATTTCTAAGCATTTGTGTTCTCTCAGTCTGAATGCTACCAAAAAGTCTCGTGTGATTTCTGGCGTAAACAAAATGGAGACTGTGCTCGCAGCATTTGGCAGCGCATCCAATACTTTAAACATTCTTTTGGCGAGATTTGGTCGATACACTGAGTATCAATACGATGAGCGAGGCAAGATGATTGGCGTGAAGCTTCTTGATTACCTGTTTGACAAGGACCGTGTGGTCAATATTCCTACATCTGAGCGCAATTTTGACATTTTTTACTGCCTCTTGGCTGGAGCTACTGAGCAGGAGCGACTTGAATGGAGTTTAACTGACAATAGTTCATTTACATACTTGAACCGTGCGGGTCAACTGACAACTGGTCCAACAGCATCCACTCAACGCGACAGATTTGATGAACTTCGTCAACATCTCAAATCATTAGGTATTGGAACGCGCACTCAAAGCTTGCTATTTCGCACCATCGTTGCAATACTCCATTTAGGCGAAATCGAGTTTGAAAATACGGACGGTGTAAATGAGGCCTGCAGAGTTAAAACCAGAGACACTCTCGATATTGTCTCCAATCTTCTTGGTGTGAATTCAGATACGTTCGAATACGCTCTTACAATTAAAACCAAACCTGTTTTTAATGAAATCTGCACAGTCTTTCTTTCTGCTGCGGATTCTATCATTCAGCGCAACGAAATTGCTACAACATTATACTCTTTGCTTTTTCGCTGGGTTATTGAGCACCTGAATACTCGTCTGTGTGTTGAAGAATCTGACATGTGTATTGGCGTCTTGAATTTTGGCACATTTGATTGCGGTCTAGATGAGCATAACGGGTTCTACACGTTCATGATGAATATAGCCAACGAAAGAGTAGCTACTTACTTGTTTCGTGGATATGCTCATCGATTGTTTGAGCTCTACAACGAAGGACTAGTAAATATCAATCCAGAGGTTCTCAAACCCACTACAATGTTGACTGCTACAGACTTGGTGTGGTCTCCCGATGCAACCAGTGTGCTGTCGATTTTCAATAGTGAATCACAAAAACTTGTTGGGAATACGTCTGCATTGGAGTTGAAGACGATTCAGCAAATGCATCAAGTATGCTCAAAGAATTCAATGTATATATCTAGCGGTCGAAAAGAGTTCAAGATCCAGCATTACATATCTGCCGTATCGTATGATATAACCGGGTTTATCGAGAGCAATAGAGGCATGATTGGGCCCGACGTTGTTGCTTTATTCAGAGGAAGCGCGGAATTGGAAGTTGCTGCGTCCACCAATCTCTTTGTAAGAAATCTGTTTTCCGAGCAAAATGTAGGCACAGCTTCTCGTACCGAAGTTATGGCTCCCGGATATCAAAGTGGGATTCCTCAGCGACGTGCATCCACATTAGTTCGTCGCAATACAAAAGCTTTTGCAGTGGCTTCTGACTCAAATGGCTCATTGACAACAGCAAATCCCGGTGTAGACGCATCCAATTTGGTTTCGACCGAATATAGCCATCGAAAAAAATCTGGGATAATACCCAATGCAGCAGAATCAAAACGAACTTCAAAACCACTTCCAATCCAAACTCTGGACTTGGATGCAGCTTTGACCGAGTTGGAGGAAACGCTAGATGCAACAGAGATATGGACAGTATGCTGTGTTGCTCCTAATCGCACGGTTGGACCCGCTGACTGGAAATACATGACTTCTCAAATCAAATCAATGGATATTCCACGACTAGTTGATATTGCTAAACAGTCCGCTCCATTCGCTCATGCGTATACGTTTAATGAGTTTGTAAAAACGTACCGTACCGTAATTGAGCAGCTTTTATCCAAGTCTGATATGAAGGATTACACCAACGAAATGCTTTGCAATGCCATTGTAAGTCATATGGCCATGTGCGGTGATCAAGGTATACGACAAGGACCCAACAAGATTTTTTTAAGCGATAATGTTTGGAAACAGTTTGAACATATTCGTACTACAGGACTACCTATATCTGGTATCAATTCGAAAAATCCTATGTCGCTTGAAGGATATATTCAACCAGGATTACCTGAAAAAATTCACGAAAATGGTTTGGATGATGATCGTCTGTCTGAATTTACTTCGGTATCAAGAAACCACCAACGCGCTAGATCACCTACATATACTGCGGAGCGATCAAATAGCGACGAAGTTTCATTTGATCTTGGTCCAGATCCACTTCAACGTAGAGAAGTTGCTAAAAAGGGCGATGGAAACACGGATCCAATTGAAGACGATGATGATGACGACGACGATAAGCCAGGAAAAAGGAAAATGTCTCGTCCTCGATGCCAATGGCTATGCTGTACTTGGCTGCTAACATGGTGGATTCCCTCTATTTTTCTTTTACTTTGCTGTGGCATGAAACGTCCTGACATTCGCATGGCATGGCGTGAAAAGGTTGCCCTATGCATCATCATTTTTTTGATGTGTTGTGCGCTTTTATTTTTTATTATTGGATTTGGTCGTCTTCTTTGTCCCAAGCAAGAGGTTCTCAGCACATTTGAACTTGCCTCAAAGTCGTCTACAACAGATCCATGGGTTTATGCCAATGGTCGCGTGTATCAAATTTCTGATGTCCTATCGAATCACTTTAACAGTTACGGAATCCCCAATTTCCGATTTGCAGGATTTTTAGGTGGTGACGTTTCTCCGCTGTTTTACAAAGGCGGCCAGTTTTCTACCTACTGCCCGGGACTGCCACCACCTCAGGCTAATTGGGACCCACTTGCAAACCGACCCAAAGCCGATTCAAGCAACTATGCTCATTTAGCCATAGATCCGAAATCCGGCCAACCAAAGCAATATTTGGAATTTATGAACAAATATGCACGTGCACGATTGGCCTATACTCTCGAATATATTGCAAAGGTGGCCAGCACTGAGCATCGTTTGATTGTTATTCACGATAATGTGTATGATGTATCGGGGTACTTTAATGCCGACAGTAGATTTCTTGGACCGCTTGTTGAGCAACTTTTTGGAAATTTTTATGGCAAAGATGCCACTCCCCAATGGAAACAGATTCAGCAAATCGACCCCAACTCCAACGCATACATCAACTGCATGAATCACATGTTTTATATTGGTACAGTTGACCATCGAAATGACTTTAAATGTCAGTTTTCAAACTATATGTTGTTGGCGACTTCCATTATTTTGGTGTCGGTTGTTGGGTTTAAATTTTTGGCTGCATTGCGATTTGGTTCAAGCCGGGATCCAGAATTTCATGACAAATTTGTCATTTGTCAAGTGCCTTGTTACACGGAGGGATCCGACTCGCTATCCAAGACACTTGAATCGTTGGCGGTATTACAATACGATGATCGCAGAAAACTGCTGTTTGTTATTGCAGATGGTATATTATTTTCTCTTGTACTGATTTCCATGCTTTCAAGTTGTTAAACTGTTATTTTTGATTTCTGTCTAGGTATGATTGTTGGTAGTGGAAATGACAAGCCGACACCCCAAATTGTGTTGGACATTCTTGGGGTTGATCCCAACGCAACAATCAATAGTGATTCATTTAGTTTTCAATCACTTGGAGAAGGCGATATGCAGCATAACATGGGCAAGGTATATTCCGGGTTGTATAATGTTCAAGGCCACTCTGTACCGTTTGTTGTTGTCGTCAAGACTGGCAAGCTGAGTGAACGTCGACGACCAGGCAATAGGTATCCCACAACTGTTTCTGTTTATTTTTTGGAAATGTAATGATATATCATTTAACATTTTGTTTTATTTTTAAAATAGAGGAAAACGAGATTCTCAAATGATTTTAATGCGCTTCCTATCTCGTGTCCACTTCAATGCCGAGATGTCCCCTCTGGAGCTTGAGATTTTCCACCACATGAAAAACATAATTGGCGTTCATCCCTCATTTTATGAATACATTCTCATGGTAGATGCCGACACAGAAGTATTTCCCGACTCACTGAATAAGCTTGTATCCACTATGATGCATGATTCAAAGATTATGGGTCTATGCGGAGAAACTCTTCTTTCCAACGAAAAAGACTCATGGATTACAATGATTCAAGTATACGAGTACTTTATCTCTCACCATTTGTCAAAGGCATTTGAATCTTTGTTTGGATCCGTTACTTGTCTTCCTGGTTGTTTCAGCATGTACCGTATTCGATCCCCAACAAAATCTGTGCCATTGTTGATTGCGCCAGGAATCGTGGAGGATTATTCACTGAACCGCGTCGATACCTTGCATGTGAAAAATCTACTTCAGCTTGGTGAAGATAGATATTTGACTACTCTTATGATGAAGCATTTTCCCAATCTAAAACTCTCGTTTAATCCAGACGCTCAATGCAGAACCAATGCACCGGACAGATGGAAAGTGCTTCTTTCTCAACGTCGTCGGTGGATCAACTCTACAGTGCACAATCTCATTGAACTTTTATCGCTTGAGCAAATGTGTGGATTCTGCTGTTTCTCAATGCGGTTTGTCGTGTTTTTGGATTTGTTTTCTACTGTAGTCCAACCTGCTGGTGTATTGTATATTGCATATCTGGTGTACAGTTTGATCACTTCTCCTGATGTGTTTCCTACCATTTCGATTGTCATGTTGGCCGCAGTTTATGGGTTTCAGGTCATTATTTTTGTACTAAAACGTCAATGGGCACAAATTGGATGGATGATTGTTGTAAGTTTTGGTTTTTAATATGTATGCTCTATTTTAAACACTTTGCATTTCATTAACCCAAATTGTTTGTAGTATATTTTGGCTACACCCGTGTTTGGATTCTATATCCCAATCTATTCGTTTTGGAGATTTGATGACTTTAGTTGGGGTAACACTCGAATTGTGCTAGGCGAAAGGGGCGGACATGCAAAAGGTTCAACTAAAGAGGTAACTATTTTAGTTGATATTTCAAACGTGGTAATTCACTGCTATATTTCAGCTCATGTATTTATTTGATTTTTGAAATGACATACAAATAGTTTGATCCAAAAACTATCCCATTGAAAAAGTGGGCGGATGTCGACTACGATAAGTGGGATGGTCAATCACAAGTTTCTGGTGGGCTGAGTTCATGCACGGGAGTATATCCTCCATCCAACTCAAACTCGATTAAAAAGTCAAACAGACTGACTCTTACAGTTCCAGTTCCAGGGTATTTGAAATATGGTGATGGTGGCATGCTTGGTAGCGCAAGATCTCCACAGTTAAATAGCGCTGGAACGGGCAGTTCTATGCCGTCAATCAGGGCTGATATCAAGGATCCACTGCTGCCTCAGGGAGAACCGTTAAACCGGCAAATACCGTCTCCATTACCGTTTGCACCACCAGCTCAACACGCTCCAAGATATGATCATCAGGCAGGCAACTTGACTGTGCCAACCGACGAGGATATTATTCGTGAACTACGAAATGTGTTGGCTACTGTGGATCTCATGGTAGTTACAAAACGCCATGTGCGTGATGATGTTAGCAGACGACTTGGAGTTGATCTTTCATCCAGACGAAGCAATATCAATATGTTTATGGATCAAATTTTGCACGGAAAGCTCTAGAATCAAAGTAGCTGTTGAATTTATATGGAAATGATTAGTAAGGCTGCTAAAATTTTGTAATGACTGATTTCTTGATACTTTTACAGCCATATTCATGTAAAATGAAACATTAAATAATGGAGTCAAAATGCATAATAAACAGTCAATCTCATGAAATAATGGATATCAATTTTAACTCAATTTACTGACAAACTCATTAGTTTGTCAAACTAAGAACGTAAACATCAAGTTTTTAGTTTGGCAATATCTGGATTTCAATACATGAATTTGGGGATCGTATAATGCATGGCTATACAAAAAGTGGAGAAGAGGGTAGTTTAATTGTTTGTGCATCATACACTGGTTGGTGTCTTTATTGAAATAATGCAGTCAATGGCTAATAGAACGATGCAGCGAGTATTTAACCATTGCTTATTGTGAAGCAATCACTGCAAGATAAATAGCAAATGTTCCACTTTACGTGAATAGGGTTGCAAAAGGACGACTAGATCTGATTGCATCCATGATGGTACTATTATTTGCAAAGCATGTCATGTTTATATTAGGCAATCCATTGCATCAATAGTCTTGATTATTTGTAGTTTGAGACTCCAGACTTTAATAACACTGGTTTAGCTACCATCGCGCTTGAAAGGGTTAGGTAGATTATTCATTGAAATAGTTTGATATTTAGAATCCAGTCAATATAGAAAAGATCTATACAAAGTCATTTAAGCAAATATTTGCTGTTTGGTATGGTCAATCAAAATGATGTCTACTTTTTGCTGGATCACCAAGGTCAAATAATACAAATATTCTCATCTTGAACATTACACCATGTATTAGAGCATATACACGTGTCTTGATAACTTCATTTACCGTTTTTATATCAAAGTCAAATCATGCAATATGAATTTTCGACGACCAGTTTCAGTCAGCCGCTGGTCTGTTTCAGCCTTTCGTTTAATTTGGTCTGTCTCGGTTAGTGTTTGAATCATCTGCATGACATAATCATAGCGTTCCTTATTTGTAAGGGTCATGTAGTGCGATATATCGATTGTATCGGTCAGCCTGCGTTTCATTTCAACTTTAGACGGAAAAGTCTCTAGTGTGCCATCATTGACCGAGATGTATCGACGCTGAGTGGCCAGATCGTAATGCACAACAACCCGACCTTCAACGAGGGCAAAAATAGTATGGTCGCGGCCAATACCAACGCCATTGCATGGATGCCATCTAGTTCCTCGTTGACGAAGAATGATGTTTCCGGGGATAACTTTGCTGCCATGAAACCTTTTGAATCCAAGGTATTTTGGGTTGGATGTGCGAGTGTTTGAGGTTGAACCACCCGATTTCTTTGTTGCATGTCGTACTTGAATAAGATTAGTGTTGGATAAAGTAAGAGACATTGAGTCTGTGAATCCTAACAGTCTCAAAGGACTCTTGGCAACAAGACTTGATCTCGCAGCGAATATCCCAGATCCAGTCCATGAAGACAGTTGTGATAATCCCGATCTGAACATTGCTTTTCTTGGACGCAAAAGAAGAAAATCTTGACAAATAACACATTATAATCACGTGATTTATTTTATCAAAATGTCAGTCAAGGCTGCGTTTAACTAGCGTATCGCTCTTATCCCGCCAGCAACATGGCAGGCAGTGCTTTGCCCTCGCTCGAGTAGCATTGCGCTCACTCTTTAAACCAAAATTGTTTTTCAAATCCAAGACATTACAAGTAGATTTCAAGAAAATTATTATTGGATTCCTTATGTTAAGCACCAATATTGAATGGAATAAACCAACTCTGATATTTGGGTTTCCAGAGGCTCTTTTAGTGTATCACAAAACAATGGCTGTGCGTGATATCGTACGGAATGGATTAAATGATGCTTGGGACGCAACACACATGAACGACATAAATAAACTATTCAAATATTTATTATCCAATATTGTGATTTTATAAGTTTAAAAACCTATATACAAGTGTAGACAGGTTTATCTCGAAAAGATTCTCAGGCAGCCCAAATCATTTGTATTGGCTACAATTTAATGATGATGCTATTTTTCAATCATTAAAAACAATGTTAGTTTGACAGCAGTAAAATTGAACACATCAGCAAAATTGGTACCTCGATAGCCAAGATCATTGGAGTGATAAATCCAGCCAATAGCACAATAATCTGTGTTTTGCTTAGAGATTTTTCTGAATGGTTATAGGATGATCCTTGGGTTTGGTAAATTTCTGGCAAAACGTGGATGGTGGCAACATAAAGAAATGTTCCAGCAGAAAAGAGCAACAGTATACCTGTCCACAGTTGTGTACTATAAGGATCTGACAAGTCCGCTTGAAATAGAGCCAGAAATGTAATCATTGCCGAGATTGGAGCAGCAGCAGAGAATATCAGTAGTTGTTGCCGAATAGCCCGGCGTGAATGTCCTTCCTGAAGCAAATAGGTGCACAGACCGAATGCAGATGGTGCCTTGTGAAGCATGATTGCAGCAAAAACAATCAATTCAAGTTTATCTGCGCCTATTCAAATTTGTCCGGGATATATAAAATGTTGGTTGGGTATGCATCCATGATATAGTATAGATTGGTGATTTAATCCCAGATAGTTCGCTAAGTTGGCTAATGAATTGTTCAAGCAAATTTACCCGAAGTAGATGCAGCACCCAGCGCAATACCATCAGCAGCAGCATGAACTACTAATCCAATTGTAGCAGATAACTTTTTTGTGGTATAAGAGTGCTGATCTCGTAGATCCGATACGACGATACGCGACGGATGTGAATGGCTCGAAACCTGATCGACCAAAAACATACATGTAAATCCAAAAAGCAATGATGGACCAATATATTTATGTGGCTGAATGACTTGATGATGGGAGTTGTTGTGAGAATGTTTAGGATCTGAATCACCAGTTTCCATACCATCATCCAATGCAACCATTGTAGTTGGTACATCATCCCTTACGAGTAAACGACGTTGAAGATGAGCTGTTTATAGATTTCCAAATAAACAACGATTAAATAGCATAAAGTAGAATGGATTAGCAGCATATAGAAAAAAAGAAGGCTCGTAGATACTGCAACAACTTTGATAGGAAACAAATAAAATACAAGATGGTTCAAGACTAAGCAATACATGCCTGTTGAATCTGTAGTTTTAACATTTGAGTTATGCTCGACTGGATTAAACGACTCGAGAGTATTGGAATAGTCTGAGTGATTTAAATAGTATCGAGGATAGAGATGAGCGGTCTTGAATTCTTTTGATAAATCCGAGCCAAAAGCAAGACTCTTGATAGAGGGATGACTAGCACTGAATGCACTGGCAGCAGAGTATAGAGTCTCGGTGCCCTCTGGAATGATGACAACGAGAGAGGTGCCTACCAAAAGACCAGAGCCAAAGGTGGAGATAAGTCTAAGACGTTCCTGAGAGAGAGACATGGCAAGAGGAAGAAACCCTGCGAGAAAAGAGCCAACAAACATGCAGATAGCCATGATCATCAACCAGAGCAACGAGCCAGCACTCATGTTGAACGAGTAAAACGGAGTAAAATAACGAGTAAATAACGAGTAAAACCGAGCAAATAGCCAGATTTAGCAAGCCTTGAACACGTGACACAGACGCGTTAAATTGAGCGATTCGCAACTCAACTCAACGAGCAACTCAACTCAACTCGACTCAATTCAATGCCAAAACAGAAACCGTCTGAAACCATCAGTTCATTACCTCCTGACTTGCTGGTCAAAATCATCTCACTCCTTCCTGTTTCCAACTTGTCTGTGTTGGCACGAACTTGTCGTCGCTTCAAAGTCCTCTCTTATAACGACCAGGTTTATATTTATAAACTACATAAACTGCATGCTGCTGCTATCGTATCAAATGCTAATACAGATGCTGTCCATCCACCATCTTCAGCTGAAGACAGTGATGATTTGGCTGCCAGATTGCGTCAGTTTCCGGGCGGTCAGTTTCTACCCAACACTACTGCCAACTATCTTGAAACTGGATCCATGTTTAGTACTGCGTCCGATCCTGTGACGCCCCTGTCTGCCAACACTCCTGTGCTACTGCAGGTCCAAGAGGAAACTACAATACCATCCAATACTCCTGTATCTATCACCACTGATGACCCTTTTATCACCACTAGTCCATCTGTTAAAACTAATGCGGACGGTTCGGCGCCAAATCATCGACAAATTACCTCTTCTCTACCAGATATGCGCAACTCTTCACTCATTATTGGTGCCGGTGGTTTAAAAGCCGCTTTGGCAAAACAGGCTCAGCAAAAGCAAAATAGTGTTGGTTATTCTACTATTGGCCGAAATGCCTTGCACAAACCTACAAATCTATCTCTACCACATCTTCGCTCGTCTGAAAAATCGGCTCGTCTGGTATTCAAGCAAATCTATGAAAAACTATCTCCTCTCTACTTTGATTTTCGCGAAAAACAAAAAGACTCGAAACTGTTTTTAGAAAACAAGGACTTGTCTGTCATTGGTGCTCTTCTTTGTCAATTGCGTTTGTTTGATCGTGCTGGATTTGTTAGTCACAGCGATGATATCAGCTTCAGTCTTGAAACTACAATCGAATGGTTCGAGTCCATGGTCATTGGTCAATTCGAGCGTGCTTACGATCGTACAGACACAGCTGAAATGCGTACTGCTGCCACTAGCTTATATAATCTTAATGGTGGTCTTGCTTGTGTTAATGTCTTCATCTCAAAAAATCAAATTTTTTTTGATCATACATTCAACCCAAGTCTTGTTGCATCAAATCTTCCTGCCACCACAGGTCCCTCGGTGGGGTACGCTCTTGCAGACGATTTTGCAAAATTCATGGACTACATGCTCAACAACTGCAAAGCTCAGGCTCAGCTTATCTCTTGCATATTTGTCCCTCAACTCAATACCATGACCCTTTTTGTCAACAAAGTATTTGAAGATTCGATATCAGAGTACATGACTGCTATTCTTGTTGCTGCTAAATCTAGAGAAAATTTGGCAATTTATCTACATACCTTGGCCACATGTATCTATTCATGCTCACAATTTATTGATTACATTTCAAAAAACGAAACGGGTGTATATGTTGATGTTGATATGTCAAGAAAGGTCATGCAGGATATTGTTGGTCCCTATGTAAACAAATATATCGACCAAGAAATGGAATATCTAAATAAGCGTTTTAAAACGGAATTAAGCAAGTGGGATAATCGAGTAAGTAATACCTCGACTTGCTTTTGTAAAAGACTCGATGGCATGCCGTGAACTTGCATTGATGTTTTTAAATTCTTAGGTTTCAAGCAATGCTACTGCTGTACCACCTGCAGATACATTTCTCAGCGCAGAACATGTCCAAGAACACAAAAGATTTGTCATGAAAACCATGAAAGCCATCATGTTTGCGCCAGTGACGTTAACCATGTCATTGGCACATATGAGTACAGGCGGAAAATTAAAACCTCATCGACAAGCTCTTTTAAACGATGCTGAACCGATTGCAAGCGAAATCAGTCCAGTTTCAACTAGCGATCGAACTGGAGTTGCAGCATATCAGCTGGACGAAAGCTCAATCAATTCGTTTGTCTCGTTGGAATTGGCATTGCATCTTATGCATGCTAACAAAGAGGCTCTTGGTAGATGTTTAGTTGTGACTGCCTCGACAGATATGAGTAAAATGTAAGACCATGAGTTTGATGCTTTCAAGTACAACTGACTAATTATAATATGTCAAAACATGTATAATCTTGATCGATCCCTTGATACTAAAGTCGCCCAAATGTTCAAAAAGTATTTATTGCGTTACTGAAAGCAATTGGTGAACGACATATCAAACTTGCATTTTTAAAGTAGGTTGATGTTTATTTATGATTATATAGTGCTTTATTTCCAAACTAATCAAATTCTACTTGATGTTTAAACCACTTTATTTTAGAGCCGTTGAACATATGAGCAAATCCAGTCCAATTGACTCGACTGATAATGACAGAATGGTGAACATGGACTCGCTTCAATTTTTTGAATTAGTGCACGTTGCAGACTTGATTCAACAAATGGTAGATGTGTACTACAACGAAGACGTGAAGATTTGGATTGATGAACAGGATTTTCTTTCAGATATTATCGTTGAAAAAAAAGCATTTGAGCGATTGTTAGATGATGGTGTTGCCGGTGGCATGGACAAGGCTATTCAGCTTCTTGTTAATCAGTGCGAGTTTATTTTGGTGAGCACACAACCCGTAACAGAGTATAATCCTCCCGAAAACGGGCTACTAGATTGCCGACCTACCAAGGCTTGCGAAAAGGTCATTGAATGTCTGACCACTCATACAAAGCTAATGAATGGAGTTACTGAAAAGAACACTATGGAGGTATTTTTGGGTGAAGTCGGTGTACGATTATTTGGGTGAGTTTATTGCTGGGCTGTGGTTTTATGCATTTCGTCATTGGTAATTACTTATTGTCTTTTTACATTGGGTATTGTTTATAGTGTGATCATCAAAAATATTCGCCGACTGCAAGTCAGCCAAACCGGTGCCTTGCAATTGATATGGTAAACTAGTATTGCTTTTCATAGTGGTTGCGAAATACTACACTTTGGTTTCAATATAGCCTAATCTCGGTTTTTTAAACACTTTATCTATAGCGATATGAACAGATATTATGAATGGGCGACGAGCATTCGCGTTCCATCTGTAACCAAACAGTTTGCAGTGCTGAAAGAACTTGGCAATCTATTTCTTGCAGACGGGAGTGACGAGCTACGCAAGATGGTGCATGATGCGCCACGATATCAGGGAGCATTACGTATTGAGGAGATTTATGAATTGTTACAAAGCCGAACAGATTATAAAAAAATCCAAAAACAAGTCGAGTCAAAAGAATGTATTATCCAGTAGACTCGGCGTTTATTCAAAGGATTTTTGTTGATTGGAATAAACGTGCACGTTATTGGTGTGATGTTCATTTAAATAGGCTTTAATGTTTGCAATCGGTATTCCCTAATATCACTGGAGCTTTTCAGAATTCTCGACTTTCCAAACTATCTATTCGACAAATAGTCGCACGAGTAATAAATACAATATATAAAAATCAAACCCTTGAGCATATATATTTTCACAGACTTTAAACTTGATATATTAAGAATGGCAAGCAGTTTTAATACTCGGGAAATATTGGATCGATTTCTTTAGTCCAGCTTGCCAGTCCGCCCACAATATCAAAGACATTTGTCACACCATTCTCCTTTAGTTTCTGTACTGCCAGTTGCGAATCATTGCCCAATCTGCACACAACATAAATAGGAACATCTTCAGTCTTGGTCTCCATTACTACATCATGCCGCAACTTTATAATCGAGTCCAGTTGTCGCTCAAGCTGGCCAAATGAAACATCTGTTTATATTTAATACAATCAAAATCAAGTCCGTGTTAGCACTGAATATTTCAATCCTACCTTCAATGCAGCACGTTGCTGATAAATGCATAGATCAAGACTTACTATGACTTTGTGGGAGCGAGCAAATGTCAAACTGCACCTTTTCGCGCACATCCAAAAGTATATGCGGCTTACCCGCCATCATTACATTCTGATAGTCCTTGACAGAAATACGGTCCTTTGGACAGGCAACATCAAGATTCAAGGCCTTTTCATTACAAAAATGTCAGCATTTAAACATTTGCATAGTTTTACCAGTAATAAGCCAAAATAGATATACTTTATCGTGCGGAGAAGCTCCACAAAACTGTACATAATCGATTGGTTTAGTAATGGTTGGATTTGGTCCACAAACGGCACATGTAGAACTTTTCCCCCTAAGTTTTACGGTACGAAATGATCCAGAGACCGCATCCAACAGCAGCATTTTTTGCGAATAACTCGTTTGAATTCCTGAAATCAATTTGATGACTTCCAACGCTTGCATGCATCCAATAATTCCAGGAACTAATTTTTATCACAATCAGGATGCTTGCCACTATATACGAATTGGGTAATATAAGAAATTTACGATACTAATATTTAGACTTACCGACACCCAAAACTCCACCATCGTTGCAGTTTGAGACCGTTTCTGGTGGTGGTGGAACAGGAAAAATACATCGGTAACAAGGTCCGCCTTGATGATTATACACTGTAAGCTAAAACAAAACCATTGTCAAAAATCACCAATTAATTCAAATAGCAATACGTTGGTACTTTAATACCTGTCCATCCATTCGCAATGCACTTCCGGACACCAAAGGCTTTCCTAGCAACACACATGCATCGTTGAGAAGATATCGAGTAGCGACATTATCAGACCCATCCACCACAACGTCGTATCTATAGCGATCCAATCAACAAAACATAGATTAGAGCCAAACATGAGTGAAAATATAGATTCTTGAAATGCAACAGTAAAAACAACCAACCCTGAGACTATTTCAAGAACGTTGGATTGATCAATCAATGTGTTGTATGTAGTGCATTGAACAAGTGAAGATATGCTATTTTGGCAATTTAAGACGATTAGTTTATCTCGAAAATCAAATTCAAACGGAATGATTTATCCCATAGCGCATCCCCAATACCTGCGGACTGCAGTAGCTGCAGAATCGGTTTTTGATGTATTGATTGAAGCCTCAGAGTGGATAATCTGTCGCTGTAAATTGCTTTCTTCTACAAAATCATAATCGACAATGCCCAAATTTCCTATAAAAAGCAATTGATAACTGCATTGTAAGAAAATACCAAGACAAGCTGAATGAATGGTCATGCGATTGCTCACCCACTCCGGCTGCAGCAAGATACAGGATTGCAGGGGATCCGATCCCACCTGCGCCAATGATAAGAACACTAGAATTGCATAGTTTCTCCTGTCCTATTATATTTTGAAAGTATTAGCTGATGAATGGATGCGACTTGCTGAATGAGCTCAAGCAGATAATTCAGAATTGAGCGAAACCTGACCTTGGACGCCAATATCACGAAGGAGCAACTGTCTAGAATACCTTTTTATTTGCTGGTTACTAAGCCCATGGCTAGTAGTGTATTTGGCAGTAGCTGGCGAGTGATCTGCCATTGGATTACTTTACTAATTGGTTTAGTTGAAAGCCGAAATCCACAATCAAAATCAGATATAACTCACGTGACTGAATCTATTATTTTCGATGCCAAACATTCAGCACTTGATTAATGCATTGGACTGCCATTGAATCCACTACGGCGACCAAGGCCCGATGTGGTAGCTTGCGTATCTTTAAACGGGGAGTTCTCGTGAATACTCCATGCACTCTTAACTATACTCGTCAAGGCGCAATACCTCACATTGTTGACCCATCCACTACATTGCCTGTTACTTCTTCAACTCCAATTGCGCTCAACATTGCACTGGAACATTTTGCTGATTCCGCAGAAACTACTGAGACCCAGTGCAGCAGATCTCAATCCAGTCATGCCTTTGATGCAGATTTACCAAAGAAACCTCTAGCTAGCGACTCGTCTTTATCTCGTCTTGGCCTAAATATTCCATCGCATATTTTGGTTGCAACTCCACATGATATGGTTCGACTAACTACTCTGGCACATGGTCGATGGATCACCTCTACTAAAACAAGTATTTCTATGCTTGCAAATGGAAATATTGAGTTGGGGATAACACCAAAAACATTTATGGAACTTGTTAATTCGATTCAGCCTGATATTGCCATTTGCATTGCTGATCCTGGTTTGGTCCTGTATTCTGCCAATTCTGGTGATAAAGCGAATGTATCTGCTGCTATAAATACCAAACGGCAGCGTGTGCAAGCAAATGCAGACACGATCATTGGCACAAATTCAAGTGCTGGTCAAGATGACGACGCAGCTCACCAAGAAATCCGGAGAAAAAAGCTATTGCGAAAACAATCTGATCGCAATCTGACCTTTTTAAAGTCTGTTGCTCAGATTCTTGCAACACCTGATCCAAACAGTGGTTCATACTTTGATTCAGTTACTACTATCTCCACTACACACAAAACTACAGTAGCCGAATCATCACCTCCTCCATGTCAAGATAGAGTAGCCATGTTTGCCCATCTATGTGGTGGAATAGATCTAGAAGAGCGATTGTTTTATTCTACTCAGGTTGCACAGTATTTTATTAACCCTGATGTCACTATAAGTGGTGTTGCAGTCACTTTACCTTCTCAAGAAGTACGCAAAGCATCTGGATGTGTAATCACGGCTTTTCTTGACGCATCTCTTGGCTCCATACCTTTTCATGTTCCAGTGATTGCACTAGGAGTATCTAGTATACAGGATTTGGTTTCTTGTGTTGCGTCAGGTGTCGACATGATTGATAATTCTTGGATATATACTCTGACGCAAAAGGGCATAGCTTTGGTTGCTTCCTTTAGATCACAAGTAAATCCTGTTTCAAAAGACCAATCATTGGATATAGTGGTAGAACACAGTTTATCCAAGACACCTTGCATGCCATCAACTCACATATCTGATGCTACAGATAACATGCCTTCAAAACAAAATGACTTGGATATTGGACAATCTCATCTCAATGAAGTTCTGATGGATTTATCACCACAAACTGCTTTGAAATCTCAAACTAAACGATCGCGTATGCAATTCCAACCAGCAGTAGCAGCAGTTGTAGATGCTTTAGTAGCTTCGGAAAGTGTTGATTATGTTCATGAAACGGATGTTCCAGCCATTGCTGTTATTGAAAAAGACACCGAGGAACTTGAGTCGATTGCTCGACCACTTTCGCACTTACAGACGGACATGGACCCTATTGATGCTTTATGTGGATGTTGGACTTGCAAACAACCTTACTCTAAAGCATATATTCGTCATCTTCTTGTGGTGAATGACATGCTAGCCTATGTGTTGCTTATGCACCATAATATGTGGCAATTTGAATCGTTTGTTGGAGAAATGCGCGAGTGTGTATCAGATGGATCATTTGAAAAGTATGCAACTCGGTTTTTATCGCCGTATTCACATAAAATGGAACACTAAATAAAAGAGTAATAAACTGCCAGTCTCGTCAAACGATGGCAGTCAGTTTATTCGACAATAGTTTGCCTTTTAAACTTCCCAGCAACGTTGACTGATATTTGCTCATGTCTGTATAAAAACTGGACAAATGTTCAGACAACATTCACACATGTTCCAGTAAACCCTATATCCTTGGCATTTGTTTAATCTCCAAGTCATCCCCTAAATACCGACATACTATTTTAATCCTTGTGTACTGCATTCTGGTTTGGGTCTAAATGCCGACAACTCAAACATTCAATAACCACACTTCAAATCTGGACAATAGCATGGATGTCTTCATGACACTGCAAGCCAAACCCCAACACATCAGTCGTGACGTTGAGTACTCCAACCATGTCACAATAGTGTGGTCGAATGTGAACCAACTACTATGCATTGACTGCACGTTTTGGCTGGCTTGATTTTGCATTTACAAACTCTACTGATCCAGTCACTCATATTTACCAACCAAATCCTGTGTAGTCGATAGTCGGGATTCTGTTGATTAAAGTTGGTTTCAGTGGCGTCTTGTATGACTGATACAATACCAATGCAGTGTTGTCTGCTTGATATAATATGATAAATAACGGTATATTTATTACTAATGTTTCGAGTTGATGTGGCAAATATTGCTTTATGATGGCCGCATTATTATCAGTAATCCTAGTATATGGTTTGTATTGACCATCACTACCAAAAAGCATCAACCACGTACTAGTTGTGACAATGCAGCTCGATGCGGTCCATTATTGCAAATATGTTTAGATTACTAAACACATCTATTGATGTAGTCATCCGAGTAAACCCAGCGTATTATGCCAAAAACAGCGCATCACCAACCAGTTACTCGACATGTTCGAGTAGATATTGGTGTTGTAGTTTGGACCGCATTCAAACTCATGTATTTCGTTTAGACCAAAGTTTAATCACACAAAGACCCAATCTGCCAATGGTTCATGTGCGGTAGATACTGATATAGTTGATTGAGCTGACATTTTACATCTAAGATTGAGTAGTTTGAAATATAATACCAGCCACAAGCTTGGTAATATCACCGAGATGGCATCACAAGTGATCTATCAGTATTATTCTACACCCCAACACATTATACTCGAATTTACAATACAACTTGTCTAGAATAATACTCCAGTCACTATTGAACTATGTTGACCAACTAAGCAAGAGTTCATAACTACCCTGATTCCAGTATGCTTTTACAACATATTACCACGTTTAAATGGATCAGGGTTATGATTGTAGTCAAGCTTTGTTAGACAAGCAAAATGGAGATTCTACTAATGAACATTTGACATTCTAATACCCTGACTAGTAAAATTAAAAGCAATCTTTAAAACCTGCATTGCTTTGTTTTACAGTCTATACTATGACGATTGAGTTATTCTGTAATTGTGCTTGAATACACCTACCGAACAATGTTTAAAAGCATGTGTGCTTTATATAATTTTGAAACGGTGGCTAAATATGATTTACTCGGTCCCATACTGGTTTAGTCGGGTTACCATTTACTGCTGCTGAGTATCCTTGACCATATGCAAGGCTTTGTAACTATCCAAATACAATTTTTCAGATTGTTTCAGGTCAAATCTGCAATATAAAAAGCCAAGTTTTTATCCAACTCTTGGACTCATCAAACATTGTCTATTCTATTCTATTCTATTCCAATCCAATCCAATCTATATCAACCAACTATGCAATTCACTGTCATCGCATTCATCGCGGCACTCGTCGTATCTGTCACTGCTGCTCCTAGTCCATTTGGTCTCCCAAGACTTTGCAATACAGATTCAGAGTGTGGTTCAGGATTAAAGTGCGTAGTTGAACCAGGCGATGGAATAGGATTTTGCCTCCTTGCCACTAATGCCTAAAAGTCTTGGCTATATGCGTGTCAGCATCTGATTTGGAGCTTGTTCAAGTCACACCGACTAGTTTAAACTTGTAAATTTTGAAATGAATAAATCTCACTTTACGATGATATTTGGTTGATACTGTATATCGTGATTTTGTATACGTTGATCACAAACTGTTGTTCCGAGTCGAGTATGACCTCGTTGTATAACAACGGTTCAACCTGTCGAGTCTGATTATTAGCGTATAAAGTATGGATATGCTAATATGCTAATATATGCAAGTTTAAAAACAATCACATACTGCAATGTCTATCTGTATATGTACTGATGTCCCAGATTACAATCAACACACTCTGTTTGTAAATAGTCAAACCAAGTAATTACTAAAATGATTTCATTTTGAAACAAATACAGCTTTAATAATAGATTTTGATCATACAACTGTTCTATAATTGTTTGTCATTTTTAAGACGCAATAGTCCAAAATAAGCTTTATATTTTGATATTCACAGTTTCCGACTATTTGCAAACAAAACTTATTGCAAGATCAGCAAGTGTCAATACAATACAACCTTGACTAATCATTTGTATTCATGAGTGACAGACTGGTAAAAAACCAACCAGTTATTGATTGTAATCTGGGACATCAGTACATATACAGATAGACATTGCAGTATGTGATTGTTTTTAAACTTGCATATATTAGCATATTAGCATATCCATACTTTATACGCTAATAATCAGACTCGACAGGTTGAACCGTTGTTATACAACGAGGTCATACTCGACTCGGAACAACAGTTTGTGATCAACGTATACAAAATCACGATATACAGTATCAACCAAACATCATCGTAACGTGGGTTTATTCATTTCAAAATTCACAAGTTTAAACTAGTCGGTGTGACTTGAACAAGCTCCAGATCAGATGCTGACACGCATATAGTCAAGACTTTTAGGCATACTCGCATGTTCCAAGGCTGTTATCTATCATTTTACATTTCATGCCTGGGGGACAGACTCTGTCCTTTCTGCAAATTTTCGGGCGACCAAATGGACCAAGAGGAGTGGCAGTGACAGATACCACGAGTGCTGCGATGAATGCGATGACAGTGAATTGCATAGTTGGTTGATATAGATTGGATTGGATTGAACTAGGTTGGATTGGAATAGACAATGTTTGATGAGTCCAAGAGTTGGATAAAACCTGGCTTTTTATATTGCAGATTTGACCTGGAACAATCTGAAAAACCGTATTTGGTATAGCCATAAAGCCTTGCATATGGTCAAGGATACTCAGCAGCAGTAAATTGAGCCGGACTAAACCAGTATGGGACCGAGTAAATCATATTTAGCCACTATTTCAAGATTACATAAAATAGACATGCTTCTGAACATTGCTCAGCAGGTGTATTCAAGCACAATTACAGAATAACTCAATCGTCATAGTATAGACTGTAAAACAAAGCAATGCAAGTTTTAAAGATTGCTTTTAATTTTACTAGTTAGGGTATTAGAATGCCAAATGTTCATTAGTAGAATCTCCATTTTGCTTGTCTAACAAAGCTTGACTACAATCATAACCCTGATCCATTTAAACGTGGTAATATGTTGTAAAAGCATACTGGAATCAGGGTAGTTATGAACTCTTGCTTAGTTTGGTCAACATAGTTCAATAACGACTGGAGTATTATTCTAGACAAGTTGTATTGTAAATTCGAATGTCAGCAATGCAAGTATAATATGTAACAATAGCCAACTCTTATAGAAGAACTATAGTAATCAGGAAACTCAATAATGATGCTTGAGTGGAAGTCCGCACATCTTCCTTTGCTGACCCTTCACTACTCCAAGTCCCATTACAAAGATTGCACATTATCAATGTCTAACAGCTTTAACAATACTCACATTGGAATGCTGGCTATATACACTTAGATATACTTGATGAAAATGTGTCAAACCATGACTTTCATGACAACACTGTACAAACTGTACGAGTTTAAAAGATTATTGATGGATATTGTCCAATTTGATTGATGGCTGCAATTATTTTGTTGGCTCGAGTTTCATTTTCTTTCCCTCCAAAAAACAACATCAAATGAATATTGAAACAACAAAAGCAGCAGCAACACAACTGTTGAATGAATACTACCAAATCAGCACTCAAGCCATACCAACACAGAGAGCCAAGTCTGAATGGCAGGATGACAACAAACGAGGTTTCTTCTTGGGCATCATCCAAGAGGGAGAAACCTCACACACCACTCAGTTGCACGACCTGCTGGCTGCCAACCAATTTGCAGAGCAGCAGCAGTTCTCAACCAAGGTCCAGTTGGCAGACTCAGAGCATCCTCGTACATTCATTGACGAGATGTTTGAGTACTACATACTACCATTCCACAAAGACTACAACGATTCATCCAGCTGCCACACTCCAGCCTCTTCAAGGGCACCATCAAGAACCAACTCTGCTGGAAATATAAGCAATGTCCCAAAAGAGAGTGAGCTGTCTCACAGGGACTTGAAGAATGCCGTCGAGAAAAGAGACGGCGCCTGCTTGTTTTGCTGGGATAAGCTGTCCTTGCAAGGAGCACACATTGGAGTAGCGTACAACGAATCCCCAATCCTGTTACGAGCTGGTCTAGCGCAGAAACATCAAATACAGAACGGACTGTTGTTGTGTATCAACTGCCATAGCCGATTTGGTAAACTAAGGCAATATGTGGATGTGGTGGATGACAAACTGGTGATCAAAGTGATCAATGAGACGAATGATCCAACAAGCGAGAAGCACATGAATTGGGAATGAGCTGTTCGAAATTTACGAGCATTGCGCATTGCTAACGAAGAAGACTGGGCTCGGATTGATAATCGACAAGCAGTCGAATCTAATGGCGAGATGGCATTATACTTTGTTCTTGACGATCCAACTCTGCAGCCAAACAGAGATGCACTAGAGTTCCACAAGACAGCATGTCTTATTTGGCGTATTGCTGGTGGTGCAGAATCTGATGATGAATATTGTCCACATGATGATGACGATGGCTGTACTCCTGTAGATTACCGGAGTAAGAGCATCGAAAAATGGATGGACTCAAGTGCTACCTTGATTATTGAAAATGTTCAATAAAATTGTGTATTCATTACAAGAGACTGGTTTCTGTTACAGCAATAGTTGTCATTGTAGTGAGTGTGAATACCAACAGTTGATGTTGACACTTGAATTCAAGCAATAATGAAAGCAACTCAAATGTCTCTTTCCATTGCAGTGAGACAGTTTGTCAACCAACAATGTCTCATCAATTGATGACACATTCAGATTCTAGTAATGATGATGTTGCTACCAATGATCGTGGAACTGATAGTGCAGTATTTTTACACTGTGGTGGGACAACTCGGTATCATGTCAATCATGTCCACCGTTGTGGAAATCACTTGTTAATCTACTCTGAATGGACAAGTCTCTTTTCCATGTTTAATCAATGTATCTTTATATCTGCTTGAATAAAGCACTTGTGATTGTTTCTATTTATTGTTCTGGAATTGTGTTTTTGCTTTCTTTACCCTTTTTTACTCTCCTTCTCCTTCTCAAGATCGGAATTCAATGAATAGTACTATCTGTATGTTTTCTGGTCTTTATCCTTGTTTCTTTGATAACAGTCTCGATGTCATTGTCACAATTGCTCATTTTCATTTGGGTTGCAATGATTCCAATTCCGTATGCGTTCAAGATATTCATTGTGGGTATTGATTTCGAAATTCATTGTATAATATTACCCAACACAATAATTTCATGTAAATACATTAGTCTTTTCATGTAGCGGTTCAAGAGTATATTCCACTAACTCGGCAATTTCACGCTTGTTACGACGCTCCGTTTGGATCAATGGCCGTTCTCATACTGGTGTATCAAATGCACCTGGAAAATCAAGTAATATTTTGTAATTCATAAATGTTGTACCGTTGCTCGAGCTGAACTGCCTTATTGTTTTGTAGTAGATAGGAGTATCCATCTCCCGCATATATTTGATAGTCAGATTTGATAAATGTTGGCACATATCCCTTTTGAAAAGCCTTCACTTTCAAGATTCTGACCTTGTCACCAATTCCAAAATAATCACTGAATCCAGATGCTCTACAGTATACAGAGCTTGGATTTTACAGAGGTATGTTTTCAGGTGTCATTTGTAACTCTATTGACAGCGTGATTGTAATTATAGACCAAATCATTCAAAGCGACAATGTATATATGTGTGTTTCTGCTTTCCTGATATATGCTGATCAATTGATCAACTGCTCAATAGTCCTGTTGAATCTCTGTACAATGCCTAGCCTTTTATGGTCACTGACGTCAACAGTAATGTGTCTGACATTCACTGATTTTAATCACTTTTGAAATGTCATGTTCAAGAACTCTGTTCTGTTGTCGCTTTGAATTAGCATTGGTTGATTTCTATCCAATATGTTAGCCATGGCATCTGTTGTATCGGACTTTCACTTCAACAGACACGAAAGCCTTTCTACTAAACACATCAACAGCGCAAAACAAGTATATCTAAGTGTATATAGCCAGCATTCCAATGTGAGTATTGTTAAAGCTGTTAGACATTGATAATGTGCAATCTTTGTAATGGGACTTGGAGTAGTGAAGGGTCAGCAAAGGAAGATGTGCGGACTTCCACTCAAGCATCATTATTGAGTTTCCTGATTACTATAGTTCTTCTATAAGAGTTGGCTATTGTTACATATTATACTTGCATTGCTGACATTCGAATTTACAATACAACTTGTCTAGAATAATACTCCAGTCGTTATTGAACTATGTTGACCAAACTAAGCAAGAGTTCATAACTACCCTGATTCCAGTATGCTTTTACAACATATTACCACGTTTAAATGGATCAGGGTTATGATTGTAGTCAAGCTTTGTTAGACAAGCAAAATGGAGATTCTACTAATGAACATTTGGCATTCTAATACCCTAACTAGTAAAATTAAAAGCAATCTTTAAAACTTGCATTGCTTTGTTTTACAGTCTATACTATGACGATTGAGTTATTCTGTAATTGTGCTTGAATACACCTGCTGAGCAATGTTCAGAAGCATGTCTATTTTATGTAATCTTGAAATAGTGGCTAAATATGATTTACTCGGTCCCATACTGGTTTAGTCGGGTTACCATTTACTGCTGCTGAGTATCCTTGACCATATGCAAGGCTTTATGGCTATCCAAATACAATTTTTCAGATTGTTCCAGGTCAAATCTGCAATATAAAAAGCCAGGTTTTATCCAACTCTTGGACTCATCAAACATTGTCTATTCCAATCCAACCTAGTTCAATCCAATCCAACCTAGTTCAATCCAATCCAATCTATATCAACCAACTATGCAATTCACTGTCATCGCATTCATCGCAGCACTCATCGTATCTGTCACTGCTGCTCCTCTTGGTCCATTTGGTCCCCCAGACTTTTGCAATGATAGCAGCGAGTGTGCTCCAGGATTCAAATGCTCAATTGGCCCAGGCGATGGAATAGGATTTTGCCTCCGTATTTAAAAGTCTTGGCTATATGCGTGTCAGCATCTGATTTGGAGCTTGTTCAAGTCACACCGACTAGTTTAAACTTGTGAATTTTGAAATGAATAAACCCACGTTACGATGATGTTTGGTTGATACTGTATATCGTGATTTTGTATACGTTGATCACAAACTGTTGTTCCGAGTCGAGTATGACCTCGTTGTATAACAACGGTTCAACCTGTCGAGTCTGATTATTAGCGTATAAAGTATGGATATACTAATATGCTAATATATGCAAGTTTAAAAACAATCACATACTGCAATGTCTATCTGTACTGATGTCCCAGATTACAATCAATAACTGGTTGGTTTTTTACCAGTCTGTCACTCATGAATACAAATGATTAGTCAAGGTTGTATTGTATTGACACTTGCTGATCTTGCAATAAGTTTTGTTTGCAAATAGTCGGAAACTGTGAATATCAAAATATAAAGCTTATTTTGGACTATTGCGTCTTAAAAATGACAAACAATTATAGAACAGTTGTATGATCAAAATCTATTATTAAACCTGTATTTGTTTCAAAATGAAATCATTTTAGTAATTACTTGGTTTGACTATTTACAAACAGAGTGTGTTGATTGTAATCTGGGACATCAGTACATATACAGATAGACATTGCAGTATGTGATTGTTTTTAAACTTGCATATTAGCATATCCATACTTTATACGCTAATAATCAGACTCGACAGGTTGAACCGTTATTATACAACGAGGTCATACTCGACTCGGAACAACAGTTTGTGATCAACGTATACAAAATCACGATATACAGTATCAACCAAATATCATCGTAAAGTGAGATTTATTCATTTCAAAATTTACAAGTTTAAACTAGTCGGTGTGACTTGAACAAGCTCCAAATCAGATGCTGACACGCATATAGCCAAGACTTTTAAATACGGAGGCAAAATCCTATTCCATCGCCTGGTTCAACTACGCATTTGAATCCTTTGGTACACTCGCTGTTATCATTGCAAAATTTTGGGGGACTAAGTATACCAAGAGGAGCAGCAGTGACAGATACGACGAGTGCCGCGATGAATGCGATGACAGTGAATTGCATAGTTGGTTGATATAGATTGGATTGGATTGGAATAGACAATGTTTGATGAGTCCAAGAGTTGGATAAAAACTTGGCTTTTTATATTGCAGATTTGACCTGAAACAATCTGAAAAATTGTATTTGGATAGTTACAAAGCCTTGCATATGGTCAAGGATACTCAGCAGCAGTAAATGGTAACCCGACTAAACCAGTATGGGACCGAGTAAATCATATTTAGCCACCGTTTCAAAATTATATAAAGCACACATGCTTTTGAACATTGTTCGGTAGGTGTATTCAAGCACAATTACAGAATAACTCAATCGTCATAGTATAGACTGTAAAACAAAGCAATGCAGGTTTTAAAGATTGCTTTTAATTTTACTAGTCAGGGTATTAGAATGTCAAATGTTCATTAGTAGAATCTCCATTTTGCTTGTCTAACAAAGCTTGACTACAATCATAACCCTGATCCATTTAAACGTGGTAATATGTTGTAAAAGCATACTGGAATCAGGGTAGCTGTGGACTCTTGCTTAGTTTGGTCAACATAGTTCAATAACGACTGGAGTATTATTCTAGACAAGTTGTATTGTAAATTCGAGTATAATGTGTTGGGGTGTAGAATAATACTGCTAGATCACTTGTGATGCCATCTCGGTGATATTACCAAGCTTGCGTCTGGTGTTATATTTCAAACTACTCAATCTTAGATATAAAATGTCAGCTCAATCAACTATATCAGTATCTACCGCACATGAACCATTGGCAGATTGGGTCTTTGTGTGATTAAACTTTGGTCTAAACGAAATACATGAGTTTGAATGCGGTCCAAACTACAACACCAATATCTACTCGAACATGTCGAGTAACTGGTTGGTGATGCGCTGTTTTTGGCATAATACGCTGGGTTTACTCGGATGACTACATCGATAGATGTGTTTAGTAATCTAAACATATTTGCAATAATGGACCGCATCGAGCTGCATTGTCACAACTAGTACGTGGTTGATGCTTTTTGGTAGTGATGGTCAGTACAAACCATATACTAGGATTACTGATAATAATGCGGCCATCATAAAGCAATATTTGCCACATCAACTCGAAACATTAGTAATAAATATACCGTTATCTATCATATTATATCAAGCAGACAACACTGCATTGGTATTGTATCAGTCATACAAGACGCCACTGAAACCAACTTTAATCAACAGAATCCCGACTATCGACTACACAGGATTTGGTTGGTAAATATGAGTGACTGGATCAGTAGAGTTTGTAAATGCAAAATCAAGCCAGCCAAAACGTGCAGTCAATGCATAGTAGTTGGTTCACATTCGACCACACTATTGTGACATGGTTGGAGTACTCAACGTCACGACTGATGTGTTGGGGTTTGGCTTGCAGTGTCATGAAGACATCCATGCTATTGTCCAGATTTGAAGTGTGGTTATTGAATGTTTGAGTTGTCGGCATTTAGACCCAAACCAGAATGCAGTACACAAGGATTAAAATAGTATGTCGGTATTTAGGGGATGACTTGGAGATTAAACAAATGCCAAGGATATAGGGTTTACTGGAACATGTGTGAATGTTGTCTGAACATTTGTCCAGTTTTTATACAGACATGAGCAAATATCAGTCAACGTTGCTGGGAAGTTTAAAAGGCAAACTATTGTCGAATAAACTGACTGCCATCGTTTGACGAGACTGGCAGTTTATTACTCTTTTATTTAGTGTTCCATTTTATGTGAATACGGCGATAAAAACTACTAGTGAAATCTTATTGATTTAATAATTAATATAATAACAAGGCTTTTAATCGCATGGTTCTATGGTGTAGTTGGTTATCACATGTCCTTAACACGGACAAGGTCTCCAGTTCAATCCTGGATGGAATCATTTTAGATTAAATGAATTTTTTATTTCAATGAGATTTAATCCAGGTATTTTATCAGTAATGCAATATGATTGTTGTGACAAACTGCTTTTGTTTCAACCATGAAGCACTATTTTGCAGTGATTGCCTTGTTGAAATAGACAATGATTAGATATTTGTTGTACTTGTTACAGACGGACAGTTTCGATAGACATTCCCGATGCCTAGAATTGCACGCTTTGCAAAACCACTTTAAATCGTAGTCAAGAATAGACAGTATGAAGATGCATTGCAATACTGCAGATTAGTTGGCAAGCAATTAGACTAAAGAGTTGAAAGCACAATCCAGTAAACTGACCAATCATTCCGACTGTTTTAGTATTCCATTTTACGTGAATACGGCGGTAAAAACCGAGAAAACTTGATAGTTTGCAATTTGACATTTCAGAAAGCAAATCAGGATTGATACGTTGGATCGTACTCACAGGATCATGTATAGCAAAAGTGACTTGCGTCCAAGTAGTGCCAGCGCACATTCTAATCATGCATCTGCTTCATATATTCGACTTGGCACTCAACAGCCAGAAACTGCTGATGATGTCAAGGCAAAGGAGCGAAACAAGTACTTGCCAGTGCATCTACAAGAGGCAAGTGTGGTTGATTGGGCTGTAAATCTTACAGTTCAATGGTCGAGTTTTTTAAAAATAGAATGCTATGAATACTTGCTGCTGTTTGATAAAGGTATTTACCACCAATAGTTATTTTAGGTTAGAGATGAACATGGTCGAAAAAGACTTCATGGTGCATTCACTGGTGGCCACTCGGCAGGATATTACAACACTGTCGGATCCAAAGAAGGTACTTGCAAGCCATTTCACTTGCATTCAAGATTCATTTGGCTTTATTATAAATCTGCATTCATACCAATTCTAATAATCGTGCTGGATTTAGGATGGCAGCCATCACAGTTTATCTCTTCTCGATCTAAACGAGCCGAAAAGGCCCAGATTACCCCAGAGAGCTTTATGGACGAAGAAGACATGGCCGAGTTTGGAGTAAAATCGGTTGTTGCGATGGATACATACGATGCATCTGGCGCTGTAGATCGAGATCGGCGGCGCAATATCGTAGCTAAATCATTAGCTGATCAAGATGGTTATGGGTCAGTACACTAGTTGTATCACTTGTTTGTATACAATTGTTGGTGAATCGAGGTATTCATCATACAGCTGCCTAATATCAACACGCTCTATTGTAATTCTAGTGCAATCGGGCCTACAGTCGAACGTATCATTCAAGATCTAATATTACCTGCTGAATCTTCGATTGGGGACAAACTAATGAGACAAATGGGATGGCGTGAAGGACAAGGCATTGGACCTCGTCGAAAGCGCAAGATTATAGGTAGGTTTATTCTGTTATCATCAAGCATTGAAATACATTTAATTTATATTTAAATTGCAATCCTGTTTAAATATTTTGATTTATATTATGCAATAGATGAGCACGGTGAAGATCTTTATGCAGAGAAATATTTGTTTGCACCAAAGGATACTACAATCAAGTATGCAAAAGCCAAAAAAAATGTGTTTGGAATTGGATTTAATCCCTATGCGCAAGCTCAGGAGTTTCTACATTCAAAGAATCTCAAAGACTCAGGTATCAAGTATATTTTATCATTAATCATGTGTACGTCTATTTGATACGTGGCCCTGATTGACCAATTTTTTGTTGCATAACTATATTACTATTAGCATCTATTGATGGACAAGTCGCCAAAGGATTTGGAGTGGGAATTTTTGAAGATGACGATGACATTAGCGCATATGATGAACCGTCAAAACCTCTTGCTATGACACTCATTGATGATGATGAGCCAACACAATCTGGATCTTTTGAGTCGACTAAACCTATAAAGTTGCAGACTGTATACGGACAATCTAGATTAAAACATAGCCAACACATTTCATCCAGATCGTCATTAGAATTAAATACCAAGCATTATAATGTTCTTGGATTCCATGCTGCCCGGGTTCCTTTGGTTGCACATAAAGCGTAGGTATTTGATTTTTGTAAATAAATTCAATACTGCCTATTGCGCGGATTTGCTAATCTTTTTGGTTTCAATAGGTTTGTGCCACCTAAACCACCGCATGGTTACATTCCAAAAAACCCTTTTGCCGATCAATTAGCTTTATTACAGCCCAGTGGTAGTTCCGGAAAGCATGCTAATTTAACTGCAGATCAAAGAGGCCATATACTAGGCGAGGAGAATTTGAAAGGCCCTGAACGATCTGTATTCTCATACATATCGGTCAAAGAGCAGGATCGGCTTCAAGGCATAATTGATCAGACTTCAAAATCAAAAGCCGACTCTGCCAAGCCTGAAAAGGTAGAGTTATTGAATATTCCCAAAGACGTTGCGTTGGCAGCATTGAAAGGATTCATGCCTTTTGGCAATGATCTTCCCAAGCAAAATCGATATCGTCATTTTTTACAAGTCAAGGCAGGGCTGGAGTCTGCGTCAACCTTGTTTTCTAATGTGAGTATTTTTCATAGAATATATTGTCAACTACAAGAGTAGATTTTGCTTTATCTTGAAAATAATTGCATTCAATTGAACCTGCAAACACGCATTTTAACATTTGTATTCATACCATTTTAATGGATGGTATAGACTATATCCGAGTTATCACATGAATTATTAGAGTTTTCAAAAGCCGCCATGATATATCGGCCATTATCATCGATGATGGCATCCCGTTTCACAAGCGCTGTTGATCAGACTGGTGTAGGGCATCACACTGGCAAAGAAGATGTAAGTTGACTTGAACTACTCTGTTTATTTTTGTAGTCAACTCTACCGCTCAATCAAATGCGTTTTTTAGATAAAGGCAGATCAACCCATTTCCAAGGTTGTTTATGGCATCAAAACACGAACAATGCAAGAATGGCGACCAGAACGATTGTTATGCAAACGATTTAATGTTCCTATGCCGCTTTATAACTCTAAACATGATGTTGAAAAAGTTCAAAATACCTCACATAGAGTATTGAGTGACTCACTGATGCGTGATCTTCGTGAGGTGGCCAGTGACCATAATACGAGTAAAATGATTGGTACCTCTTCTACAGGATCTGTCAGCACTGTCGCTGTTGAGAACAGCCCAACGCAACTTACAACTACTGCTGAGGCTTCAAACTTGGAAATAGATGATTTAGAGGTAGCTGAGCGGCCTTCGATGGATATATTCAAGGCGATTTTTGCTGATTCTGATGAAGAAAGTAATTCTGACGAGGATGACAAAAAAACTGATATTATATTGGCCAGTACTGTACGTAGTTCTACATCTTTGAACCCTATTCAATCCACTGTCCCAATAGACTTGTTTAAGCCAGTTTTTCGAAGCAAGAAACAACGCACTTTGGCGAGCAATTCAGATTTTTTGCCAAGTACTCCAGCAGCCACATCAAAAAGTCGCCCAAAAAAATTACCTTTTACAGATATTTATATGCACGACTTGGATGAGAAATCAGTTGATTCCAGCGACATTCAAAAAAATGGGACTTTATTGCGTGCAGACATGGATTCTCAAAAACCTATACAGACTAATTTCCAAGCTTCTGTCAGCGCTCCTGTAGTTGAGCATTCTCAATGTGATTTAAGCTTGTCATCTCTAGAGCCTTCATCATTGGTACACGAATCTCTGCCTAAGCCAGTCTCTTTGGCAATCGCACCCACTTTTTCTACAGCTGTTAATACCGAGACATCTGCTAATTTAATTCAAAATTGTATGGCAGCATGCTTGGACCAAGAATCTGACTCGAGTTCAGACAATCAAGACGTGTATGGTCCAATGCCTCCTCCTAAAAGTACTGAATCCTGTACATCTGAAATGGCTCGCATTGAACAAGACGGTGATTGGTCCATGTCTGCCAGTTCAAAGACACGATCTGTTCATAAAAAGTCATCGCATAAAGATAAGTCGAAAAGGAAAAAGCACAAAAAAGACAAGGATACCAAGTCACATCGTAGCAGCAACAAAAGGAAAGTTCAGGATACGAGCAGTGAGCAAGAGTATGAGCGTGATGGCCAAGATTGTTTGCCACCAAACAGCCAACATTGTAGCGATACTGTTTTGAAAAACACTAAGCAAGCTTTTTCAGATAGACCATCTGCTGAAGACTTTATGTAGTAATAAAATCTGACTGCATTGTGGATTATACTGAATTGGACAGTTTTGACATCTCGAGTGTAGAATTGCGTTTATATCTTCATTAGATTCAAGGCAATCAAAACAAGATGATATTACACGTGACTTTAATTCAAAAACAGTTGGAATTGGCAGACGAAGCGGAGGAAATCTCGAGCAGTCGCCATTACAACCATTTGCTGCCATCAAGATTTGTATTTTAACATTTCTAAAGGGTTTTTATACTAGGAACTGACTTGAGATTACTTTTGAAGCGGGACTTGACACATTTTCAGGACTCATCTTGTCCGGTCATTGTAAGCCTGTAATAAATCACTTCCACTATAATGACTGGAGCAACCCAACAGCCAGATATATTATCTACCAACATTCCTTCAAACATGAGCAGTTTACCAATCACAAAAACACCTTCAATTCAACTGCAAACCCTTCATCGACCCACACTATCTATGCAGTCTCGTCCGAAATGGCACTCGGACGATGACAAATTTCAAACGCTTTGTCATCGCTTAGCTCAACTCTCTTATCCACATCATTTGGATCCAAGTAGCATGGAGCTAGTTCAGCATCTTCTTTCAGATCTTCTTCAAACGACAGAGACTGCTAGATCCTTGCAAAATCAACTCGATCTTACTACAAGAGAAGTCCAGGCCACCACAGACCAGATTCAACCCCTACGAAGAGAGATATCTCGTTTGACGAATGAAAACAATCATTTACATTTGGATTTGATTCGCATGGCCGATGAGAGGGATGCAAGGGCAAAGCGTGCTGCTGATAATATAAGAAAGGCCGATTCTCAAACTGCCGATCTAAGATTCATGTCTTGTCAGTATCAGGCTCGTGTCGTAGAGGAGCAGCGCAAAGTCGAAGATGCTAGAACCAAGGTTGAAAGTGTTTTTGGTCGAATTGGACTAACCCAGTCCGCTAAACTTGGCCAAGGTGGTGGAAAAAGCAAAGGCAATGAAACCAAGACTGAAAAAATGTTTCAAAGATTACAAAAGATTGATATTGAAACTGGATTGGGTATGGTTTACATCATGTCGGAATGGCTTATACTGTATATCTACGCGATTCATATTGATTTTTTTGATTTTGTTAGAGCCATTGGATACTACTACTGTGGCTGCGTTTGCTAGACCCGACCCGGTAATTGGAGACATGGTCCGTCTTGCTGAAGGACAGATTTCAGCACTCCAAGAATCAAACAAAGAAATGCAGTCTAAAAATCTTGATTTGGAAAACGAGGTATTCGCCAGTAATGATCCTAACCATGTGTTATAGATTACTATAAAATCATGTATACTAGCTTAAATTAACATGAACGACTGCTATTCTATTTAGATTCAAATTACCCGAGAGCAGCTTGCTAAACGAGAGCGAGAGATTCAAAGACTTGGAGCACAACTTGAAGTGTCTCGTTCACAGCAGTTTGGTGCACCACAAAACATCTCAACAGTCCCGCTTTCCAACACCACAAAAAGCACATCTCAATCATCACCGGCTCGCCGTGGCACATCATACACAGCAGGAATAGTAGATATAGAAACGGCCAAAGACCGCATCGAACAACTTGAAATTCAAATCGAGTATTTGCAAGAACATATCGACACGCTAGAAAAAGAACTATCTCAAGCTGGGGTTGAACGTGATGTTGTTCAAGCAGCAATCATTAATGAGCGCGACCATCTTCGCGAGGATTTAAAAGAAGAACAAGAAAAAACAAAGGGGCTGATGGAAAACTTGACGCAATTGGAGCGAATGGTAAATGAGCTAGATGTATCAAGAGCTACCACACCGGCAGGAAAATTAGGATCTCAACCGGTTGTAAAGCATTTGAAACAGATTTCAGAGTTGAAAGATACATTGAAAACCACTCAGCAAAAACTGGATCGTACTACGTCGAGACTAAATACAGTGATTCATGAGAGGCAAAAGTTATCACATCAAATTGAGAGTTTGAAAAAAAATGAAAATAATAATCATACAAACTCTGGAGACAAGAAACTTGCTGATACTCACGAAAAAACTCAAAGTTTCAAGTCAAAGCTACCCAAAGCATCTTCTTCTGAAAATGAAAACAGCAAAGTCAGTGAACTTGAACTCAAACTGATAAATCTTCAAGCCCAACTAGATCAACTCACTTGTGTTCAAGATAAACTTGATACGTCTCAAGAGAAACTAGACAAACTGGAAAAGAAATTGTCAGATATTCAACACGACCGCGCGGATGCAGTATCCAAGTTGAGTCTGGTTACAGAAAAACTGGCACACTCTGAACAATTTTGCTCCAAGATTTTGGATGATCAACGTATAGTTTTGGATGATTTAACCAACACTAAAAGGGAACGAGACGATCTCCTGCAGGCACTAGAAAGTTTTGGATCCCAGGTTACAGAATTGCATGATCGTATACAGGCCATCACTGCCGATAGAGACAACATGACTCAGCTTTACACTCAAGTCAATCAGGAGATACAGCGACTACGAGCGCACAAGTGCAATAGCGTATCCACACCACGAGTACCATTAATTGAAACTCAGGCGGCTAAATCCGAGTTACAGCATGGCGCAGAATCTGAATCTCCTGGTGATACCAAGCATGAGGGAAATGGCCCACCTTCTTTGGCAGAATCAACAGCTACCAAGCTTCAGATTGCTCAATTAGAAGCTGAGATTGTCAAATTGCAACAGGATCTGGAAGCCACAGTTGTTCGACAAAAGGAAACAGGCGAGGCAGCCACTGAGACTATCTCTCAACTCAAGGTGGAAGTTTCTCGACTCAAATCATCTCTTGAATCTTCCGAGCAATCCAAATCTCTTCTTGAATCTGAAATGTCGTCACTTCAATTTAAACTTACAGATTTGGGTAATGAGAAAGTAACTGCAGTGCAAGACCTTGAGCAAATGCGTGTCCATGTATCTCGGCTTGAAATGGATCATGAAAAAGATCAATTTGTTATACGCGACATTAAATCAAAACTATCCCAGACAGAAGCCACGATTACCAGTTTAAACGGACAACTGGAACAGTTACGATTGGAGCGAGTCACAACAGAAAAATTACTAGCTGATCAAATGAAACTTATAGCTGATATTGATCAGGAGCGAGACGGGTTTCAAAGTGATTTGGATAAAAAGGCCGAATTGATCATGACATTGACTGGTCAGTTGCATCAGATACGAAATGATGCTGTGAAGATGACAACAGAACTAGTAGATGCGCGCGAGCAGTTGGATACAACCTTGCAAAATTTGAATCAGCAAGATCGCGAACTAAATAGTTTGCAGCGACAGTTGGAGCAAACCGGGCAGGAGAGGGACTATTTTCAAAACATGACACAACGGCATGTAGATGAAGCAAGAAATTTAGGATCTGATTTGGCTGCTGTTACACGGGAAAATCAGGTGTTGAATGCCGAATTAGTTGAAGCAAGTACTGAGCGTGACCGATACAAGGCCGATGTCACTGAATGTGATCGACAGCTTCGGTATCTTGATGAGCTTATTCGAGGAAAAGATCAAGAAAAGGACCAACTCATGGTATCTTATCGTAAACTGATTAGCGAGCATGAGCGATTAGATATAGCCATGCAGACAGCGAGTGAAGAAGGCAATCATGTCAAAATGGAGGTGATTATGCGCGATAAGCGTGTCCAACAGCTGCAAAAATCCATGGATGAAATGAGTCTTCAGCTCAACCAGTATAAAATTGATTTGGGAGCTTTTGAAAAACAGTGTAATAATATGGGAAGAACATTAGCAACTTCAGAGCGTACAGTGAAGCATTTGGAAAGTGAGCGAGCGAGGTTGAATCGAGATATTGCTGCTGCAAGAGATTTGACGCATACGTTTGAAAGACAGAGTATGGAAATGCAGGCTCAGCTTCAAGCTACTACATTGGAGAATGATCGTTTGATGCGCACCATAGAACGGATGAACAGCGAATCTGATGCCCTTGTTAGCAAGATGAGTGCCGAGGTCAGTCTTTGTTATATTGTATTCGTATATTGACTGATTTGTTTAAATGTCAGTTTACTAATCGATTTCTGAACAATTAAACTAGAAATCTAAAGCAGAGCGTTTGGAGCAAATTGCTGCAAATGAGCGAACCCACAAAATGCAGATGGAGCGGTCACTTATGGTAAATGATCATTTTTAATAGTTTTGAACATGTTTTTGAAATCCACGCAATGCCAAAGCGTTAAATTTTGCTTTCTAGGACATGCATGCTGCTAAAGGTTCTCAGTCCGAAATCGTACAACACACCAATGCCCAACAGCTTGCTACTATTGCCATGCTTACAAAAGAGGCCACTCAAGCACAGGATGAAATCAAGGTTCTTAAATCGAGGGTCGATAGTCTCGAGAGCCATCTGCGTGAACAGAGTGCAGGTATGTTATTTGTCTTTATTATAGCAATATCTTTGAACATTTTTGGATGATTTGATTTAAATGTTAAATATCCATTTTTATTAGCTCTTGCTGCTTCAGAAAAAGACATTACTTTTTACAAGGAAATGGTAATGGATCTACAGAAACAAGTGGAAGAGAAAAAAGAGCAGTTGCGTGAAATTGTTCAACTACGCCAAGAAACCGCTCAGGTATCTAAACTACCACACATGCGTCCTTCATTGAGTGATGCTGTCTGCTTACCAACCACTTGCTAACTGCTTTTTGGAATATATATCATGAATAACGGCAGATTATTACATCGCCTTTAATACAAAAATCAACAGATCCATTTGATCAGCGTGTGGCTCAAGAGATTCTATCAGCCAAGATTGCCCAAAGCAAGTATGAGAAACAGATAGCACGACGAGCGATGCAGCATGAAGCGTCAGAACTTGATCGTAGGCTTGGAGAATCAACTCTACCGACAATCATTGACCCGAGTATTTCATCTGTAGAATCCTCGGGTAATCTTAGCTCATTGACTAGAGATACTAGTGATGAGGCGGATAGTTTAGAAGCGGATGGTAGAGTTGCACTTTTTAAAAAACTTGATGTTTAAAAGGGACTTTTTAAACGATTGATTAATCAAGATTGTATCTGTGAATTGTATCAGTGCTTGCATCTGCATGGAAACCAAGCACAAATGCCTTTGGAGCAGTAATAGACTCTCCACGAACATCGCGCAACAAGACAGACGAGTTTACTCGAACACCGACCAACAATCAGTCGCGAATCAATAATATTGTATTAATGGACGCAGCTACGCAGGTAAACTTTGATTAAAATATGCTATAAAAGTAGATCAAGACAGCCAACTTACATGGTTTTGGTTATGACATTACAGTTGGAAAGACAATCCCGATCTAGTTGAATGAATTTAAACCTGAATAATAATATGAATGGACTCGACAGATGAAACTTGTTTAGCATACAATAAAATAATCCGTCTTTTGGGTTGCTGAAATCCTCCCTCTATATAGCCAAATGTCGAGTCGTTTGACTTTTCCCTTTACAGCTGGCGACAAAGGGTGACGAACGGCCGTTGAAGGATTCACTCACTAGCAACAACGAATACTGTACTCATCGCACTATGGCTTCTACAGGAAACGTCACTATGCAACTAGCACTTCCTCCTTTGGGCGGAGAAGCCTGTCCGTATTTTGCCCCTTTCTTGGGCCTTGCTGGAGCTGCCAGTGCCATGATGCTTTCAGCTGCTGGAGCTGCTTTTGGAACTGCAAAGTCTGGGATTGGAATTGCTGGCATTGGCCAAGTGAAGCCTGACCTGTATGTATTTTCATCCTGACTGGCTTTACTGAGCAGGAGATTACTGCAGTAACACTGGTGATGACTACATCACCCTTGTTAACACCATTGCAGTGTCCAGCTTCAATCCTGCTGTCTTGGGAGTCGCATGTGTTACCAGTAATCCACACCACAAATACTAACAGTTCTGTTGCTATCATGTATTCAATATAAATGCTCGGCTCATGATATTATCTGCCATCTACTGTGCGCGACTTGAACGACTCTTGGATGAATGTTTCAATACCATTTGGAAATCCTTTCGATAATAGCATGATGAAATCGCTGATTCCCATTATTATGGCTGGTAAGCTACCAGTTGGGTTGGTTTTTACAATACTTTTAAACTTATATCCTTCTATCATTGCAATCATATAGGTATCATTGGCGTATATGGTCTTGTAGTTTCTGTTTTGATTGCAAACAACATGGACCCTACCAAACCCTACTCTCTTTTTGCTGGATTTGTTCATCTTGGTGCTGGTCTTTCTACTGGATTTTCCGGTATTGGTGCTGGTTACGCGATTGGACTCGTTGGTGATGCAGGCGTTAGATCTTATTTGTATCAATCGAGGATGTTTGTGGGTATGGTTCTAGTGCTCATTTTTGCAGAGGTTCTAGGTTTGTATGGGTTGATCGTTAGTCTGATTTTAAATACAAAAGCGTCGGGAACATGCACTTGAAAGCAGTCAATTTATTCTTGAATTGCTTTGCCGAGAATAAACCCTTTCACTCAATCACTTGTTTTAAACTATTTTTAATCATTGCCATGTCGGTAATTATACTTTACATGACTTACACCATTATGAGTTTATTCGGTCGTATCCTCATTGATACCTCCATTCTCTCCTGCCTCTGTTCTAGTTGGTAATGGCGGCTGTTCAGCTCCAAGAGACATGACAAGACGCATCACTGTGGTTTTTTCCTCTTGGATATCCAGTGTTTTGGTATCAGCCTCATCATTACCATCTCCAAGATTATCAGCATACTCTATAAATGTATCAGTATAGTTGAATCCATTCATCCAAACAGTATGCTGAATCAACCACTCACCTTTCAGAATATTCTGTATGGATTCAATATCCACTTCACCGCCAAATACAATCTCTCGAACTTCGTAACTCTCCTCGCAAGCATATGCCAAAATCAGTGCAATCAATTGCAAGGTAAACAATCCTCCACCAAGTCGGTCCAAATACGCCATGGCATCATCTTGGACCATCATATCTCCATCCTCTTCCAACTCATCTTTGGCACGTTGACGTCGCTCAGCAATATGTGCATCAACTGTTTTGACTAGTGCCGTGTACGTTTGATACAAAGCCATAAACTTTCTTGTCTTTTCAAAGTCAGACTCGATGAGTTTAAAAAGAAGTCGGTCACGGAGATCGTCTCTTTTTATCGATCTAAACAGTGATGCAATAATGGATATTATATGCTCTAAAAAAAGTTAAAGCATATGAAGACACTTGGAAAACTATATTCATGATTGCAGTAAAGCATTGGTAAACATACCTTCATCTTCGCGTCGAGAATAGTCTTCGTACATTTTCTTGTATTTTTTGGCACCCTTTTCCATAAAGATTTTAAACAGAGTTTTGAGACCAAAGGCTTCGATTAGATGTGTGGATGCAACAATCGACGCATGTTCAGATGGGTTGTCTTGATCAGTATTATCCTCCTTCAATGTAGCATCGGCATCCAAAGGAATATCACGGAGCAACAAGTGATCAATAACCTTGACAGCCCTCATGCGTGACATTTTCCCGTTCTTGATCATAATTAACATGAGCTCAATGCCTTCAGACTTCAAAAAGTCCATCTTTCCCTTGAAAAGATCCAGACACAGACACAGGGTGTCAAATACGTTTTCCATGAATTCAATTTCGTCTGAATCGGCAGGATCCTTACGACGGTAAGGAGAGATTACACGAAGAAGAGTGTCCATGCCAGTCAAGGCTATTACGCGACAGCGATTGGCTTGACTTGTCTGCAAAAGAATGGTAAGGATCTCAGAGGCATACTGGCGAATGGAGTCAAATGCAGTCTTTTGTGATATGCGAGCCAAAAGCCAGGGAAGAATATTGGTGGAAGTGACGACCTTTTCAGAAAGCTGTGGATCAATAGCTACAAAGTTTTCGATTACACCTGTAATTAAATGTAAGAAAGGGTTGATTAGAGTTGCCAAATTGCGTGTATAAACACCAAGTCTCAATAGAACCAATTATTATCACACCAACGTACTAAGTGTGTTGAAGATGCCTTGTTTGTCATCGGTACGACTCTCATCCAATCTATTCAAATTCTGCACAAGCAAGGGAAATGCATCATGCTCCACCTATTTCAATCCCAAACCATGCATTAGTCAAGAACCTTGCTGGAATAGACTCGACAACCGCGATTAGAAAACTAAAATACACTTTACAGCAAGATGAAACGTACCAATGCATGAACCAGCATTTCCATGCCTTCCTCTCCACTGCCAGACGTTTTTCCAGCCAAATCTTCATCGGTGAGCTCATCAATCAATTCCAAAGCTGCAATGGCAATATCGGTGTTTTCATGCGACACCAGAGCCAAAATGGACTGATGTGTTCCCAGATCCAGCATCGCAGGATAGAGTTCTGGAACAGAACTAATAGTAGTCATGGTCTTGATTTCTTCTACAAGATCTGCTTCGGAATCCAAATACTTGAGTGGATCGTCTGCATGCTTGATACGCTGTGACTGGTTTTTTGAAATGGATTTTTCAAATCTGAGCAGAATGCGTTTGAGGAGGGCCAGATCTATCACTGATGGAAGCTGATCAATACACAACATGTTGATGAGTCTGGACTGTGGCTAATAGGCACTGACAGGTTGACATGTATAATGTAGATGAATTCAATAGCAATACCTCTTGTCCGGCATCGACGAGATCCTGCAATCTTTTGTGTTGCTGTTGCGCAGTGTCCGCTCTGTCATCATCCAGATGCGAGGTGGACGCAGAAGCACTGCTGGCTGAGATGGTCTTTCTTGACGATCCATTTCCAGTACCCCAGCGAGTATGAAACTCTTCGTCAGTGGATTCTCTGATTTCAACATGATTGTCATGATGGCCGGTTTTAGCTCGTTTTGCCATGGACGATGCAGTCATAGACGAACCATTGCTTGTCGGTTGTTTTCGTTTATCGGATTGTCCGACAGCGCTACTTGAAGTCTAACAGAATCAACAGCAATAATGAACACAAGCATGCATTGATTACGTTGATAATTGACACTTGTTCATGCACACCTTAAAAACCTCGTCAATATCCATAACGAACTGTCAAGATTATTAGAAACTGAAGGTTGAATCGCACTGAGGATGATTCCAACTGCAATCCTTGAGTGTTGAAAGGTTGATTTATTCTTCCAAACCGAAACACTTGGTTTTGCAACGAGATATTCAACTCGTATTTTGCAAGGATTTCTTGGAATATTTGCAATAGTTTAGCATGAGTGTGACTGAGCAATCTTCGCTCTTGTCATCGACTCGCTTGGATTCTGCATTTCTACAGAATCCATCCGAAACCATCGAGTCTCGGTCTTTGTTGGATCAATTATTAAATGATATTGGATACGGCAAGTATCAGAACATGTTGCTGTTTTTTGTAAGTCTTTATCGTGCAATCCATCATCAGTTGATGTTGTCAGTATTGGAATCATGTTGACAACTCTTTCATAAAGTGCGGACTTGGATGGATGACAGATTGCATGTGGTTACAAGGTTGTTGTTGTTATGATTTGTTTTCAAATCTGTCGTGATTGACTGCTAATATTGATGTTCTAGCAATTGTGTTGGTCTTGCCTCAAGTGCAAAAAGCTTATGGTTTGAATGCTGCAACTGCAGGAATTATGCTGTCGTGTACATTCCTCGGAATGTTGATTGGTAAGATTATTATAAATAATTGACTCAATCATCAACTATTATGCTCAGTGCAATGTCTTGTCTGTGTGATAGGTGCGTTGATATGGGGTGAAGTGAGCGACAGATATGGCCGAAAATGGCCATTTGCCAATATGCTTTTTGTAACAATACTTTGCGGCTTGCTGTCCTTTACAGCAACCACTGATTTTCCTTTGCTCTGTCTTGCCATCACTGGTGTCGGTATTGGCGTCGGTGGTCATACCGCCGTGGATTCTTGCATGTTTTTAGAATTCTGCCCTTCTAGTATGCATCATCGAATGATGCTGTTGACTGTGTTTTTCTCATTTGGAACCATGTTTTCTGCTGCCGTCACCTTGTTGGTCGTTGTAATGTTTCAGAATTATGAGTTTTTATCGGTTTTCGAGCCTTGGAGAGTAATTTTAGGTGTCGTAACTATTGGATCGTTGATCATTCAGGTGGTTTATTGCTTGACTTGCAGTTTAGTTATCATCGCGTGGCCATGACTACTCGTGGATTTCTAGATCAATGTAAACTGGATACTTGTTAATTATCAATGTTTTGAAATCCTAATAGGTGTGCCGACATACCTTTATTACACTTCAAGAAACTCCAAAGTTTCTTTTAGAAAAGGGGCATAAAGATAAACTATATCAAGTGCTGAACCATCTTATCAAGCAAAATAACTCACTACATGTGCCCATTTCCTTGCAGGATATTGATCAACTCATCCTGACACGAGAAGAATCCAATCCTACTCATTCTACTATAGTGGGTAGTCACGCATATGTTTCCACTGAATCAGACACCGAAATCATCGAGGAACAACATTCAACTGTGGGAATTCGACACATTTCCAGACTCGATTCCCCATCCATGTTTGATACATACCGTATACGAACGACACTGCTTCTTGGAGCCATTTGGATCCTAATTAGTTTAGGGTTTACCATGTTCAATGCGTTTATACCTGCTTTTATGGAGGGCAAACATCCCGACTTGAACCAAATGGTATCTACTACTGAACCACTCAAATCAGAAATACAGATCTATATCGATTGTATGGTGTACGCGAGTTCATCCATTCCAGCTGTAGTCATTGCTTTATATCTAGTCTCGTCTCCTATTTTTCAAATGCGCGGAACACTAGCCATGTCGTGTATGGTATCTGCAGGTGCCTTGTGTCTATTTATATATGTTCAAGGACACCATGCATCAGTGCTTTTATCTAGCTCATTGATCAATATAGCATCAGCTGTTGTCTATGGTGTGCTGTACGCATTTACCCCAGCTGTCTATCCTACAAGTATCCGCGCTAGAGTGACTGGTTTATTTAATGCTCTAGGAAGAATGTAAGTACAATGATTCAAATTATATCAAAGCTTTGGGTTTAGCCGCTTAACTCGTTTTTGTAGTATTGGAATTATTGCACCAGTGCTTTCGGGTGCGTTTCTGTCCATGGAGTTTGATATTCCAATATATGTGTGTGCAGCAGCAATATTCCTGGCGGCTCTATGTGCCATCTTGCTTCCTTTTGAAAAAGATGCAACTGCCTGATATCCATGGTTTTTGATACAATAAATATCATGTTGAAATACAAGCCAAGCCTCTTTAGAGTATTCTGGAAAGTGTAAATCTTGCAATCTAGGAAATAGTGCGTTAACCCGTCATGCTTCGAGTCGCAATATCTTGCTAAATTGACTACTACCAATCAAGTGCTCAAAAGTAAAAAAATTGATATATCCATTGCACTTTTAGTACTAAACTATTTTTGTATTCACTCTTTGAATGAGCAATGCTCAGCATTAGCTCGGTTAAAATGGCTTGACTAGTTATACTATAACGCTGCATATACTCTATGAATCCAGATTGGCTTAAAAAAGATGGGTTTAATTCAATACAGCCATACGCAAATACCAAACCTTGATGTCAAGACAAATATCCAACAGTTTCCATCAAAGGAATCCTTCTTCCTCAACTTCATCTTGTAGATTACGGAGATCTTGAGCACCAGACGCGTGTTCGTTATTGTTTCCTTCATTGGACGCAAAGTGACCACCTTGAGGAGCAGCTTGACTGAGATCAGTCACGACGTTTTTGAAAAGTTTTCCAACATCGTTGTCCAAGAACCGAATGGCAGGAGATCGCTGCATGCCTTCAAAAATCCCAGTATCTCCCGTTTGACATGCTGTCAGTAGATCCTGTGTAACCTGGCCTTCCTCAGTTTGCTCAAACCTATTATTCCTGTATGTTTCAACGCCATATAGGGTCAACTAGTTAAACATCTCGGCTGTCTTATAGCATCCAGTATATTCTGAAACTTACTTTTGCAAAGACATTTCATATTGCCGCTGTGCAGCAGATTGATCACCCTTTGAAAGAAATAGAATCACATTGGTGAGTGCTTGACGGTTATATAGCGGCTGGTTGTCTATCTTAAGATATGCGCTTTCCAGTCGGATGGAAAGTGCAATAGCCTGATCAAGCCTGTATACACGATATCAGTCCATCACAAACAATACAAGTTAAATTGCGCAATATCAAGACAAGTGATTGACAAGTGATCTTGGACACATCAAAAATAGGTTAAATGAAAAACCTACTTGGAGGATCGTAGACAAAATCCAATGGCACGTTTGAACGTATCCACACCGAATCTAAGTCGATCTTCCTCTTCATACAATGTACACGACTCGGTATAGTACTCGATTGCCTTGCTTGCATCCACCGTTTCAAACGCCCTAACATAGTGAATCACCACAACCAAAAGCTTAATATCAAAATAAAATAGGCTTTCATAGTACACATACATGGTAGAGGCACACACAGTGAATCAGTGATCAAGCTTACTTGGCAGCCTTTTCAAGCATCTCGCCTGCTCGATCTGGAGACCCTTGCACAAGAAAATATTGACTAGCTTGCTGGTACACTGTGCCAGCTCGTTGAGGATCATTCATGTTCTGAGAAAGGACATTGGCAGCAGTTTCCAAAGCCTTGGCAGCAAGAAACATTCTACATTTGAATTGAGTTTAGTGTTCCATTGAGGGTCTTGCCCTTGACAGTCGTATTCACGTAACATGAAACACTACATAGAGACTCTTGAAAATCTATGCTTACGAGTTTAGATTGCGATGGCATTCTGCAGCCTGTTGAAGAGCCTCTGCAGCCCTTGCGTACTGTCGGTCGTTTCTGTAGAGGTTGGCTAGTAAGAGTTGAATAGAATGAGTTAGTTGAAATGCTCACTAGTCTGCTTGATCATCAAACAGGTCTTGGACTCATGCATGACAGTCCATATTGTAAACCACTGCAACCAAGCCATGCAGTCATATATACAAATTGGTCTGCTGGACATCAACTGATGTCAACATGCTATGACAGATGCGAGTACAACACACCAGCCTGTTCAAAGCTGTTTAGGGCATCGTCATAGTCAGGTTTAGCCTTTCCAAAGAAGGAAGTCTTTGTTAGAGCCTTTGCTCCATCCTTCATCAAATCATCAGCCTCTCCCATGGTTGTGTTGGGTTGGACAAGGGATAAACTTTTAGATTCTCAATGTATTGGCAGCAGTTTGATCTTGAATCCACACTGATCTCGACTCTTTTACATCTTCATCATTCCAATCCTAGTCGATATAAACTACTTGTTTTTATTGACTAACCGAAAAATATTGGTACAGAGCGACTGCTGCAGCAACAAAAACAGGAATAATCACGTATGTCATAGGAAAAGATCTGTCATGTATGCATATCAGAGCAGTTATAAAAAGATAAAGTTTATGGATCGAGGAGAGCAGAGCAGTCGGTAGAAATGGCAAGTTCCAATACCAAGATCGTCACAAAGTCGTGCCGAAAAAGTCCAACATAGCAAGTTAAACCCAACGCATTGCGAATTTAAAATAAGAATATAAAAGAGTACAAAGTTAGATCGGGTTTGGTGCGCCAGTGAGCCATGAAAGCCATCTTGGAAATCGAAACCAAAACAAGAGTAGGTGCAGTGGAATTGGGAGTAAAATCAAGATTTAGAAATTGATTCATGAGCGATTTGGGAATAAAAATGAACATCAATTGTTGCAACACTATGGGGAATTGCATAATATCGTACCCTTGAGGTTGAGCAGCAGAAGATGTAGTTTCTTTCTTGGGCATCTGGGCTGCAGTGGTAGCAGATTTTAAAGTGGCAGATGCTTCCTAGTTGTACATTCAAATAAAACAGTTTAAAACGAATTCAATAATAAACATGCACGAGATTTATAAGCAGCGGTTAGTAGCCATATAGCTCCATGTGTAAGAGGATCAGACAATTTCATGTGCACTTCAAATGTCAGCAGACACTGGTAAATTCTTACAGAAACGATTAGATCGCCAAGGTACATTTCTTTAAGAAGATCGCGGGCATCATCGGAATGACCAATTTCGTCAAAGGCTTCAGTAGCATCAAGTCCTTGTTTGCAGAACAGTTGGTGCATGAATAGTATGCAAAAGTGCACAAGTTTATCAGCGACAATAGTAGCAAGAAATTGAAGAATCAGGTATGGGTATTAGCATTCAGACAACACAGGCACGAATTCAGACGCAACCATTTAGACAGATGACAGCAATGTAACAGCTTTAGAGGCAGCCAATTGCAAATCCAATGCAAAAGCGTCAACATACCTGCTTGCTCGATAAGGACCTCTTCACCGCCTGGATGCTAAAAGGTGATTATCAAAGAATGTATAATTGTAAATAAACGAACCGTACACAATGGCATACTATACATTGCATCACAATATAGAGTGCAGATCAATGGTATGCATGATTAGATGATTCAAGAATAGTGCCAAGGAAATGGTCAATGCGTTCAAGCGAATCTTACATCATCCAAGAACTTTGAGCAGTCGTACACTTTACCCTGAATGACCATCCATAGGTTACCTCGGGTGTTATGCTCCTTGACCTCTTCAATCGTAAAGGTTTTTCCTGTCATACTTGTTTTACAGTTGTATTCACGTAAATGGAATACTTTTTTATATTTGTCTTGCAACAACTGCGTTTATTTTCCAAAATAAAAAATGACCAAATATATCTGCTGTGCTCATCAACTACTTTTTTACAGCCGTATTCACGTAAAATAAAATATTTGTTTTTGTCATTGAAGACGTTGGCTTTATACAAAAAAGGAATATCTGGAAAGACCATGGCATTGAAGAGGCTCTGTTGTATTCTAATATCAGATACATTCGCGCTCTAGTTCAACATATCTCAATAATGCAACAATTGTTTCCATGCCGGTCATGTCATGTTCACTTGAAATGCTTGGTCCGGAAAAAAGGAAAGTTGGAGGTTGAACCAATGTCAAGAGTGTGGAATGTATTGAAACAGAGATGTGAGCATTTGCACTGTATTCTTGTACAAGAATGAGCAGAGACCAGTCAACTAATGAGTTTATAAAACAATACTACCCAATAAGATTGACACCAAGCATGACTGTTTATCATGTAGTTTAGGTTAGTGTTTCATTTTACGTGAATACGCCTGTAATACACAGCAACCATTGTATAATACAGACTATAATTTTAAACGTGTCCTTTTTCCTCTTTTGGCATAGTCGTACATTGCCGACTGCAAAGTTTGAAACCATATTCACTCATTGTAATCCAAATATTAGGATTGACTGTCGACATGCTCGATACAATTCGTATACGTTCGCGTTCAAGAAAACAGAGTGCATATCTTAGTGTTTAGTAAATTGTACAATCATTTCATGAAACTGGCCGTTTATGCACTTGGTATTTTTATTTAATGGTAAGCTTGGTTTTCACGTGAGTTTTAGTTTAGGGTCTGCACTGCAATTTTACAATACTGGCAGCTGGCAGACAATTTCTAAACCGCCTGTGGCTATACTATGCAGTAGGAGCGGGCCGACCACTTCCGCATTGAGTTTCAGTTGTTGGAATCGACTGGATTAGCAAGTCAGTAACTGACAAGATACTCTCGACCCAACCAAAATAGCCTTTTTAAATAAGCGTGATAAAATAGTGTATATGGACTAGTTACAAGCCAGTCTTTGAATTTAACCGCATTCCCTTTGCAGCAACAATCGGATCCGTCAATGGTCTACAATGGCTTTATAACCAGCGAGGCTTCACAACGACACGTGGGTTCTCGATAAATTCAAGCGTGGCTGAACGAATAAGCGGTAAACCGCTATATCCTTCATTGATTAGCCACCATTGCTAGACTACCAATTGTAACCTGCCTCAATATATTGGATTACATCAGTTTAACAATGGCTTCTGCAGCCAATTATCAACAGAAACTAGTAGATGAATACATGTCAGACAGCGACTCCAACATTGCAGACATTGATGCAATAGCACACGAAATTGCAGAAGCAGCGCAAGTTCAGTCACAGTCTGGGTTACTGCAACAGCCTCATCAACCTTTAAACCACAGCGATGAAAACGTTTATGTTTGCAAGGATAAGACTGTATTGAACTACACTGAGCCATGCACATCAAGCAGTGTTATTACAACCACCGATAACAATCCCTATATTACACCCGAGCACGATCGTTCGGGTAGTCAACACCAGTTGCAAAATCCATGGTATCCGTTTAGTCTATCGCTTCCTGCCCTATCGCCTTACACTCAAGAGGCCAATGGTAATACTCCACACCGAAGGTTACGACAGACAGCCAAGTATCATTCTCTTTCATCACTTGCCGCATTCGATCACCCATCTGGCAAAAGTACAGCCCATTCACTAAAAAACCTTAACCTGCAACGCCGGCTTCAGAATTGGCTGCCTCATGTAGTATTCAGTGGTGACCCTGAAAATTCTTCTGGAGTACGAATGAATAACCCTGTGGATCCATCGTTTGCCATGGCGGGTTTTACAACTGCCGCCAAAAGTTTTACCACTAGTCCAAGAGCCAATCCTACTACCGCAAAGAGTACAGCCACTACCATTTCATTGCCATCCAACTCTGATACTACAGATTCTCGAACTGTTTCATTTGAGTCATCTCAGCATTCCATGTCGAATCAACCTTGTATGAGTATGCCTGTAGAGAGTCTGTTTTCAATGGAATCTCGTCGCCGGTCGATTCAGCTCATTCCATCGTTAGTATATATGCACCGCACTTGATACAGACTCGATCGTATATTGTCATTATGGTTCTGTTGCCACACACTAACTTGTATATACAAATATAGACACGATAATCTTGTCAAGGAATCCGCTGGAACAGACAATCGATACAATGTCACGATGGATGCCATCTTTGTGGTGAGTAAACTGAAACTGTTTTGCGTAGTTGGTTGCACTCGCATCTGACTCGCTGATTACGCCACTCGGCTTGTTCACTTAATGCACTAATTTAAATCCTTTAAATTAACAATTCAATATTTTCATCTCTAGGCACACTTTAATACTCTCAAGGGCAATGTTATCGAGTATCAATTTCCTGCAGGTATGTGTGCTGCTCTTTATCCCAAGTCATTTGTATTGACGTCTGATAAACTATGCCTGTGTGATATTCTTTAATACAAGTACTAAATCCATTCGAAAATCCTTTGTTTCTAGTGGCCAACATAGCTGGTGTTGAGTATAAATCAATTCCAAGTGGTGCACATGCCATTGCTCGCGATGTCATTTATTTTACTTGCGGACTTGATAGATTTGGCATTGCAGCATTGGAAAACTTGGCATTAGGAACATCAGATGCAAGCAATAACAATGAGCGAGGTGCTCGCATTAAAGCCGTGGGAATTGTGGTTTCAAACAACGCTTCATTGTTTACCCATCTGCCCTTTCTACAACAGCAAGCTGCGCGGTTTGTTCGCAATCAAGGATCTCTAGATGATCTGATTGCTTATTTTATTAAACATCAACAGAACCCCTTTCCCTATAGGAATATGATTGAATCTTTCAGCTTGGAAAATTTCAAGATTGGACATCCAGCATCTCACTTGCCTGCAATGGTGTCGTTGTTCAAAGTCAAGATTTTTGTGCTGTGGAAATACGCATTGTTGCAAAAGCGGATTCTGTTTTACGGACAACCTCCTGTACAGCAGTCCTGCCATAATGTGGTCTGCACTACGTTGCTAACAAGCCATTCAGTTCCTGCCGGTTTCAAGGTTAAATCAAACCCTTTACATTTTATCAGCGTGGCTGATATTGACGCAGTTTCGTTTTTTGATTCATTTATTGCGTGCACGACAGAAACTATTTTTGGTACCAAACCTGTGCTGTTTGATGCGTTTGTGGAGGATACCAAGATCAATCCTGTGCGTGTAATGGGGGCCAAAAACACTCGGCCAGACGAAGGTCGTTTGGCGACTACCAATGATGCAGACGTGTTGCGTTATGCTTCACTTAAAAAGGCAATCAGTCAAGGTTGCAGTGATCATATTTTTTTAGACGGACTAATGTCACCTAGTAGTGGCGGCTCATTTGATCAACAGCTGCCTTCTGGAAAAAAGATGCTTGTTATTGCCAAAGGCAAGTTTAAAAAATGGACTCATAATGTGAAGTCGGCTAGTGGAGCTGGCAGTAATGGGCATTACCGAACCATGTCAATGGATAATTTTCTCCCTCTAAAATCAAACTCTTCTCATATGGAGTCTGCGTCAATTGGAGTTGGACACACCACTGTAGATGTAACCAATTCAACCGTCGTTTCTGCTGCAAGAATCATCGAGTTTTTTGATCATCTAAACACCAATATTTTTCATATGCTGCTGCTAATTGAGCGATCAACAGATCCTGTTGTGCGTCCTTGTCGCATTCAAAATCTGCTGATGCTCCATCCAGTCCATGACTTGCAATTTGTGGCAGATCTTGTGCGAGTCTATTATATCAACGTGTCTATAGAGCCATTGCAAGGAAAAAATAAGCGGTGGAGTACATTAGCACCAGCACCAGCACCAGCACAAACCCATCCATCACTATCACCACCGCCTATACCAACCCCCGTTTCACAATATCACCAACATAACTATCCATCTTTGTCAATCACGCATCCCCATGAGTTTGCTTTCAACGGTACGTCGGATGAATCATTGGGCTTAATTTCACCAACACCTTCAGATGCATCCACGGATCCGCCTGTGCCACTCACGGTTCTGTTACCTCGTACATCATCTGTTAGGATCGCATCTCAAACACCATCCATTTCTTCTCCTTCCTCATCAAATCCTGTATCTGCATCTCCTGCTCAGCCTAAACCCTCTCCATCACGTCCACTAACAGGAAATATGCCTATGATTATCATGCCTCGAACATCTTCGCTTATACTCACAAATGGCTTGCATAAAGAACCTGTATCACCACTTCATAAGGTGCATATGTCCATTCAACGACCCGCTTCTACTCCGCCAAATAGTTCAAATTTGACGCCAGCTGAATCACAATTAGACTCGACACAGCTTAAAAATACTTTGCCTGTCAGTGTGTCAACTTTGTTTCAAAGTGGAGGTGATCTTTCATCTTCTGCTGGATTGTCTGATGCTCTAGTTGATCCTGTTGATTTAACTAATACCAAATTGCCAAATACGAGTGGCTGGGGCTCTACTATGTTGCGATCAAAAGGTGTCAAGTGTGAATGTTGTGCTGCTATTCTCGATATGTAATGATTACAGTGTTGATTTTACTGGACATGATTTGTACTTTACATTTGATTTTTCGTTGCAGCTATCTTGTCTAGCGTTGAAATGGTTTATGGCATTTTATTATTTATTAATTCAAAGTGTATTGTTTGCAGACCTGTAAACATTTCCTTTGATGTACAATTCTAATCCATGTTGCCGACTCGATCGTTTCGTTGCTTCATAAGCTATAATATAAGTTGAAATAAATAGATTTGAAAAACAATGGATATTAATGACTAGCATGCTTTCCAAATCATGTATTGTGCTGGTTGCATTTTTATTTTGGTTTAGATCTAGTGGCTGTATCCATTTGCTTTGCATCGCATTGACTATCTTTTCAGATAGTGTTGTATCTTTGGTTATACACAAGAACCCCATTTATGTGAAATTTGTCAATCGGCACCTGCCGACTCCAGTCAACTATCCTACCCATCTACACTCAATTTTGGTCATGTAGTCACTGTTTGCTAGCTTATTAGTATTCGAGTTACGCGTCGACTCAACATTACAATCTGTAATGGGTTGCATGACAACAACACATAATCAGAAAATCAACTATTGGAACTACTCTAACACGACATGTATCCCACCCTCAGACACTATACACACTTGTAAAGTTGTGCTGTCAATGACCAAAATCCCCAGCAACCCAATCTAATCATGATAAACGGTACAATTTAAAGTGATTATAGCTGATATTTTGAATCGTTGCATTCATCGTTTGTAGAGGGTAAACAAACGTCAGGCCAGATACAAGTCAATATACAATGATCCAATCAATCTCGCTTGACTTGTGGTGAAATACGCAGACACTGAATACCCAAGTGCTTACAAAATTGATTAATCACAGTCAAAATCCAAAACATGTAGTCCAAAGCCACAAGTGCAAACATGATATGTATATATCTAGTCTCTGCTGCTTCCCCAAGAATAGTACTAAAGTGAAGATGCCTGCAAGGATCACAAATTAATTTGAAATGTTTAAAAAGTAGTCAACTCGTTTCGATTCAATGTGCACTTACTGTCCAAATATCTCAGGCCCACGAGCCAACACAGCACCAATAACATACGGAATTACAATCATCGGATACAAAGGATAGTTGGTATGTGTAACGTGACCAAGAACAATCAATGCCTGCATTAAAAGTAAAACATTGAATTAGTAGTCATACTTGTCAGTAAACCATCTCAATCTCAAACACATAGTGGCAATCAAAGCCTTGAACCTACAGCAATCCGGCCAAAGGATATTCCCCATGTACACGAAAAAAGAATTCCATGAGTGTTCAAAGCAATAGATCCTGGAGCTGAAATCCATATATATATAGCAATATTAATGATAGCAAAAGGTACAATATGTAGCATGGCCATGGTAAAACTGCGCCTTTTTTGCCGACAAGCATTGCGAACTCGAATGATGCTTTAGTATTACATAGCAATTAGTCATCATCTCGTATACAATATCAGCTTATTATGCTTAAAAAACGATCGGGGTTTACCTAACTGGAATCTGAGTAATGATCAATAGCAGGAATATAGTACCAACACTTGTGTCAATAAGTCGCAGATTTGAATTGGTAATTGGAAGGTGTGCCATTATCATTATATCGTCGATTTTAGTCCACCAAATTTTCGAACCTGTTTACAAAAGTATTGAAATATACAATCTATCATTAGGAATTGATAATAATGCTGGCTTCAAAGAGTTGCTGTGTAAAAAAGTTTGACAGATATAAACCCACCATACAATCCAGACACGATCAGGGAAAACACGGCAAGAAGGAGTCCTTCAGTCGGTCCATTAACATATCCAAGGTAAAGTGTTCCAGTATAATATGTTTCCCAGGTTGAGAAAAAAAATGCGGTAACAACTAAGCCGGTAGAATATCATGATTGTAAAGTGTTGGCATTCAACAATTTCAAAGTACTAAAGGTATAAACTATCGAATCGCCAATAGACATAATCCCAGCATGAGTTTACCCATAAAGATCAGCGCCACATAGTATCCTGATAAACCTACTCCTAGACCAGCTGCTTGCAAAATAGTTCCAAACTGACTCGGAAAATAAAATTATTGAGTTATACAATGCAGCCTGCATAATTTAAATCTAAAATTCAATCCATAGCAATTACACATACGCTTGAATTGAGAGCATCTACACCACTAAATATCAATATGGTATAAAATAAAGCCAGCCAATTAGCTACATTATTTCTTATTTTCCAGCAATATGAGCAACTTTTCACTTTACTGGTCAAATAATTCTCCAAGCGGAGAGCTGGATCCGGTACGACGTGCTTGTTTCCCGTCAACGTTGTCAAAGGTGGAGTACAAGAAAATTCCAGCACCCATGCTATAGAAGAAACAGCAAGTAACCCATTCCGAGTGGACTGTATTAGAATTCAATACAAATTTTTATTGATATATGTAACGCAATTGTTTTTACCTAAAATAAATCCAAGATGGTTCTCCTGCAGACAAATCTGGTATGTAAACTAAAACAAGCGCAACATTCCCCATAATAAAAACAAATCCTAAAAGTGTAATCAAATTAGGTCTGACAATGGCATATCAGAAGAATCATACATATTGATATGTTAACATTCAATATAAATTAAAAGGTCAAGTATGAATCTAAAGATATGCAATGTTGGCACATCAAATGTGCGAGCGATCCAAACGAGTTGGACTTACGCTATCCACATGGGAAATAAAGTTGTAGCCCAAGTCCAATATGGCTGCATGATGTATTTGGAAACTGGAGACTAGAGATGATTTAAATGAACGGATTTAAAAAATTATTAGCCATATAAATCTCATTCTAATGATGGGGTATCTGCTAGGTAATAGTTCAATTTCAAGCCTCGCATAGTTCAACTTCATGGCAAATCAGATATTAGCCTAAATTGAATAAATAATGTGAAGGGTAGAATGTGGTATTTACACACTAACTACCATATTGATGAAGGCTTGAACTGCGGTATTTTATTTTCAATCTGGACAGTGAGGTTGAGAATACTGGATAAAAAATAGCAAGTTCAAATCGCAGATTTATATACAACTGCAATATCAGAATGTCTGTATTGGACAGTAATCTAATTCTAAAGGCAAAACCAATATGGACAAGCCAATACTTTTACTGTTACATACCAAATCCACTGCAGAGTACTTGTATTGCTCAAGATTGTTGAGTGCATGTTGACTGACCCCAAATGGATGCATGACTGGAGCTCCTGTTATCACAATGCCTAGCCAAATATAGAGAAAAGCAGTATTGTACAAATGGTCAGTATTTCTAGTTTTACAAGAAATGCTAGACTTTAGACACTATAAGTGAAGACAACTACGCTCATCCAAAGGCTTGCCTTTATTACAACTATATTTACGCAAAATGGAACACGAAATAAATGTGCCAAAATATAATCGTTTCAAATAATTCTCCAAATTTACTGAACAGCATTGCGAGTTCTTGGAAACGAATTGAGCCGACATTCGATTCAGCAGTGTTGCTGACTGGCGTTACAGTTTTGTCTGCTATGATTCCTCGCTTATTTGCTATTGGCTGACGAGCTGGTATTTTTAATACAACACAATTTTACCTTTGCTTCATACATGAAACACCCGATTAGTCATTTTTGGTCTAATTATAGTTTGTTGATTCCAAATGATTCGATTGTTATTATGTTGCTATCCCAAGTGCTGCATGTTCATCAATTTATGATTTTTTAAATTCAAACCTGTCGGCAGATCGATCACGTATGCATATCACAATTTGGTATTGATAATTCATTGTATTGCAGTGTTGATATCAAGTCATGCAATGTGTTGATTGAATTTATTCAATTCACACGATCGGATGTTGAATATTCAATCGGAACGCACGACTGAGTCATGATGAGTGTGAGTCATGACTGTGAGACAAATGAGACAATCAACTCTACAAGTTAAACTACACAATCATCTAATAATACTCACAGATCATCCAACACTCTGGTCATGGCAATTATGAGTGATTTTGGTCCCGTTGACATGATTACAGTCATTGATACATTCATGTTTTTATTTTAAATATATTATAATAATGCTAGTGTATTTACAATCAGCAATCAGTCGTCATCTCTTGTGCAAGTCTTTTTTGATGTCATCAAGTCTCTCCTTGTTCATCTTGACTTTGACGATGAACGGAGTCAGCATAGTCTTGATTTCACTGACATCAGCCTTGAGTTTGACTTCTGACTCTTTGATCTGACTACAGAGGAAACTACCAAGAATAGTAGCTACTCCAAACATTGCACCATACAGCAAGTAGTTTTTGCTGATATGATCTTGAACCTTGTCATGCAGGGGTTTGGATGTTGCTGCATGACTGTTGGTAGTGGTAAATGATCGTTTGAGTATGTGGGAGTGTAGTAGTTTTAATATGTGATGAGTTGAGTTGTTCATTAGGATTTTATTTGGGAAAGTGAATCGATTTATCAAAATGGAAATTTCACGACTTGAATCCATAATTAAACTTTGCATGTGATTTGACATTCATTACATATTATTGACTTGATTTTGAATATGACTGTTGACTGGCATATTAATGCATACTAATGCATTGCTATTACTTGTATTACAATTTGACCAATACATACATACAGCAATGCATTACTTTGAATATCGAATCTAACCATTCAGATTCTGCTGGGATCTGTCATCAACAGTATCATACATTCCATTAATACTGTGATATTGCATGGTATGCTATGGTATGGTATACTATGTGTGTATGACAGTCGATCAGCGTAGTCGATTGATGTAATATGCTAGTAAAAGTCGCTACAGTCAAATATACTTGCTGTTGGTTTATGATAAAAGATGCCAATACACGGCATATCGAGTGTTTACATGACACATGTCAAACATGTTTGTGCACCATCATGTGGTGATCATGGTATGCATCATGATGTCGATATACAACATACACTAGGTGGATTGTTGATATCACACGTTTAGTTTTACTATTGTGCATGACATTCAAATCAAAGTTGAACTTGATTGGTTCTAATACAGTATCAAATATATCAAGTATATCTGGATTATTCAGCGTATACATTGTCAATCAGTGTATTACTGTTTGTTGTGTTGTTGCATTGTTGCATTGATGGCATGTCTAAATATACAAGTATTTCAAAACCTGAATCACACCAACACTAAATAGGTTCTTGGCATACAGTATCAAAACCAATTCCAACTGATTGCGGATATACTGATTGTCAAAAGTGCAACCATTTATCAACAAGACTTGAAATCGGTTGACAACAGTAAATACCCAAACCACACTGTTACCAATAGAATCGTGTATTGAAATATTGGTGTTTTCGATCATCGGTATTTGAATGGCGTAATCAATAATAAGCTATCCACAACCAGCCATGCGATTCAGCATTTAACAACTCGATTTAATCAATGGCTGGTTTGAGCTTGTTCAACATTTTTATAGATCCAATATGTAAAACTGGTTGTAATGGTTTATGGTAGATGTTTAAATGTTCCGACTTGATACAAGGATCAAGTGAACCAAGTGGATCAAGTGGATTGAAAGTGTTGGAAAGGTTGGAAAAACTGAAAGACTGGTTCAAATAATAACACTGGCTACAAACACGCCATTCGAGTCGTCTGTTTTGTATGGATATGGTTGGCTTGTCAAATTGGGTTCCAACGATGCAAGAGTTGATCCAACTGCCAAATAATCATGCAGTCAATCCACTATCGGGTATCAATTGTACCAAAGTGGTGGTATTGTTTCCAATCATACAGTCCAGTAAACTCTTTTCGAGTGACTTACAGTCGTTGATTGATAAATTGATACCGCAAGTGATCTTGTAATACACAACCATTGTGATCAACACACAAAACATCAATTTGAACCACTCATTACATCAATTGATTCCTGACAACTCTTGGTCACTAAATCAAATATTACACGATCCAGTGATTACAAAACAACACGAATGGACTGGACTGGACTAGAATGGATTGAATTGGATTAGTTTGGGTTTGGATCTTACTGTAGATGCATGACATTATCGGTTTACCAACTACAACCACGTTGTAAATTACAATTTGTAATGTATGTTTAATCACAACCAGTCAAATATTTCATTGTTCCATTTGATCAACCACCAATCAGTCTCGAGTAGCAATCCAATGTCGATGGTATAATATTTCTAGATTCATCCATTAAACTACTATTTTTGTTGATATTGCTATACGGAATGTCACTTAATGTATGCCTTGAAAATGCTCACCAATTATATTTCTATTACCCATTACCCATTGTTCATTACTCATTGTTCATTCAACATTTTTGGCACTGTATCATAGATGGACATATCAATACAGCATGATCCCACATAGCCATGACATAAAACTTGCAAATGCCATTTTGTTGTAATCCTACCAACTGTCCATATACTGGAACTTCACAGCAGTCCTGGACACATTTGTGGTTGTTGTAATATCAGCAATCTTGGTGCAATCTTGCAGCAATCAGCCAACACTCGTAATTGTCCAAATGAACTTGCGTTTCATTTGTCAAACGTGTATCAAACTGCAAACCATTACCATCACAATCGTGTGCCTGTCGACTAATACAATGTTCTGATGTGATACAATATTGCTCCATATGAAAGCACTACCACACGAGATATTGTTCGACTTGCAATCTCACGACTTGCGTGGTAGAATCGACTTTCAAGGCGTTGCGACGTATAACAATCCATCAAAACATGATCAGTGCTGTTAAAATATGATACACACTGTATAACTGATATGGGTTGTCATGACAGACATTCCACTACAAACAGCATTCACGATCTTGAGTTGCAAGTATACACATCACAGGTATTTGAACAGATCCGATACAGTCATGTAGAACTGACAAGTGACAATACATCTGATTGTATCAGAGTTGTTCAAATGTTTGAATGTGTATACTTGTAATCATGCTTCAGTTCCATCATTCATGGCCATATAGTATTAGTTGATCAAAAACACCATTTTTACAATACATTTGATTGAATACAAACTGGACAAATCATCCATTTTATACCGACAAGTAATTGACACAAAGTATGCTAGACATGTAGTTATGATTTACAATGGATCACACATGATTACTACACAATATGTTGCTATACAACTCAACATATGATCAGTTGGAATGTATGCTCCATTTGTACCATTTTGATAGATTGGTGGTGTCCATTTCTGATACCTGCCATTAGACATGTATGCCATTTGATGATCAAGCAACACCGATTAATATCCACCAAATTAAACTCGATATTGTTGGACAGTTAATAGCGTATGTCATTGTAATGTGAGAGTGTTGAGATGTCAAGTCTGTTGATTTGCACTGAGTGAATCCTTTGTATATATCTGGAATGTGATCATCAGTTGTGATCACCAGTCACCTCGGATGGAAGATCTATAGTAATCAGGTATCCTCAACAATGATGCTTGAACGATGATCCGCATACATTCCTTCTGGTATTGTTCATCGCTCTCCTACTTTATAAAAACACTTTTCCCGTTCTTTAATAAACAACGCAATTAGTTTATTGGATCATTCCTTTGTATCTTTGATTTGCTGTGATCTACTTGTCAATAATGATGACCATCAACATGCCGTCATATGCTCACAATCTACATTTCAGTCATTCAGATTCCTTGTTTTGGAAATGATTATTTCTGTATCATTTTTCACTGAAATGATAATCAGTGTGTCAACTGTGTATTACTGTTTGAACCAAAGTCAATACTGCAAGCACTCGAGTGCTACTCCAATCAACTGAGTTGAACTGACATTGATATTGATATCTGCAAGAAATCCAATTGATTTCCAAATTGAACGAGTTGATTCCAAAATATTGTTATCCACAAACATAAATGTCAATTGCAACACTTTTATCAAATCTATTGGATATCAAATCCAGTAACCCATTGTAACAAGCCTCGAATTATGTCTCGGAACAATGCAGCCATGACAAAATACAACACTTTACCAGGTTTGCTGTATACAACAACATATATTTGGAGCAGAGTTTGAACAAATAGTTGCGCAGTTATTTGAAGTTTGTGTGTTTCTAGTATCATACACAAAATGTGTGTTATTCCATCATCAATACTTTGTTCACAATACACTCAAACTATTACTATACAATCAGTTGTCAATGACCATGAGTAGTATATGTAGTGCACTGGATGATACCACTTGTTTTAAGCAAGACTGCTAAAATATTCAAAAGTTGACGACATACTTTGATACATTCGTCCATGATGATTGTGATTGATATTGAACGCATTTGGTTTGTGGTTGCAATGTGAGTTCTGGTTTTAGAACTAATCAGAATCGGATTGTCTGGAATTGTCTGAAATTGTTGTTGTGCTAGATTGGTGTTTTCACCTATAATCACTGCTAAATTCGATTCAAAGTTGTCAGGTGTGATATCCTGACAAATGCCGACATTATCAAAATGCTTACCGTATACAAGTTGATTAAAGTTGCAAGTTGTCTGCCAAACTCATACTTGATGCTTCAATCGGACACGATTGGATGGTACAAGGATGTGTTAACAGAGCCATTATTTGTCAAAAAGCGTATGTTACAATAGTAAACTTGAATTTGGAACTTTCCATGTTGAATGCATATCAATCCCTTGAATGGACACAATTGTATGATGCCAGTTTTATTAACATTGAATTATCAAATAATTGGAATGGTGGGAATGGTTGAAAATATGCCATTTCAGTTGTAAAATACAACCATCACTTTCTACTCTTCAAATCTGATTACATTAGAGGGAGTTTTATAACGTATTGTTTCAATCCAGGAATGGGTTGTACCTGCTCTGTGCCTTTCTTTGCTTTAAAACTCTGCTCCCCGAACCCTTCAAATCGGCGAGGAGGAACCACAAAGTAGAGTTTGGGTTCATCATACAAATTGCACAGTTTTGTAAGAATATCAACTCCGCGAATAGGATGTTCAGCAGCAACTGTAAATTGAAACATTCCCTGTTGACTGAGTGAATCAATTGCTGGAAAATTATCGTCATCTGTCGGTTCGTAATAGTTGCCATCAAGTGCTGCAGCAGTAGGGATAGTATCTCTTCCAAATGTAGTTCGTTGGCCATTGAGAGTATCCAAAGTAATATCTGTCATTGTACCATCTTCCAGGCATCTGCATTTGAGAGTTTGTCCACCAGTACAAAAAACCCTGTGTCCGTATATCTCGAAAAAATATCTTGAAATCTCGTCTGGAGCACCAAGCATTACCTGTATATTGGTAATCATTTGAGAAGAATGACGTTGCCAGAGTTTTTCTCCAACATATTTTGAAGCGATATCAAGATGCAAGAGTTCGTACTTCCCGTCGTCTGACACAATAACATGAAGCAAAGTGTGAGATGTCGTAAATGCTTTGGTCAGTTCTCCAATGCTTTGTGTCCCTTTGACTGCATTAACGTCGGCCAAAGCTTTCTTGATTGGATCTGATGAAGTATCAAAGACAGAACGAGCTACACCACCATAAATGCGATATCTCTCATTGAAAGTTTCGATTTTTAAACCCGGATAGCAGTGGAGCCAACAAGCCTGTAACTCGTCCAAAGTCCAAACAGGAAAATACCATTCCTTGGCCATCTTCTGCTTCACAAATTCCTTGTACCATTCCGAACGGGGGGATGAAATGAACAAGACAATACAAGACGAAACAAGCGGTTCAGACGTTCGTCCATCAATAACGTAGAATGTATCTTGTTTCCTAACCAATTCCTCCGCATCAAACCTCGTGGTCCTGGCGACGAATTGTTGTTGCAAGTCAAAGCATTCGTACGTAGATCCCACTTGATAAACAATTCGGTTTGGCTTTAGAGACAGAGTTTTCTTACGAGAGCCCTTGATCAGGCGGTACAAAATGTAGACAAAGAATAGCGACTTTCCAATGCCCGGCGTCCCAGATATTGCAAATGATTCCTTCTTATCACCAATTTGAGCCAGAAGCAATTCAAAGACATCTTTATAGCACTTTCTGACGTAGAGTTTGTTGATCTTGTTTTGAGGATATGGGAGCAGTTTTTGGTCTTGAGACTGAATACATTCATCGACCAACCGACTGTTTGCAAACAACTTGAACTGGGCTGTCAAATCATCGATTTCAGGCTCAGGCTCGGTACGTTGTCGTTTGCGAGAGGAGCCTTCCTCTGCTGGTAAGTGAGAGGTCGAGGCTGTAGCAGATGCTGAATCTAGGTCAGTTTGAGTAGGTTGTCTTGGAGGTGGAGGGGAAACACCAATAACAATGCAAGAACCATCTTGAGTAAAGTATTCTTGAGGAAGAGAGCTGAATAAAGCCCAGGTGTTGATTAGTTGGCTCTTGTTACTGTCAGTGTATAGTTGCAGTTGGGGAGCATCAACTTGAGAAAGAGTGCTGTAGAACTCAGACTTGATAGCACTCTTTAATTTACCAAGTCTACTGATTCCAGTCACATCGATTTCAGCAGTAAGTGTGCCATATTGGACGTTGAGGAATAGGTCGTCTGTGTTCATTGTGAGCAGAAGAAAGGGATAAAAAGGCGTAGTTATTTGTCAAGTGAAACAAAAATCGACTTTTTAATCGAGTCAAAATAACAAAATTTTGGGATATTTCAAGACAATTCACACGATTTAAATATTTGGAAATTAGTTAAATTTACACCATAATTAATGTCTCATTAATGTGAGACATTACTAGTGTGAGAGTGTTGACTTGCATTGTGTGAGACATTAGTAGTGTGTGAATGTGAGACATTTCTGAATAGTTTAACAATTAAAAACCATCAACAATGACGTTTGAACTGGGATCCGCATAGCCTTTTTCTGTATTCTTGGTTTCTTTCACTGTTTTTTCATATTATAAACACACTCACTCACTTGTTAATAAATGACGTAATCGAATATTGATTCATTCTTTCGTGTCTTCAATCAACTGCAACACACTTGACAATAATGTCGGCTATCAGTGCCGTCATATGTTCACGATCCTCACAAGTAATATGAACTCAATTGGAAACGCTGTTATTAGCGCATTTGGTCAGTTGCAAAGCCAAACCAATGACATTGTTGTCATGATGACCAAACACGACAATGTCATTCGATCATTACTGGGACAGATCTTGGTCAAACTGGACTCTGGTTGCTCACCAACACATGCAGTTGTTATACCAGTTGTGGTATTCGAAACCATTTCCACGACTGTGAACATCACCGTAACAGTGACTGTGTTTTGTCCACAAAGTCAATTCAAGTTGTTCATATGCGACAACAGCACGTTGCACACACACGCAGACTGTCGATACGGAATGACAAGCAACAATCGACTTATTCCGTAGTCGTGCAATTGTTGACATAAATGCCATTGCGGTCAATGCTGTATCGACTGGTGTCGAACCTTGAATGAATGCTGCAACTCGCATTTGTTTATTGCGTTTTGCATCGAATGCGATGTGCACACTCAATAAACTTTGTGGTATTCTGGTCACATTCCGTATCAATCTGCAACGGATTACCAACACCCATACAATCAACAACACGACCAGATTATTAGTGGATCAATCTATTGCTGTCAAACTTGTAGTCATGACCCAACTCGGTACAAATCAGGTCAAGTTTGATCCAGAAACTCCAACAAAAACCATCAACCTGACCACTGAACTGGCTGCTCGTTGACGGTTTGCTGATTATGTGGGTTTATTGTTGATGGGTAAGCGTGTAAACTGTCGTACATGCAATTTATACTGTGAGTTGATGGTCAAGTCTGACAATCTGTATTCGCAAACTTGTGTGCAAGCAGTGTTTTGTTGCATCTCAAACATCCTGCAACTCGCACAGTTGTTTGCACAGTTGCTCGTCTATCAATCCAACTGAATCTGCAACTCTGTCAAGCAAATCCGTAGTGCAACCTGCTGATGTTGATGTGACTACAATAAACACGAAACTCACCGAAATAACACTTGCTGATCTGACAGGTCAATGAGTGACACTCTAACCATTAATACCAAACAAACAACGTTTTGAATCAACAATCAACTGTCATGACAATGGGTAACATTCGTGGTCATTTGGCATTCATCTCAAACCATCACATCAAACACATTTCCAAAATCGATTGCTGGACAACTCAACTCGGTGCACGAGTCCGCATTACTGTGCCAGAGTCATGTTCCGCACACACTATCCATCAACTCTGTCACCAATCATCCATACAACAACTGACACACACAAAAACTGTCAACGCAGGCATCCAACGACATCCTCACTGTGTGTTCCACCACTTCCTAATTGTTGTCAAATATTGTCAGTCAATGTGTCAAACATTGCCAGCAAACACTCACTACTTTGACATATATTCAGCCAAACCGACTATGTGGATTATCCAAGACTTGCATGTCATTGACACTCTATCAATCACTTTGTGTGCAACGAGACTGAACAAACACTTGTAGAATCTGCTCGTGTAGACATGAACATTGCGGTTGTTGACGATGTGTCATTTACACTTGCATCCGCACTAATACACATGCGCCAAAGCATTCAGTCCATTCCGCTCCTCCAGCTATCGTATCATTACTGTGCATATATGCCTTGGACACTCGGCTGCATGCGACCATCATACGCGAAATGTCTTGTCTGCCATTCAACATGTTCTGTCAGCAGTTATTCCGTTTGACGATCACTCATCAGTGCTACTGTTGGCAAACTGGAACACTGAATATGTGTCATTACAAGCTAAAATATTGTCAGTCAATGTGTCAAGCATTGCCAGCAAACACTCACTACTTTGACATATATTCAGCCAAACCGACTATGTGGATTATCCAAGACTTGCATGTCATTGACACTCTATCAATCACTTTGTGTGCAACGAGACTGAACAAACACTTGTAGAATCTGCTCGTGTAGACATGAACATTGCGGTTGTTGACGATGTGTCATTTACACTTGCATCCGCACTAATACACATGCACCAACTCATTCAGTCCATTCCACTCATCCAACTAACATATCACAACTCTGCATATATGCCTATGATCGGATTGCAATGTTCAGTCGGTGGAATATATGCAGCGTTTAATGGATCATACACGGACACACACGAGCTATGCATTCAGTTATTGGATGCTGCCAATGCAACAGTGAATGACTGTCAACTGCACGCACATGCACATACTGCTCGGGAACATAAACGTCGACTGTATCGTTCAACCAAATGGATGATTTGACATGGTAACACTGGAATATCGATGTACATTACAGCAAGTATCCGTGACAATCACAATGAACTCTGTCGCAGCCAACTAGATGCATTCTGGGACAAACACAATGCAACAATCCAGCGACTTGAATGCGCCAATGAACATATGATCTGGATCAAGTTTGCTGACACACTTGACCAGACAATATTGATGATCGTTTTGATATGACATTTGCAGCAGCTCGAGACATGCCTGGTGGTGCAACACACACAACAACCATCACTCCATTCCATTCCACTATACGATGTGATGTGATGCCAATCGTATCATTCAGTACAGCAGTGATAATATTTTTGGCATACCAAGTAATCACTACTTGCATCTTGCTATGAACGATAGTGGACATTTATTTGACTTGCAGTAATGTCAGTACTTGCATATACGTGATTCACTTCCACCATACAAACTGTTTCCAATTCGTGACGATGCCACTGATCTCGACTCGGATATATCTTGAAATCGACTAGCTGATGCAATACAGCAGTTGGTTCACACCAGACACCCGGAAAACAACAGGATATTGGTCACATTCTACCGAGTCGCATTATATACATCGAATGCTACACCTGATGAACCACCCAATCTATTTGCTCGTGTTCTGCTACACAGTTCAGTCAATATGTTGACGACCACTATGCAACCTGATGGCAGTCTGCATACACTGTACCGATTGTACTGACTGCATATATCGACAAGAATAACGGTGATCACATTGATACAAATGACAAACGCGGTATTACACTGATTGATGTGTGTCATAAACTGGTATGCAAGGTCTTGCAAACACACATTGATGGATCGTGGTGCTCAACAAACTCGTCACCACTGAGCATGGTCGATTTCAAACCAAACAAGTGTGCTGTGCTGGTTGTTTCACTAGTCGATATTGTTCAATGACAGCAGTGCGTGCAGCTCAATATTATTGTTGTGTTGATTGACATTCAAAATGCATTCAACACTGTCACGGTTGGTGCCTTGATATGATAACTGCAGCATATGTGATTGATACCACGCACACTGGTCTTGCTAACAGCGCTGTACACATGCTCATCAGCTTGTGCTCAGACTGGATCATTGGTTTCTGATCCATTTCCAATTGAGCATGGAATCCGGTGGTGATGTCCACTGTCAGGTTGTTGTTCAACATGTTCATCAACAACATACACGATGATATCAACCGATTGTCATTGCATGAGTATTGTGTAAATCACCACCAATGTGAGGGTTCATGTATGCTGACAATATCGTGATATTTGCCGATTCTGATCAATCACTCCAATTGGCATCTGGTGTACTTGCACAATGAATGGAACAATGTCAAATAAGCTTTGGTGTAGTCAAATGCAACATACTCAGTTTCCGTGGTCACAACACTTTGATTCCAAATTACCAGTTGATGTGATGCTACACGGACAACAGGTTCGTCGTGTTCAACACTACAAATACCTGGGTGTTGTGATGCACGAACCACTGTATCACACCATATGTTTGAACTATAATCAGGTTGCTGTCTCGAATAGCATGTTGGTTGTGTCCAGTTCTTGCAAACCACCAACTCACAATCAACTTTCGGATGCGAATATTCTTGGCAGTCATTCTATTAATGATCATGTATGCACTGGATCTGATTGGTGGTTGGTGATGACTTGATCTGCATACACAGTCAACAATCAGCAACTGTGTGCTACACATATTGAATGCATACAAATCCATGATTGTCGTTTTCTTGTTGTTGAAATGGGTTCAGATCACCATCAGTTTGTTCACTCGTTGCACCAATGTGACTGCATGATCAACCTGACACCAACCAAATCACACTCGAATATATATGTTCCAGTCATGTGCATGGTGTATCGATTGTCAACTCACAATGTCAACTCCAACACATTCCACCATGATTATGGTCACATCACACCATGCTGATGTATGTCGATCGGTATCACATTGCAACCAGTTATCATTCAATGACTGTAATGCAATACCGTGCATGTATTGTGACTGATACGCTGTGCACCATCAGCCAGTGTGCAACTGTCACTCGATATATCGAGTCTGATATGCAACAACATGCTGTGTTTACCATGATCAGGTTTTTGATCAATCTTGGACTCATGATACATGATTTGTCATGTTGGATTGTGTGGATGTGTCATGGACTGCAATTTAGTTGCAAACACACATATGTTTGACATTGACCGATGCATACTGTGCAACGACTGATCAGTGCAGGTGTAATTGCACACTTGGTGGTATTGTGCATTATGGTTGTTTGACAATGGATGAATGCTGGATTAGTCAGTTATATGCAACCCATTTGAATCAACCTATTTGAACAAACACTCGATGTAACTGACAATAATGTGTATACATGGCTGTTCGATCAATCGAGTTTGTGCTGGTAGCGTACCATTGGTAACAAACACTGTTTTGACACCATCACCGGAACAATCATACAACAGTTGACCAACACACTTGTAACACCAACAGTATATGTTTGTACGATTACAGCCTGTTCACATGAGATCATTTCATATCTCAATACCCGAGTTTATTTTAAATAAATCCATTCAAAAAACAACTGTAAATCAACAAATAAACCAACAATTCAATCCAGCCAACACTGTTTTATACACTAGTATAATCTGTCAATCTTGGTTGGTATTATTATTGATTATATTGTGGTTTGTTTCATCCAAGCACAAAGGCTCGGTTATACGGTCAAATATTACATTTGTCAATGCTCACTGTCTTGTATTGGACTCCATTTGTCGTCAGTATACTGGATTGAACTAATCACTTGGTAGATCAACATGTGCAATATATCAATAACCAACGTGTACAACAACAGAGTATAAAAGTTGTTTCAGTCAATAGTAATCCAGTGTTATACAGCATATATGATTATTCATGAATGTTGACATGGTTCAAGAGTATGGTGTCCACGACATTGGTAATGCAATCAAAAATACAATAGTTATTCAGGTTTAAGGGTAGCTAATCAAGCCATGCATAGTGTAGATCTTGATGCTGCATAATCATTTAAGATGGGGTCTTTTTAAGCTGTATTCGACACTTGGATTTATGCTGGTGTCCAGTTATGATCTGAGCATTGGCTGCCTCATACTTGCCAATTTGAAACAACCGGGAATCAGAATCAAACTGTTCAACATATTGCGCAAAGGAAACCTAATACATGCCAGACAGTTTGTGGATCCATTTTGCTTTCGAGTCAATACATGTTATACAATGGCTGTTTTAAACACCATTATTGCCATCCAAACACATTGCTCACAAACAGCAAATCAATCGTATGATAACCCTGACCAAACAGAACTCATAGGGTTGACACTCATCAACCCGAAATAACAGATCTGGCCAAGTAACCAGTTCAAAAAATACAGATCAAGCAGCAGAATCGAGCAAGATACTTGACAACCATTTACTAAAAAGTAAATTATGATGATTGGATAGTGTATGGATAAATACAGCACATTTTGTTACGTTCAATTATTCGACATAGCTGACATACGACATACACAGCCATAGTGGTATACAAGCAATCCATTAGCATGCAAGCTGTGCAATTGCAATGGTTGAAATGCTGTTAAACAGACCTATGTAAGCACCACACGCCAGACCCAAGACTGAATGAGCATAAATATTGGCAATGCTGCAGCCGACAAGCGACTATCTACTGACAAGCCAATATGTTCTGTATATTTGATATACGGACTGGCATAATCCACAAATGTCAATACACCATCAATCATCATATTGATTGGACTGGATTTACAGTAGTTTGAGTTGGATGTTGTGTTGGATAGTAAAATACAATTGATATGGCATGTGTGATAATATGGATAAATTGGTTAATCTACAAATTCGTTGCTTTATTTGTTCTAAATATATACCTCGATTTCGTTATCTTGCTCGATATCAAGCATTTTAATAAAAGCAAAGCATAGCATATGGATGCAAGAATATCAAGCATTAGTATTGCCAGTCAAGACCATCAAGGTATAAAAATGAGTTGTCAGCCACTATCAAACATCATCAGACTGCTACAAATCAACAGCTCAATCCGTATAGTATTGATACGCTTGCCAAATACATTTCAATAGTATACTGCAGCCACGATGAAGTTTTCACTACTAGCCATTGCTTCTGCTGCGTTCGTTGTCAATGCTCAAGGAAATAAATCTGGTATGCAAATCTGTTGATCAGTCTATTTTATGTTGGGTTTATCAATGTTTGGATTGTGCAATCATTCAAAACTTACTAATTGGCATACATTATAGAATCCATGCCTACATGGGCCTTTATCAAGGAACACCGTGACGCTGGCAGATTTGTTTTTATGCCATACACTGACGAACAACGAAACGTCGTGCTGACCAATGTTGAAAATGGTTTGAAATTGTGGCCCAACTATGAATCTAAAATCAAACACTATGGTGAGCGTGCCGATCCCTTCCCGATCATCAAGAAACTGCGTGCAAAACTGGATGCATCCAATCTTACCGATACTGAGATGCAGATTGAACTCTTGAATGCGTTTATTCTTGCGCGTGATTATCATACCCATTTTGAGCCATCTGGACCATATTCCTGTTTCAGTGCCACAACTGGTCTTTCTTTCAGATTTATCGAGGGCGATGCAGATATGGTCAAGAAACCAACCGTCGTCTTTGAAAAACACGTAGACAATAAAAGTCTGCGTGCTTTTTTTGGAAAGGACTATGACCAAATCAAAGTTGGCGATGAATTACTACTTGTTGATGGTATGCCGTTTGTTGACTATCGGAACTTGAACCAGGACAAAACAGGTGGTGCCAATGATTATGGTGGCCAGCATGGTGCTCTTGGTTACATGACGTCTCGTTTTGGTGTATACACTCCTTTGCCAGAAACTGATACGATCAAATATCAGTTCAAATCAAAAGATACTGGAAAAGTGTACGACATTGAAGCTCCGTGGGTTGTTTATTTTGATTCATCATGCTGGAATATTACTAGTCAATTGTATGCCAAAATTTCTGGAAAAACTCTACCTGGAACACCTCAGCCTGCCGACACGAACAGTATAATTGACGCTGGCGTTGATGCTTCCAATACTGGAGCCAAACCTCAACTCGAAACTCAGAAAGAAGTCAAGACTCCATCGATGGTATCCCAGTACCATTATAAAAAGCAAAAAATTGATCAGATTTTACTTGAACAGCCATCAAAAAATAGTGGTCTCGAGTACCAAAACGCCGGCGTGTCGACTATCAGTTGGGGAATCTGGAAACCCGAATCCAAGAATCTTGGTATTATTAGATTGGATGATTTTATGCCAACAAACCTTAAAACTGGCGCACCAGCGAATATGGAGGCTGTTCGTGAAATCCACAGACTCCTCAGTACTGTACTCAAAAACACCAATTCTGTTTTAATTGATCTCCGTGCAAATGGAGGTGGTAATGGTAATTTTGCCAATTCCATTCCACAACTTTTCAAACCTGATTTTCAACCAATGACAATGAGATACTTGATGAGTTCTGTCGCATACAATACTCTGGTTAATGGCACACAATCTTTTGACACTTCTGGTCCAGCATGGTACAAGACTCCACCTGGTAGCAAGTATTCTATTGATTATGTCGATACCCCGTTTGATCGAGCAAACATGTATGGTCAAGCCTATCTCAAACCTGTTGGTATATTCACTGATGCTGTATGCTACTCAGCATGCGATCTGTTTTCAGCGTCTTTTCAGTCGTCCGAAACTGGCCATGTTTTTGGTGAAGATGGAACGACTGGAGGTGGTGGTGCCGACATGCTTTCACTTGATTCACAACTCCTTTTTCTTAATCGTGTCGATTTTAAGCCAATGCCATATTACAAAGAACTGACCGACGAAGCAGCTGGTCGAAGCTATGCCAACATTCTTACAGTCGGAGTTGGACAGATTGTACGTAATGGAAAACAAAAAGGTCAACTGGTTGAAGATATTGGTGCCATAACCGAATATATTGTACGTCCCCGTTTGACAGATATACTGCCTGGATCCACTGAAAATTCTCAATTTGACCGTATTGCCGATCGGCTCAAAACATTGGGTGTCAAAACTGGACTGAACAACCTTCACTTTGTTTCTGAACTTACCAACTATAACACCACTAGCAGTGACGTGACCATTGATGTAGAAGTCAAGGGAATCAATCAACTGTCAGTTATTGATGACACTGGCAAATCACTTTCAGTTGCCAAGTTTAAAAGCGACATAAAAAGTCAACACTCGTTCAAACTGACATCTGTGATCAACGATCTTGGTAATACTCGGGTCAGTATCATTGGCCAAAACAACGGCAAACAGGTTCTCAAAACACATAAGCATATCAGTCGCACTCCAAAACAAAAAGATTATTTTAAGCTTGAACACGGTGTCAAATGGAAGTTTAATGGTACCAGTAAATCGGTTGGAGTATACAACTCGCCATTTACCAAAAAGTCACAGGGATGGAACTCGGTCAATGGTAAATGGGTTATTGGCGACGGAGTACAATACAGCCCCGGAATAGAGACTGGTATCCGATCATACTATACTGCGCCAGTTGGATCCAACATCACCGCTAAAATTGATGTCGTGCTTGAATCACAACTTTATAGCGACTTTTTAAGCTTGTATGTCACAGATGCGGATGGCAATGTGGAATCGCTTTTGAATACGGTTAATCCGAATGGTAATATACTTAAAGATGGTGTTTTTGGATCCGGAGCACTTGTGAGAAAGTTTACATTGACAACCAAGACGGAACAGTTTTCTGTTACTCTCATGTTCAATTCAGATCTTGCTACACAGATGAAAGGAGCAACAATCAATTCTTGGAGTGTTATCATGGATTGAAATGGGTTGTAAACGTCGCTGAATGTATGATTAATTGCACCATCAGATCATGTTTGAATGAATATAGTACTTGCATATAACTATCCTATACACTATTGTTTAAATTTATTTCAATCAACACATGTAAACCTTTTATTTAGTCGAGTGAAATATGCAAGTTTCAAACCATTTTTTAAATTGGACTGGTTTTGTCATGGATGGAATATTGCAAGTGTTTTTAAACTTGTCAGGTTTTTGTATTTTTTGGTGTTTTAGACATTGGAATGAAAGTTGATATTGGATATTTACCATACCAATCAGAGTTGTCATGGTTGTTTAATGAAACTCGGTACAGATCTGGATAAAACCGCATTTAAACCTGCATTTTCAATGGTTTGATGCGACATGAAATCATTCGAATTGATAATGGTCATTGCACTATTGTCTTGTTCTTGTTCTTGGACTCTTTCACTGGTTTTTTAGCTTTCATAGCCGGTCTCGAGTTGATTACTTGATTCGCATTTAGTTGATGATTTCAACTGGCATTTAAAACTATGGTTGTATTGACAGCATTAAAGTAGTTGAGCCAAACATGTGGACTGCAATGGATGAGTTTGGTGATTGTATAATGCATGGTCATGCCACATGTGCACAAAGTGTAGATTCAACACTATAGTCTGATTGTGTGTCATATGATGGTTGTTGTATATCAAACAAGTAATGCGGTCAATGTGTAGTAACCATTGCATATTGCAATGCAGAATACAGTCACTGCATGATGGATATCAAAGTGATCCATTTGACATGAATATGGTTGTAAAACAAAGCGTTTGCGGTTACACAACACTCATAAGGGTGTGCTTTTCAATATACCTGATCAAAGGGTCATAAAAGCATAATTCAATCGACACGATCATCAAATTGATCAATATGATATTGTGATTAGGGAGTAACACACTGTCTAGTTTGATGGTTGCTCACTACAAGCAATCAAGTAACCCTGTATAATTGGTTAACCTAAAAGGGTTGGTTTGCTATACAAAACATACAAATACAATCGAGTATGTCCAGTTTTATAATCGACATCAGTCTCGACACTCTACTTTGTATTGATAGTCTAAACCCATTGACCAATCTGATGAAATTGGTTGATATTTTACTCTTACTGACTGTAGCAACAACCGCCAATGCAATATTGATACCGAGTGGTAACGATCGTTCAACCCAAACATCAGGCACTTCCAGTCAAGTGTCTGATCCAACTGATAAGCCCAGTCCAGGCACTTCCAATGAATACCAGCAAGAGCCAATGGATTTAAGTATTTCTAACCGATACCGGCAACAGCTAGTTGATTTGACCATTTCCAACAAATACAAGCAAGAACCAGTTGATGAATCCAATTCAGACACTTCCGATGAATACCAGCAAGAACCAATGGATTTAAGTATTTCCAGCCGAATCCAACAACAACCAATTGATCAACTCAGTCCGAGCACTTCCAGTCAAAATCAACAACAACCAGTCAACCATGACGAGTCTTCAAATACTGTTACAAATCAAATAGCTGGATTAAGCCGAAAATATCAGATAACCTTTGATCGTATAAAGCAAAAACTTGCAGTGTCTAAAAAGATACGAAAGGAAAAACACAAAGAATATTCTAGATATGCAGACCTTGGATTGGAGCAACAGACAGCATTAGCAATCGGCAAAGAAATATCTGAATCAAAGTACGATCCAGACACTGAAAAGAAATTGAAACAAGAGTATGAAAAGGCAGGAGCAAAAATATCCATTATCAGACAACAATTGAAAAGGTTTATGAAAAGGCATGGTTTGGAATTTGAAGAACCAAAAGCAGATTCAGATTGATGATGTGTCGATGATTTTGGTTTTGAATAAATTTAAACTTTCTGATGTGTTGATATTTGTCGAGTATTGTGAATGGGTCAACAATCATATCATTGGTTGTGTATTGCATGTTTGTGTATACTGTGTTGGGTATTACATCAACAGTTACTGGATTGTTGATTGATATATTGGCATGGTTTGTTCCATATACATCAATGACCTGATAACAACCAGTGTTGATTGTACGTGTAATCACTTGTCAATTGCATGGTTGCATGATATCACCAACTGATCATGTCGTGCATCGTACAACAAACGGAGCAATACACTTGTTCAAAGTCGGATGTAGATTGCGTCATCGACTGGTTTGATATTGGTCAATTAGTGTTGTTTTATGTCAGTTTGCAATGTAATATATGTAGTGTGGTATTACGACCATGGTAGTGGTGTATTGACGTCGAATGGACCACTGAATAACAGTGTTCATGACACTGACTGTTCATCACCATCCAACTCAATCTCACCATTTCAATCAATCTTGGTCAATGTTGATGATTTACACGCTAATTCATTATCCAATCTTGTCTGACATTATTATTGGCTTTAATCACGTTTGGTTTGTACAACTACCATGATTTGTACTACCATTATCATTGTGTATTTGATCACCAAACATTCCAATACATCAATAATACCACAGTGTAAACAGTAATACAGTTGATCAGTCTTGTGGCAAGACTTTTCATCCAAGTTTGTATTTGGAAATACTCGATGATTTAATCACAGCACACTGTTTGTAATGCGATTTTCATTGATCTCAGTCCAGTCCATCCGATTTATGATGATGTTTAGTAATCCATTACCATGTGTTGTAGTAAACTAGTTTGTTTATTAAACCAAATCTACAACAATCACATTCAGAATATTAATTTACAGTATTTCTAAATGCATGTTTGATAACAATCCAATTTTGTTACAAAAAACTGATCAAAACAATACTAAAATGGAACAACTCGTTTGTGTGTTTGACAACAATCCAAACATGAACAATTCTCGGCAATTGTTGGACATTCGCATGAATGAAATTGTCATCAAAACTTGATCAAAATTCAACTTTACTAATTTTATCAAACATGAAGTTGGATGATATCATGAAAGAGTTGATCCAACGCCTGGAAGATTTGGAACTATTAACAACAGATGCTCAACTATACAAGGCTGATGAAATATGGGACAGACTGCTTGTATTGATACTGGAGTTGGAAGAACAGAATCGCAGTAAGTTTAGTAGCCATTGGATTATTGATGAATTCAAATCATTGCTGACTTTGTGTTGGTTTGAAATGGCAGAGTCTACAGATGTATTGCAGCGCTTACAGAGTATTGGACTGGAAGATATCACAGCCAAGTATTTGGAGTATAATCGACCCAGTTTACAGGTATTCATATATTGTAACAATAATGGATTGTTCATGACTAAACTAATCAACATGTGTTGTGTAGATCGAAGTAATGAAGTTTACTGCAGTGTTTTTGAGAATGGTGTACAGTAATATGAGTTCAAAATATCTCAACGACTAAGCAACCAAATTGCACAACTCATGCAATCACCAAACCGTCAAGTCAAAAGGGCGGCAAGTCATGATTGATATTGATCAAATGATTGACATTCAACTCACTTAGTGTCAATATGCATATAGGCGATAAAAACATGTACAGAGTTATTCGATTGTGGACGCTGGAGTGAGGAGTATAAATTTGACATCAAGCCTATGGTCGAGATTATTGTTCACGAGTCTGATCAACAAGTGCTCAGATTGTCGATTGACCTGTTTTCGACCGTTTGCAGTGAGATTGACGATGGAAATGTATGTTTACAACAATACAATATTGGATCAGTTTGGACAGTGTCTTGTCATGTTGATCTGATTGTATACTTGACATTGAACAATATCATTAGTTTGGCATCGTGCTGTCAAGACTTGTTTCACGACTGGAATCATCCAATGGTCTAGTTGCTGTTGGGTTTATCAGAAATCTTCAAACCATGTATCGGAGTATTTATCCTCATGACCGAGTAAAAGCAGTGGAATGTGGCATCATTCCAGCACTGGTCAATACGCTTAGGTATGTGGTGTTATGTATGAATGTGTGTTCAGTCATTACAATTGGTAAATTTGACATGGTTGGATTGACATGACATGAATACAGGAGTGTCGATCAAGAAGTGATTTATGAAAGCATTGCTGCTATTGAGAACTTTTGCAAACATGCAGATTGTGAAGTGATTTCAGCCGAGTTGATGAGGCTGGATTTGATTCAAACGTTGAACGACTTGTGTATCAAATACAGCAACGACTTTGCATTAAAAATACGCATGATCTGGATAGCAGGAACAATTGCATCTGGTATGCGCGACTTTCCTGTATCGCTTGTACGGTCGTTGATTTTTGAGCAATTGACGATATCGATGTGCGATGTCGATATGAATGATCCTTTGCGTCTGTTAATAATGTCAGCGACATGATTGAGAACTCTACAAACAAGGCCGAGATGATCAAGGTGTTTCGAGAATATGGAATTGTAAAGCAACTCAACACTATTTTTTCAC